TACAGTTGTTTCATCGAGTCGTGTCTGCCATTTGATTTCATGCGCGTGAGTAGATGGGTTGCACCAATCTTAGAGCACCAACCATTCACGACACGGACTGCATTGGTTGACGAAATGAGAACACGTCAAACAACAGTCCACTTGGTCCAATGGGGACTGCTCTCATGTGCGACACGAAGTTCAAGGTCGTAAGTAGACGCGGCGATACATGTTGTGATGAATCTTGACACAATGTTCTGTATATTAGTGACGCTTTTGTAATACCACGATGCTTACAGTTTTTTCACAAACCTGGAGAGTGCGTATACTTTCTCTATTTCAAACGTATTTGTTCGCGAATCTTGCGATAGATCATGGGGAACTGCAAAAACACACGGACTTGACAAATCCAAGTAAAATATTAATGATTTTGAGATGCACGCATAGTGTGTCTAGGAAAAAACCCAATAGTGTCTATTTGGAGTAGAACCCGTAGCACACTGGCACAGCAGGTGAGTAACAAATGACCACTTTAAAACTCACATACAACGTCAATATGATGCACTTGTTTATGAACAAATATGGCTTATAAGATTTAATATTGACGCGTGTGTAATCCATTCAGGTAAAGATATAAACTTGCTTGTAGATCTATAAGAAAATGCTAACAGCGTCTTAGTATTTACTCACATAGCTCAGGAGGTGTTTGTTTGTTTATTGTGTACACGGCAATCAGCAATGTTCCAGACACATGACGGCAGTCTGTAAATAATCGAGTCTGAATCAGACAATACAGTGATTGACACCACGCTTCGATCTACGCAAGTGACGGCTATCAACCAAGTCAGCGACCGTGACTGCTCGATCTCGTTAGTCGCCTCTCACGACAAGCATTGGTTGCTGAAGACATTTTTTTACCCTGATCTTCATGGGTGCAAGATGGAAGTGCAAGCGAACGAAGAAAAAATCTGACGTTGCACCGAGTTCCATGCGGTCTGCCTTGTACCTCTGCCACAGGTCAGCGCCATGTGACGCTTCGTCACATCTAACACAGTCCATTCAAGCTATTGCATATGTTTTTTCATCCGTTTCATTTTTGACAAGTCGACGCGTTTAGATGGACATTAACGTCCTTGAGAAAATATCCTAAAACGTGAAAAACTATTTCCTTCATTTCATGAATGTAAAGCCCATTTCTAGTGTCTCCCGCCGTGATATTGCGGCATGTCACACTCGAACTATCAATTAAATGAATGATTTGTCTGTTGTTTAACGCCGCAGTCATTAATATTCCAGCTATACAACAGTGGCATCTTAATAACCGAGTCTGGTCCAAACAAACCACTGGTTGATCCGATGAGCCATTGGGAAACGATAACACTATCGATCAGCAAAGTCACCGAGCCTTGATCACCGTGTCCATTTTGGCCGGTTGTTATATGGCAGTGTATTTTATTGTTTAACAGTGATTGTAAAGGTGTTACATTGTTTTTGTTAAAAGGGGCGGTCGGGTAGCCCAGTGGTTAAAGCGTTCGCTCGTCACGCAGAAGACCCGGGTTCGATTCCCGACATGGGTACAATGTGTGAAGCCCATTTCTGGTGTCCCCCGCCGTGATATTGCTGGAATATTGCTAAAAGCGGCGTAAAACCATACTCAGTCAGTCGACGCTCATTGCATTGTGTTTGGACAGTGATTAGTCATCATGAATGTGGTGTTGTTTAATGTAGGCAGTCGTCAGGAAGTTACTATATGTAGAGTGTATGTGTAAACTTCCGGTCCGGTATACCGCGGACGGTGATAGTTTGTTATAGAAACATGTGGAATATTCTTTGTTGTGAGGGCACTGTGAAGATACTTCCAGTATCTAGGAAGGTTGTACATAAGGAGACAACAGCGTGTTTACGTATCTCTTACGCATGTCATCACACCGGAACCAGCTTTCATGTGAGGATCACTCATCATCCTGGATTCCCTGCCTAGCCCATTCCGGAAGCTTGACCACTGTCGCCGCTGGGTGACTTTTGCTATCACCACTGTATTTTTGTTTTTGATACTGACCACTGCCATCATTATAATATACTGCCATTGAATATTGTACTACCATCCTATTGTTTACTGCCATTGTAATTAATGTGCAATTGATTTGTAAATCTGGTTAATTTTGTAATACAATAGTTAATTGTATACCATTTGTTTGTTGGTCCGTTGGCACCGACTACAGCGTTACTGTACGGTGTTGTCAGTCTGTTGGTACCGGGGGGCACGGGTTGCCCAGTCGTCTAAGGCGCAGCGATTCGCTGTGCAGAGTTGCGTCCCATGGGCACGCCAGAAACCTATGATTGTGGGTTCGAATAACGGTTCGCCCCGATTATGTTTCTTGGTTTGTCAGCACCATACCCGTGGTCGTGGGTTTCACCGAAGTGGTAAACGTCTGAGACCTGCATCACTTCGGGCTTTCCTCCCACATTAAGCTGACACGTCGCGATATAACTGGAATACTGTTAAAAGCGGCGTTAAACCCAACTCACTCACTCACTCACTCACTCACTCACTGTTGGTACCGACCCTAGAGTGACTGTATAGTGTTGCAAGTCCGATGTGCCAACAGAATGACTGTATGGTGTTGCCAGTCTGTTGGTGCCGACTCCAACATGATTGTATGGTGTTGCCAGTCCGTTGTACCGACAGAAGTACTGTATGGTGTTGCCAGACCGTTTATGTCGACTCCAGAGTGACTATATGGAGTTGCCAGTCCGTTGTTGCCGACTCCAGCGTGACTGTATGGTGTTGCCAGTCTGTTGGTACCGACTCCAGAGTGACTATATGGAGTTGCCAGTCCGTTGGTGCCGACTCCAGCTTGACTGTACGGTGTTGCCAGTCCGTTGTTGCCGACTCCAGCTTGACTGTACGGTGTTGCCAGTCCGTTGTTGCCGACTCCAGCGTGACTGTATGGTGTTGCCAGTCTGTTGGTACCGACTCCAGAGTGACTATATGGAGTTGCCAGTCTGTTGGTGCCGACTCCAGCATGACTGTACGGTGTTGCCAGTCTGTTGGTACCGACCCCAGAGTGACTGTACGGTGTTGCCAGTCAGTTGGTGCCGACTCCAGCATGACTGTATGGTGTTGCCAGTCTGTTGGTGCCGACCGAAGAGTGACTGTATGGTGTTGCCAGTGAGTTGGTACCGACACCAGAGTCACTGTGCGGTGTTACCAGTCTGTTGGTACCTATTTCAGTGTGACTGTAGGATGTTGCCAGTCTGTTGGTAACGACTCCAGTGTGACTGTAGTATGTTGCCAGTCTGTTGGTAACGACTCCAGTGTGACTGTAGGATGTTGCCAGTCTGTTGGTAACGACTCCAGCATGACTGTACGGTGTTGCTAGTCTGTTGGTGCCGACCCCAGAGTGACTATATGATGTTGCCAGTCGGATGGTAACGACTCCAGCATGACTGTACGGTGTTGCTAGTCTGTTGGTGCCGACCCCAGAGTGACTATATGATGTTGCCAGTCGGATGGTAACGACTTCAGCATGACTGTACGGTGTTGCTAGTCTGTTGGTGCCGACCCATGAGCGACTGTATGGTGTTGCCAGTCTGTTGGTGCCGACCCCAGCGTGACTGTATGGTGTTGCCAGTCTGTTGGTGCCGACCCCAGCGTAACTGTACGGTGTTGCTAGTCTGTTGGTGCCGACCCATGAGCGACTGTACGGTGTTGCCAGTCTGTTGGTGCCGACCCCAGAGTGACTGTACGGTGTTGCCAGTCTGTTGGTGCCGATCCCAGAGTGACTGTATGGTGTTGCCAGTCTGTTGGTGCCGACTCCAGCGTGACTGTACGGTGTTGCCAGTCTGTTGGTGCCGACCCCAGCGTGACTGTATGGTGTTGCCAGTCTGTTGGTACCGACTCCAGCGTGACTGTATGGTGTTGCCAGTCAGTTGGTGCCGACCCCAGCATGACTGTGCGGTGTTACCAGTCTGTTGGTACCGACTCCAGTGTGACTATATGATGTTGCCAGTCTGTTGGTAACGACTCCAGCATGACTGTACGGTGTTGCTAGTCTGTTGGTGCCGACCCCAGAGTGACTGTATGGTGTTGCCAGTGAGTTGGTCGTGAATACTATATCCCCCGCTCCCCGCTTTCGCGCGGCGGGGGTCAATTAAACCATTTGAACACCTACAGGAGTCTTTAATCTGTTGCAAACCGAAATTGTTTCAGATTTGGTAAAAAACATAACTTTGCATTAAATCTTATTCCCTGTCACAGGAACTTTGTTGTTCAGTATGCATGCGTCATAATCAATCTGGTTTTTCAGATGAGCACCGATTTTGTCGTCAAATCTAAATTTGTAAAATGACCGACAAAATGATTCTTTGGACACTACAAACAATACATAGTGACTGATATACTGGCAATCATTTCGTAACGTATAATCAATTATTATGTAATGAATAGTTTGTGCACGCCTAACCTACTATACTTATAATATAAGTTGTTTAAGTCCTCTTAAAGTTTCAGTTACAACGTTCAGGGCGAAAGGTGTTGTGTTATGAATACATTTAAAAAATGAAGAGCGAAAAACAATCAGTTGAACCACGTTCAAACATAAACTTGTCCTACACAACGCTTGTGCCTACGCCCGCCAACATATTATATAGACCTCGCCACTTAAAATAGAATCACGAATTATCGCTATGAATATTTAACGATAGCCGCATGTGTGTTAATACTTATAAAGTGATAACAAGACATTGAGGAATAATACCTACAGTAATGACAACAAATGTAAACTGCGCTTTTCAAGAAATGGCCATTTTCTTAGCGACAAACACCATCATTGAGTTTTGATCACATGGTTACAATGAGGTAATACGCCAAGTCACATATTGTAACCACCTCATCCCACTAAATCGCATCTTGGAACAAGCATGGATAATGGGAACCTGTTCTGCCCCGGAAATCCCACAGGGTTATAAGTTTTGTTGGTTATTTACGCCGTGCTCAGCTATATGATGTGACGATCTGTAATAATCGATCGAATTTACTGTTGTTTCTTCGTCTTAATGCGAAACATACATTTAAATATGGTGAGAGAAACAGAAATCACATACATCTTTTTCTCAGACTCGTATCCTGCAACATGAACAATACGAGCGCGTCATTGGGCCTCAGTACGAGAAGTGCCTAGTTGAACCAGGAACAGACTATCAGTACAAACATGCGTGAGGAGACTTTCTGCTCAAGTACAATAAGTTTAATCATTGCTATCCGTAGTTAATACTTTGACGTGTTATTTCAGCGTTCATAGGAAAAAAAGACCGATTACATTGTAGTCCCACCTCAACCTATAAGGTGCGAGAGCTTTAGTTCTATTTTTGCTTTTTGAAATTGTCCTTGGTTAAATTCTCAATAAGGGGCAGCAGGCGTCTCATGTGGTGGTCAATAGCTATGAGAGCTTTTGAAATGTTCTTGAGAGGTTCCAAAGCCGCCACAAGGTCATTGACCTTCTCCTCAAGCATGCGCGACTCTGAGAGGTCGTCATTGTGGCTTTCCGGATCATCTTCATCCTCAACTTCATCCCTTTCTTCACTAACATAGCGATGGAATTCTGCTGAAGAAGTGTATGGCTCAGGTTCGTCCCCCGTGCCACCGGTGGTGGTTGGGGCGGCTTTGTCGACGGAGGTGGTGGGGACGGCCTTGTCGCCGGTGGTGGTGGGGACGGTCATGTCTCTGCCCCCTAAACAGCTGCTTCCAGCCTCGGCCAACTGGTCCCAAGTCCTGCTTGGTCCACTCGCTCCGTCCTTTCGACTTGCTGCCAGAATCTCAACAACGGCTGATGTATCAACACTGCGGGGAGTGTTGCACACGCGGCCACAACTGCTTGATTCTGAAAGTGTAGGCGACTTCACATGACAGTTGGATATTTTCCCCGTTGTACTTGAACTTGTCGCAACTCTCTCCGGCTCTGTTCCCTGTATGACACCACTTTCCCCTTTTATATTTCTGTGACGCCTATCCACATGCGTGTTGTGGCTAGTCTGTGCTTGTCCCCTTAGCTCGGAACATTTCCTTTCTCTGGCATTACTGACTAGTAACTCAGATGGATTAACCGACGTGCACCGTGCCCCATGCGGTACCTCTGAATAACCCACTTCACTTGAACTGATATCAAGAGAGAGGTCGTTTCTACTGTTTGTACTCATTTCAGTTTCTAAAACAGGGCCTACATCAACTTCACCATCTTCTGCTTTCTTGACGCTCAGACATTCACTATGGACAGTCGAACATTCCTTATCCTTCACGACAGTCGGTTTCACATGGCCACACAGATCTGGGGCAATATCTGTCGGCGAAAACGATAATTCGTAATTTGAAGTATCCGTATGTACCTGATCCCGAACATGTGGAATATGGACGTCAGGTTGCGGACTCGGGAATTGGTCGGGGTTGCTGAATCTGCTCCAATCTCGCTGGTAATTCCTGCAGGGTCTCTTCTCGTGGTTATAATCATAGGTCTGAATTCCTCGCTCATCACATGTGTCATAGTTAGGCACATCTGGACTGTCACATGTGTCATAATCTTGGAACCTAGCCTCTCTGTCGGAATCGTCCATATCACTCCATCGGCGTTTGAACGTCATAGTTCCGTCCTCCCCGAACTTACGCGCACAACCAGTTTGTCCGTCATCGTTGATATCCCCGACTGCAGCATCGTTCACCGGTATTATGTCCTGGCCCACACGGACAACATAAGGGTTATTTGACTTAATGTATGTAGTTGGCACACTGGGATGTTGTTTCTCAGCAGACTTATGAATGAAATGTCCTTCATGGCGATGCAGTGCTTGCTTTGAGAGGGCACGGAACCCGCACTTGCTGCACGACCATGGGGCTCTTCCTCCCGTCACGTGAGCGCGAACAAAATGCTCCATCATCAGTTGCTTGTTGCCTGCCTTGGAACACTTGATGCATTCAAAGACTGGGGATGTCATCATCTTCTTCCTCCTCTTTCTGAAACAAAAAAATCCTAATGCATTCTTCATACTACCTTTGTATTACAAGCTATACTTTGTAGGAACATATCCCACAACAGCTCAAACAGAAACGACGATTAGGGTATCTTTAATACAGGCAAGCATACAAGATGATGATGTTTGTCGTTTAACGCCGCACTCAGCAATATTCCAGCCATATCAAGGCGGTCTGTAAATAATCGAGTCTGAACCAGACAATCCAGTAATTGACATCATGAGCATCGATCCACGCAATTGGGATACGATGACATGCACCAGCCAAGTCAGCGCGCCTGACCACCCCCGCCTACGGGGAGTTGCATTGGGTTTGCCGTCATATCTCAGGATGGTTCAGCAGGATGAGTGCGGGCTAGTTCTTCGACTTTGTTGAGTCTGTGACCACTGGTAGAAAGGCGTGCGGCACACACGACGACAGCACATTTCCAATATTTCTTTAATTTTTATTTCAATTGTTACAATTCGTCTTATGAAAGCTTTTCGGTATGTTTTATCTTCTAAAACAAGCACTTTATATGTAAACACATGCGAATCGTGAGTAGACTCTTTGCAACTGTAAACACAGTCAATATGTTTTTAATAGTTTTGATCTTCTTAATCTTTATCTGTAAACACATCAACATCGTGAGTAGATTCACTAGCTACAGCTGAAAACACAGTCAATAACTCTGAATAACTCATTGATATCATAAAGCGTATTTCTTCTAATGTATTTCGGGATGCCTCATTTATATCATAAAACGGAACGTTTTCACGGTAATCTGTCGATTTGGCACTCCCGGTACCAAAAGCAGAATCTCTCGATTTATGATTTCGGCACTCCCGGGACAATCTGAAATTCAGATTTGGCGTTCCCGGCCCATAACCGTTTACTCAGAGAGAGGCAGTGTGACGCTCCCTGGTGTGCTCGGACTGGGGCATTGTTGACTCACTTTGGTATACTACGCCTGATCATAGGAAACATTTTGACGTACAGCTCCAAGCACTATTGATTTCTCAAGTGCCCGTGTAAGCATGGTAGGTGGAGCCGGGCGTGTCCTATCAGACAGTGTACAGAAAATACAATACACAAAATTACCCCATGGTGTTATTCCGACTGCTACTATGTAAAGGTAGTTCAAGCCAGCGAATGCACTGTCGATCCACCAATGGTTCAATCTGAAAAGTGAAAATAGGAATCATTTGTAAGTGTAAGACTAGTGTAAAATGGCAGTTTCATTAGTAGACCCAAGGGCCTTTTGTATAACCGGGGATACCAGGCCGCACTGTGTCCAACACAATGTGTAACCAGGGATACAAGGCCGCACTGTGTCCAACACGATGTGTAACCAGGGATACAAGGCCGAACTGTGTCCAACACGATGTGTAACCAGGGATACAAGGCCGCACTGTCTCCAACACGATGTGTAACCAGGGATACAAGGCCGCAGTGTGTCCAACACGATGTGAAACCAGGGATACAAGGCCGCACTGTGTCCAACACGATGTGTAACCAGGGATACAAGGCCGAACTGTGTCAAACACGATGTGTAACCAGGGATACAAGGCCGCACTGTGTCCAACACGACGTGTAACCAGGGATACAAGGCCGCACTGTGTCCAACACGATGTGTAACCAGGGATACCTGGCCGCACTGTGTCAAACACGATGTGTAACCAGGGATACAAGGCCGCAGTGTGTCCAACACGATGTGTAACCAGGGATACAAGGCCGCACTGTGCCCAACACGATGTGAAACCAGGGATACCAGGCCGAACTGTGTCCAACACGATGTGAAACCAGGGATACCAGGCCGCACTGTGTCCAACACGATGTGTAACCAGGGATACCTGGTCGCACTGTGTCCAACACGATGTGTAACCAGGGATACAAGGCCGCACTGTCTCCAACAAGATGTGTAACCAGGGATACAAGGCCGCACTGTGTCCAACACGATGTGTAACCAGGGATACCTGGCCGCTCTGTGTCCAACACGATGTGTAACCAGGGATACAAGGCCGCACTGTCTCAAACACGATGTGTAATCAGGGATACAAGGCCGCACTTTGTCCAACACGATGTGTAACCAGGGATACAAGGCCGCACTGTCTCAAACACGATGTGTAACCAGGGATACCAGGCCGCACTGTGTCCAACACGATGTGTAACCAGGGATACCAGGCCGCACTGTGTCCAACACGATGTGTAACCAGGGATACAAGGCCGCACTGTCTCCAACAAGATGTGTAACCAGGGATACAAGGCCGCACTGTGTCCAACACGATGTGTAACCAGGGATACAAGGCCGCACTGTCTCAAACACGATGTGTAACCGGGGATACAAGGCCGCACTGTCTCAAACACGATGTGTAACCGGGGATACAAGGCCGAACTGTGTCAAACACGATGTGTAACCAGGGATACAAGGCCGAACTGTGTCCAATACGATGTGTAACCAGGGATACAAGGCCGCACTGTGTCCAACACGATATGTAACCAGGGATACAAGGCCGCACTGTCTCCAACAAGATGTGTAACCAGGGATACAAGGCCGAACTGTGTCCAACACGATGTGTAACCAGGGATACAAGGCCGAACTGTGTCCAACACGATGTGTAACCAGGATACCAGGCCGCACTGTGTCCAACACGATGTGAAACCAGGGATACAAGGCCGAACTGTGTCCAATACGATGTGTAACCTGGGATACAAGGCCGAACTGTGTCCAACACGATGTGTAACCAGGGATACAAGGCCGAACTGTGTCCAACACGATGTGTAACCAGGGATACCTGGCCGCACTTTGTCCAACACGATATTAACCAGGGATACAAGGCCGCACTGTCTCAAACACGATGTGTAACCAGGGATACCAGGTCGCTGAATGTGCTACTATAGGGGATAGGCTGTGTGTGGAAACCAAATGGCTCAATCTGAAAGGTGAAAATAGGAATCATTTGTAAGTGTAAGCGTAAAATGGCAGCTTAATTTGTAGACTTTTTTTTAACAGTGGATAAAGGGCGCACTGTGTCCAACATGATGTGTAACCAGGCAGTCGCACTGTGTCCAATACGATGTGTAACCAGGGATACCAGGTCGCAGTATGTGCTGCTACAGGGGATAGGCTCTGTGTGGAAACCAAAGGTTTTATGTGCACTAATGTACCGAAAATAATTACCCTCCCCTTATGCTTGTTATATTTTGGATGACCCTCCCCATATCCTTGTATATTTGTTTCATGACCCTTCCTTAAAAGCCAAAATGCAAAAGCACTTCATAGTTTGTTTTTAACTGTCCATATTTAAATCCCCCCCCCCCCCCCCCCCCCCTGAATATGTGTAGTATGTTTATGGCCCTCCCCCGTCATATTTTTGTTAACTGACAAATTCCACCTGAGCATGTTCCCCAAGATGTGTTCCCAGATTGCTGCCACCAGATCCGAAACTCATCCGACGGAACATATCCTTCTTACCTGTTATCAGCAGAATACAGACACATATTTGATGCGAACAGTAACCCAGGATGATATCTGAATTCATCACATTGATACAGTGGACACATTTGATATCCCTAAACATACCCGCTCCACAAGCGACGTATGTGTGAGTATCGTCAATTGACTAAATTACGGTTTAGACTTTCTAGGATAGAAAGGGGATAGTGATGACTGTTATCCCTGCTTTAAAATGTTTGCCACACCACGGAACAGCTGTTGCTGGACGTTGCTTTATACTGGATGCCTGACCATGGAGCGGCACATGCTGGGCCTTGCTTTGTACTGGATGTCTGACCATGGAGCGGCACGTGCTGGGCCTTGCTTTGTACTGGATGCCTGACCATGGAGCGGCACATGCTGGGCCTTGCTTTATACTGGATGCCTGACCATGGAGCGGCACATGCTGGGCCTTGCTTTGTACTGGATGTCTGACCATGGAGCGGCACATGCTGGGCCTTGCTTTGTACTGGATGTCTAACCATGGAGCGGCACGGGCTGGGCCTTGCTTTGTACTGGATGTCTGACCATGGAGCGGCACGGGCTGGGCCTTGCTTTGTACTGGATGTCTGACCATTGAGCGGCACGTGCTGGGCCTTGCTTTGTACTGGATGTCTGACCATGGAGCGGCACGTGCTGGGCCTTGCTTTGTACTGGATGTCTGACCATGGAGCGGCACATGCTGGGCCTTTTTTGTACTGGATGTCTGACCATGGAGCGGCATGTGCTGGGCCTTGCTTTGTACTGGATGTCTGACCATGGACGTCGCTATATAAGTGCAATAATCTTGGACGCGACGTTAAACCCCATATCACCTCACATCTGACCATGAAGCGGCACGTGCTGGGCCTTGCTTTGTACTGTATGTCTTACCATGGAGCGGCACGTGCTGGGCCTTGCTTTGTACTGGATGCCTGACCATGGAGCGGCACATGCTGGGCCTTGCTTTGTACTGGATGTCTTACCATGGAGCGGCACGTGCTGGGCCTTGCTTTGTACTGGATGCCTGACCATGGAGCGGCACATGCTGGGCCTTGCTTTGTACTGGATGTCTGACCATGGAGCGGCACATGCTGGGCCTTGCTTTGTACTGGATGTCTGACCATGGAGCGGCACGTGCTGGGCCTTGCTTTGTACTGGATGCCTGACCACATCTTCCACAGGTAAGGGAGTTAACTTATAACGTCAAGTTTCCACCCTTGCAGAAAAGGGCTCGCATTATGAGTTATATTTTGGCTGGACTAACTAGCAACGTCCAGTCAAAATCGTGTAACGAACTAGACATCCGGTTCGTAAACAACATTTATTTCAACGTGCAGATTTCGGTCGACAGCAGGATTTCCAAGCACGTGTACCGTCAACTGGGCGTCGACGGATATTTTGCAAATATTTTCATTTTTTTTAATCAAGGTGCTCTGATGCACTTCGCGAAGTAAGACCCGTTTTATTGCAATATAGATTAGCTATCGATCATATCGTTTTGACAGGGCGCCGCCATTTTCTTTGCAGAAAATTCATGTGATAATGCAAGGAGGAATCTGATTGGTCAATAGGAGGGACATAGAAGGGACATAACTCGTAACAGCCACTGGTTGCGCCACGATCGAGTCTAGTTCGGCAAATGTGAAAACTGGACTTTTATAGTCAGTTCACTCCCTTGCCTCGGGAGGATGGCCTGACCATGGAGCGGCACATGCTGGGCCTTGCTTTGTACTGGATGTCTGACCATGGAGCGGCACATGCTGGGCCTTGCTTTGTACTGGATGCCTGACCACGGAGCGGCACATGCTGGGCCTTGCTTTGTACTGGATGCCTGACCACGGAGCGGCACGGCCAGGTCGACCACGTGTGACGTCACATGCAGAGGATCGTCAGATTGTCTTACGTCACCTCCGTAACCGATTTTTGACGGCTACATCAACCAGAAATGAACTGTTTAGGGGTAGACTGAGTGCGCAAACTGTTCGAAACTGCTCACCTTCAAGCACGACGGCCATACTGCGGGCCGATTCTGACTCAATTACACAGACGTCAACGTCAATTGTGGGCACAGCGACACTTACGATGGACTCAGAGGAATTGGAATCAAGTCGTCTTCAGTGATGAATCCCGATTTAATCTTCGATTTGCTGATGGTAGGGCGAGGGTGTGGCGGCGCCGTCATGAACGTTACGCCCAGTGTTGTGTACAGGAAGTTGACAGATTTCGAGGCGGAAGTGTCATGGTGTCGGGTGCTTTCTGTGGCAATGCACGTTCCAGGCTTCTTGTCATCCGTGGCAACCTCAACGCTGCTGCTTACCGCGACCAGGTGCTGGCACCAGATCTTCTGTCTTTTATGGCAGCACATGGACCCGGTTTGATCTTCTAACACGACAAATGCCAGACCCCACACAGCAATTTTGACAAGGAATTTCCTTCAGAATGCGGGAGTCAACGTCATGGACTGGCCGTCAAGGTCTCCCGACCTCAATCCCATCGAACACGTCTGGGATGCTCTTGGCAGAAGTCTGCGCAATCTCCAGAACCAACCACAGAATTTGCAAGATCTTGGCACCATTTTGCAGCAACAATGGCGTCGTCTTCCCAATCATGTGTTCACACCCATCACAAGGTCCATGCGGAGGCGTTGTGTGGCAGTTGTCAACGCACATAGTGGCCATACACGCTACTGAACTTGTGTGCCATCAGATTCTTGTGCTTGGGACTTATGATTTAAACTGTTGATGTTATTACCGAATACCGTAGGTGCTTGGAACAAATTATGGTTACCACCGTTAATTAAAATCCTTCTTTGGACATTAATGATTAAAAATTACCTTCTCTGATACATTTGTCCGTTGTATATCATATATGGGATTAATTTTTAAAATGTGAAGTTTTTAATTTGACTCAGTATACTATGCCACACAACTATACAACTCAAAGTTTGCCTAGGCTAAATGTTTGGATGATATAAAAAAGTCATCTAAACAAATAAAGATTGAAATCTCCGGGTATACAGAAGGATATCAATTTCAAGATGGCATGCAGGCATGAGCACGTTGCCACGTGGTGCTCGAGTGAGTGAGTGAGTGAGTATGGTTTTACGCTGCTTTTACACCAGAAAAGGACGCACACATTGCACGCATGTGAGGAATCGAACCCGCGTCTTCGGCGTGACGAGCGAATACGTTAACCACCCATCGTCCCCGTGGTGCAAAACGTGTTTAGATGTATCGTGACAGAATCGTTACACATCAGAAATGACTCGCAGAACGCCAGTAGCGCTAATGTTTCTACTCAACAGTGCGTAATCGTCTCCGTGAGGCTGGTTCCGGCTACGGGGGACATGCATTCGCATCCCACTGACCCGACGTCACAGGCAGGCCAGACTCGAATGGATTCGAAGATCACGTCAAGACCAGGGCTCTAGTACTTTTCACTGATGAATCGGTATACTGTCCAAGCTCCACAGATCGTCGTGCCCGTAGCGTTTCAGGATTACAACGTAGGCATGGAGGGGGCCCAAACATGAGTTGGAGGTGAGATCAGCAGAGCTGGAAGAACCCATCTCCATATCGTCCACCGGGGCACGATGACAGGTGTGCGCTACAAGGGTGTCATTTTGGGCGTGTACTTGAGACTGTATGCTGGCGCAATCGGACCGACCTAATCGTGCCCGGTAATCTGACTGATTATTGGCGACGTGCTGTTTGTTGGTCCTTTGTGGCTGACTTGGCTGATGCATGTTATCGTATCCAAATTGCATGGATCGATGCTCATGATGTCAATCACTGCACTGTCTGGTCCAGACTCGATATTTACAAACCGCCGTCATATAGCTGGAATATTACTGCGTAAAACAACAAAGGAGCAAACGAACAATGTGCGCTCTGGTATTCCCATACGGAATGGTTGCATCACAATTACCGCCAATTTGTTCTTAGGTATTCCCATACGGAATGGTCGCATCACAATTACCGCCAATTTGTTCTAAGGTATTCCCATACGGAATGGTCGCATCACAATTACCGCCAATTTGTTCTAAGGTATTCCCATACGGAATGGTCGCATCACAATTACCGCCAATTTGTTCTAAGGTATTCCCATACGGAACGGTCGCATCACAATTACCGCCAATTTGTTCTAAGGTATTCCCAAACGGAACGGTCGCATCACAATTACCGCCAATTTGTTCTAAGGTATTCCCATACGGAATGGTCGCATCACAATTACCGCCAATTTGTTCTAAGGTATTCCCATACGGAATGGTCGCATCACAATTACCGCCAATTTGTTCTAAGGTATTCCCATACGGAATGGTCGCATCACAATTACCGCCAATTTGTTCTAAGGTATTCCCAAACGGAACGGTCGCATCACAATTACCGCCAATTTGTTCTAAGGTATTCCCATACGGAATGGTTGCATCACAATTACCGCCAATTTGTTCTAAGGTATTCCCATACGGAATGGTCGCATCACAATTACCGCCAATTTGTTCTAAGGTATTCCCATACGGAATGGTCGCATCACAATTACCGCCAGTTTGTTCTAAGGTATTCCCATACGGAATGGTCGCATCACAATTACCGCCAATTTGTTCTAAGGTATTCCCAAACGGAACGGTCGCAAATCGAGTACCGCCCATGTACGTCTGATATTTCTACTATGACCGATAGCGTTTATGTAGATGTCTCTAAGTAGTTCACTGGTGAAAGTTTTTTTTTTTTTTTGTTTATTGTTTAAAGCCGCACTCAGCAATATTCAGGCTATATGACGGCGTTCTGTAAATGATCGAGTCTGGACCAGACAATCCAATGATTGATGTCATGAGCATCGATCCACGCAATTAGGATACGATGATATGCATCAGCCAAGTCAGAGAGCCTGACCACCCGATCCCGTCAGTCGCCTCTTACAACCAGCATAATCGCCCTTTACGGCAATCATGGGTTGCTGAAGACCTGTTCTACCCCGGATCTAGTAAAAGATTCAGATCAGTGTTATGGGCCTAAGTGCGTTTACTTTATGCGCATAGTTAGTGCGTAGCTTTACCTTGCTCAGCTTGTGATACTCACATTTCAGTGCCAACAAATCGCCGCCGCCGCCACCGGGGTCACTAAGTTACGTCACTGTGAGACGCTAGCTCAGGGCGCAACCCCACCTGGGGTTTGTCCCAATCAAAAACACTAAGGTCGGACCGTGTGCTAGCTGCTTGTCGATATGTACATAGACCCGAGAGACAATTTTCACGATGTATTTTGGAAAAATAATAATCAGGCGTTCTCCGAGCTTCGTGGTGTTCGGCACAGGAATATTGTCAAATCTGAAAACTGCATTCAATCATCACAACGTGCTACCGTGTCATCATGGCCGACCGCAACTCATCTATGTGGGTGAATTCGAGAAATCCGGATATTAGCCCGGCCATTAGCCCGGCCATTGTGATGAAGCTAGTAATTAGATAATGTTTGAGTTCCCTTTAAGTCTGAAAACTAAGACCTAATGAATCCTAAGATATCAATGACGGTCCCACCGTTATGTCAATTTAGTGAATCAGTGAGTGCTTTTTGTTTTACGCCCCAGACAGAAATATTCAATTCAGGCAAAACCATGGTGGACATCAATAATGCGGTCTTGGCCACGCGAACTATTTGCTGTTAGCTTTTCGCGACCTATATATACAGCTGGAGGACGACATATTCTGCCTTGCACCCCGCGGGGCTTCAGAGAAGTCTGACCAGGTTTTCCTGGCCTCTTCGGGACGTTAGTATTACGCGATATACAAATCAAATTCTACTTATTGGCTGTGCTGCAAGGAGGAATTCAAAGTGTTGCAAAAATCAGTTGATGTTAACATAGCATACCGTCTGTTGAAGACATGTTGACGCCGTCTGTAGGACTGAGTGGCAGGCAGAGGTGCATTCAATAAGCCGTTTGGTGCCGAGGCGCCAGCGAGCGCTAGCGAGCTCCTCCGAATATTTCCAAATGAACGAAACGCACGCTGAGAGCGCTTTCCAGCGCCTCCGCGCATACTGATGAGGAGGCACGCCGAGGGACAAAGATGGCGGACTTGGACAAATGCGGGGCCTGTGAACATTAACTTTTCGACATGGAACAACTTGTAAGACATACGAGCACTCAGTGGTGAAGTTTGATACCACCACGTTAGAGATAACATTTATTGGAAGACTTGTCACTTGTTCAAACCAGGAAAACCCAATTGTTTTAGTTGCATTTTGAAGCCCCTCGCTGCACGGAGTATTTTTCCTTGCAACCCATGTTAATTTCAGCACAGACAAAAAACCTATTCAAGCGTCTGTTTGTGAACAAGATGCAGTTTTTGTCCCAATAACACTCATATGATTTCTTTTTGTAAACAATTGACATATATTATTATGCGATATAAACCTTCACTTGTCGAAAACGTAACTTCAGATATTTTCATAGGAGCCTGTCTTCTCTTAAATAAATCTAAAACATTACGATTTGTTCATTTTTACTGCAGTCTACAGTATACCAGCAATATCAGGGCGGCCTGTAAATAATCGGTTTTGTCCCTGACAAATTTACCAGTGGTTGATTTGGACAACGCCCCATGCCGTCGGGGCATTCGAGTGGTAACGATTGGCGGGGTACAACGAAACACAATCCACCAAGTCACCGATCCATTTAGTTGAATCTTACACCATGCATACAAACGGATCCAACGAACTGTTACAAAATCCCCGATTTATTTCCTTTATATTATCATATAAAATTTACGTACATAACGAACTCTCTACAGCGAACTGATATCGGATCACCGACAAGGCCCATCCACCACTAATTAGTGACTTGTGCACTGACATTTGGCTGTACGCAATCAGCGGCGAATCAACACAATCACAGTCTATATTTTTATTTTCCTATGTTAAATAAGTCGGTAGGATTACAAGTGTTCGGTCCGACGTATGTCACGATAATGCCATAAAATAAAGTTGTGTTATCTAATCGGTGACTGTCTAACTAACGGTAATTTTATTGTATCTTTATTCTAAACAATTAAACTTTACATACACAATGTTCAACAACATTGCTAAATTACGCCATTTTGAAAACCGCGCCCTCTGCCGGCGGCAGTTGACACATCGTTCGATTGCACCCGAACGTCCGCGGAGAGCGCTAAGCAAGCGCTCAGAAAGCGCCTCGGCCTATTGAACGCATGCCGGGTGCAATCGAACGATGTGTCAACTGCCGCCGGCAGAGGGCCCGGTTTTCAAAATGGCGTTGAAGACCGATTTTAACAATATTGTTGAACATTGTGTATGTAAAGTATTATTGTTTAGAATAACGATACGATAAACTTACCGTTAGTTAGACGGTCACTGATCAGACAACACAACTATATTTTATGGCATTATCGTGATACATACTGAACCGCAAAAGAAACGTCACCATGGATAGATATATGAGAAACCTTATTTGTCCAAACACTGTAAGCATATGTCACGGGTTCTGCCAACGATGTAATTGAGGGAACTGAGGCGGTGAGGATGAGGTATAAAGGGATTTATTACCTGTAAAAATATAGAAATGACATCAACATGAATTGATGAGTCGAGGAAGAAAGAATGTCTTCCCTCGGCAATGGCGTGACATAAAGTGGCAATTGAAAGTGTCCACGTCACACCCTAGGTATCTGCACGAGATACTGCTGGTAAGACAACCAGGAGTAAGATTGAGGGATGAAGCGTCCATAAAATAAAACAGAGATAACTCTTGGCAACTAAGCCTAAATATATCCGGCGACACATACTTTGAGACATATTAAAAAGATGAAACTTGGCAAAACTGATCATCATAGTTGAAATTAAAGTGTCAAATGTTCTTGAAGTGAAACACAACACTAGTCTCTGAGAAAATGGCATTACAAGTCAGCATCTCGTGTGTCCGCCATGTGCATTAATGACTGCCGTGCAACGTCGATACGTGGAATGGATGAAGCGGTTGATGAAGGCCATGGGCTTTTGAGCCCGCACTCTGAGGAACGCCTGACGCAGTTCAACTGCAGTTGTCGGCCTTGGTCGGACGTCATTCAGCCGTCTTTGAATCTCGCCCCGAAGGTGCTAAATGGGATTTTAATCTGGACTGAGGGCAGGCCACTGCATGGTTCTGCTGCGTGGTTGCGGCGACGTGCCAAATGAGGTATGGCGTGTGGTCTCAAAACTTGACCAATGTACCGAGCTGCTGTGACACCATTGCCTCTCCCAGGACCGATGTTCTGGAAGACCACAGGGCCGACCCTCTCTGCAAGACCAATTCCACCCCACGCCATGATGCTCGGACCACCCTCAAGTCTCTCCCAACAACACAAGCATCCAAATAACGTTTCCTACGGCGTCGCCAGACTCTCTCTCTGCCATCTGCTGTTGAGATACAGTAACGGCTCTCGTCTGAGAAAAAGACTCTTCTCCACTGGTGGCGCCAATGCTGGAGCTGTGTTGCCCACTGAAAACAGTCCCGGCGATGACGTAGTTTCAGAATGGGTGTGGCCTGTGACAGTGGAGGTGTCTGCTCGTCAATCGTCGACGCACGGTGTCGGCACTAATGTGTCGCTGGTGTGTCCCCATGGTCTGTCTAGCAGTTTCCGCAGCAGTAACAAAGCGATCTTGAAGATGCTGTCGCACAATCTGACGATCCTGACGTCGGGTGGTGGCCCTTGGTCCTACACTACGTGGTCGGTCATCAGTAGTGTTGGTGGTCTGGTACCGTTGCTGGAGCCTGTGTAGGGTCCTTACGTGGACTTGAAATGCATTGGCTACTTGCCGGGCGGTTTGTCCAGCTTGCAATTGTCCAAGGGCTTGGTGTAGCTGATTTCTTGTCAATCTTGGCATGTGGTAGCAATTCAATAGCAAATGAATGTTATTCAATCTGGGTGGATTTTTATAGGGCAAGAAATGGGGGAACGCATGTGCATTTCAATTTGCACGGAACTCACGTGCATCGGGTTACCATGGCCGTTGCCGTGATGCGTTTGGTTTTATTGTCATCTGCTATGTTTTTTTATCATCAAACTTCATTTTTTCTGGACAAGGTAATGTTAAATTTTATAAACTTTGAAATAAATTACCCAGATATTTCAATGACACCTTTCCATGCAATGTTATACGTAGGTGACGTTTCTTTTGCGGTTCAGTATACGTCGGACCCAACTCATTTCATCCAACCGACTTATTAACAATCTCATTAAAATCAGATCTTAGTTTTCGCTACCGCTAAACAAAGGTCAGAGAACATCCCATTACGGGTCACGTCAGAACGACCTTTCGTTAATTTTGACCGACCAATAAAATGACTGACAAGAAATCGACATTAGCCAATCAGAAGGCAGCTTTCTCGAGCTTTACGCCACTAGTTTCAAACTGGCGACTACGCTTCGAAACATACTTTGACGCATTCTCGATTAAAAAAAATAAAACTGACAAGAAGAACATTCCGGAATGGCTTATAGATGGCCTAGATTGTATGGATATAATCATAAGCCCGTAACTGTCATTCGGAATACCCCGTGTTAAATATTTCGTGGTTGCATGATTAGAAAACACATTCCGACTGTCACTTTCATGATGTGGTAAGCGACGCTCTGATTGGTTGGATGAAAGGTCGTTCTGTCGTGACCCGTAATGGGTTGTCCTCAGATCTTTGTTTAGCGATAGCGAGAACTAAGATCTGATTTTAATGAGATTGACTTATTTAATATTGGAAAATCAAACCATAGACTGTGATTGTGTTGATTGCTTATTACAGCCAATTGTCAGGGACACTTGAGACTGAGTGAGATTTCTCAGTTCGCTGTACAAGTCACTAATTAGTTGTAGATGGGCTCGTCTGTTATCAGATATCAGTTCGCTATATCCGTTAGTTCGCTGTAGAGAGTGCGTTATGTATGTACATTTTATGATAATATATAGGAGATAAATCGTGGGTTTTGTAACAGTTCATTGTATCCGTCTGTTCGCTCTATCCGTGTTCGTTATATCCGTGTCACACTGCATTTTCAAACGTACTGGTGTAAATAGAATAAAGTCGAATTGGAACATTATGTGAATAAGGACGTCTGATTCTGCATGTATATCTTATCCGCAAGTTACCTTTCCATCGACCAATGATCACTTATTATTTGACTTGACAATATATCTTGTTCCGTTAGCAATTCAAAAATCAGTGATGAGTTAGAATTTATCAGCTCGAAAATGTTCCAAGTATTTTGGAAATCCTTAAACCCAATATCCCTATGGTTCTCTATTTCATTTCGGAAATTCCCCTAAAGTGTTGATGCCATACAATCCTAAAATCATACAGACAATTACTATAAAATATTTAAAAAATCAGAATGTGTATTTGACATTCATTCCGTCTTAATATATATACTTTTGAAATGGATCGGACGTAATTTATTACCTATTCCATACTATGAATAAATAATGAAATAATAAACATAATGGTTTGATGTTTATATTCATACATATTTAATTTCAGTGTATTCTGGACAATTATTAAGGCGAATAAATTAAATACATCCGTCACTTTATTGCCCAAACGGCAAGAACAAAGTCTTATAAATCACACAAAAATAATTAATTACCTATAGGATTAGAATTAATCGAGTTACTAAAAGTCGTATGTACACTGGTGCAATATCGTTCACATCCACTAGTATAGTGTATGGGTCATCCGGGCGGCATTGTTATCATCCTTCAAATTTTATTATAACACTAGAAATGACGCATTTGCCGAAGACTGTTGACGTCATTTGACGTCATTTGACGTCATTTGACAATTGTGGTTTTCTAAGACGGCGGTTGTGATCAGTGCATTTCTAATGTGGGTTCATACAGGTATCATGGACTGTGGTTGAAGAACACCTGAACATGAAATTTACGGTAAAGGATATGTCCAATTCTGCAAGAAGAGCTTTATAGCCTCTCATCGCTAAGTACAGGCAGTGAAATAGATTATAGTGTATTTCGCAAACTGTAGGAGTCGACTGAACAGCCAATCCTGTTGTTTACTGGGTCTGTTTGGGGTATATATTGACACCGCGAAGTTAACAGGATGCAGCACAGAGCCAGTTCATTCTTCTCTGGAGTGCCCCGTAATACTCCTAACTGTGCTGCTCAAGGCGAAATGGGTTGGACCTCCTGCTTGACAAAATAAAGGATTAAAGCTTTCATAGGGTATTTGAAGCTCTCAAGAACTCCCCCGGATAGGCTTTCTTGTAAGCTTTTTAACTGTCCAAAGACGAAAAGGCTCCATCGGTTATTGCATCCATAGACTAAGTAAACAACATCGTGTGGAACAGTATGAAACTAAAGTAACAAGATTGAAAATCCTTACATCCATCTTGAAACAACATGTGTGTATGTTACTGGTACTCATTTCCAGTGTATTTTTTATTCAGTCAAGTACAAAAAAGGTAAAGGCTCTTGGACCTTTATTTATATCAGCAACAAAGCTGACTTGCAATATGTAACTGCTGTAGTTTACAGTTACATTGTAGCCATGATTTCCCCCCAAAGTGTAGGATCAAGGCAGATGTCTGAGTGTGATCCCTCAAGTTGTTTTGGTTGTGGTATGATGGCCATGATATTTTCAAATTTATACCAACACTTATCTTTAACTTTAAGTGGCCCAAAGTAGGAATTTGCTTTCCTCCCAACTTTGTGCATACACTCAATGTAAAGATCATTGTTTCCAATGTCTTCAACAATACCTGGATATGGCAAATTTTCATACAAGACTACAACATATTATCAGAGATCTGTTATATGGTCTCCGATATTATCCAGGCAGCCACTCTGTATTTATCAGAGATATGTTATATGGTCTCTGATATTATCCAAGCAGCCACTCTGTATTTATCAGAGATCTGTTATATGGTCTCTGATATTATCCAAGCAGCCACTCTGAATTTATCAGAGATCTGTTATATGGTCTCTGATATTATCCAAGCAGCCACTCTGTATTTATCAGAGATCTGTTTTTGGTCTCTGATATTATCCAAGCAGCCACTCTGTATTTATCAGATATCTGTTATATGGTCTCTGATATTATCCAAGCAGCCACTCTGTAGTTATCAGAGATCTGTTATATGGTCTCTGATATTATCCAAGCAGCCACTCTGTATTTATCAGAGATCTGTTATATGGTCTCTGATATTATCCAAGCAGCCACTCTGTATTTATCAGAGATCTGTTATATTGTCTCCGATATTATCCAAGCAGCCACTCTGTATTTATCAGAGATCTGTTATATGGTCTCTGATATTATCCAAGCAGCCACTCTGTATTTATCAGAGATCTGTTATATGGTCTCTGATATTATCCAAGCAGCCACTCTGTATTTTTCAGAGATCTGTTATATGGTCTCTGATATTATCCAAGCAGCCACTCTGTATTTATCAGAGATCTGTTATATGGTCTCTGATATTATCCAAGCAGCCGCTCTGTATTTATGTCTTGTTTCATGTTGGCAATTAAGTCCAACTCTTCAGCTTTCTCTTCTTCCTTCCTGCACATTCATCACTCTTCCTTCAGTCTCCGTTCCTCATCCGTCAACTGTCGCATTACTCCTTTCTCCTCTTTCAGTCTCATTGTCTCGACTTCATTCTCATTTGTCTCTCTCTATTTTGAACAATCTCACCTTCATTCTCATTTCTCTCCCCATCTTCAACTATCTCACCTTCATTCTCATTTCTCTCCCCATCTTCAACTTTCTCACCATCATTCTCATCTCTCTCCCCATCTTCAACTATCTCACCTTCATTCCCATCTCTCTCTCCATCTTCAACTATCTCACCTTCATTCTCATTTCTCTCCCCATCTTCAACTAACTCACCTTCATTCTCATTTCTCTCCCCATCTTCAACTATCTCACCTTCATTCCCATCTCTCTCCCCATCTTCATCTATCTCACCCTATTCTCATTTCTCTCTCCATCTTCAGAAAAAATGTCCAATTGTTTATTATACCTTTAAACCAAAACCAGGATAAATTTTGAATGCTGTTCCCTTAAATTATTGTATGGTCATCAAGAAATCTCTCCTGTTACTATTTTTAACTTTCCTCTTACCAAAGTCGTGCGAACAGCATGGAAAGTAAGGGTACTGATGCTTTATGATAAATGGATGGTCTCAATACAACTCAAAATTGAAGAGACATTAAAACTCCAGTAATGTGAACAGTTTCCAATTTTCTTTTAATTACACAGCAAAATCACAGTAACAGTAGGGAAATCTGAGAAAAGGTCTACTTACCTGTAAGACCGACGAATGGACTTTTAGGCTCCAGAAGACCAGAAAGAAGTTTCCATGTGGTGGACAGGAAGTGCTAATGTGAATGACAACAGCCTTACTTTCAAATGAGTGAGAATTAATTGTGTTGTGCTGGTACTTAGTTGTTGGTGACAGGAGTGAAAGTAGTTTGATGGACATACTATTATCATAATTTATTGCACATCCAACATGCCCCAAAAGAATATCTACACTATTTAGTGATAAGTTCAGTGTAAAAAGATATCCCACTGATGTCAAATAATGGGTTTATGAAAATGGACATGCATTTTTCCATACCCTTTACTTGAGAAAGGACTTATATTGCCTCCACGCACGCACGCACGCACGCACGCACGCACGCACACACACACAATTATTCTCTTGTTTAAAGGACATCATTTTCAGATTCAACATTGAACATGTTAAAGATAACATGCAAAAAAAATCATTCTTAGTAAAGCAATCATTGGGAACAGATAGGGAATGACAGGGTTAATGAGGATGAACAGTGGAGATGTCATGATATGGTTTTCATGTAATTGTGAAAATGATCTACACGCAATCTAAATGTAAAGAAAAAAAAGCTTATAAGTAATTAGGTGATTCTAGACATATACATATGGTGGCTACCCAGTAATTAAGTGATTCTAGACATATACATATGGTGGCTACCAAGTAATTAAATAATTCTAGACATATACATATGGTGGCTATATGGTGGCTACACAGTAATAAAGTGATTCTAGACATATACATATGGTGGCTACACAGTAATTAAGTGATTCTAGACATATACATATGGTGGCTACACAGTAATTAAATGATTCTAGACATATACATATGGTGGCTACACAGTAATTAAGTGATTCTAGACATATACATATGGTGGCTACACAGTAATTGCCCTTTGGAATTAAATGTTCATTCAGACAAAGGCCGCTATGGTACAAACTCGGTTTCACCATGGTATCTAACACCAGTGTACTTCACACAGTAACCGACATGAAATCTGTATAATCACGACGAAAGACTTTGAAGTGTATACATTTTCCGATTTAACCACACTCTACCATAACTCATTCGTAGCAATAAATGAATGTCGAAATGATTGAGATATGGCTCTTGTTGAAACACATCACTGATGATTACACAGTGTCCTACACTACTGGCCCTATGTATGAGGGTCGCGTGGTAGTGTATTTGTTTATTACTCATTGGATGAGTGGATGGGGCAACCTTTCCATTTGGAGGGGGAAGAATATCCAGTTTCAGAAACATGAAATACCCAATGCGTGTTTTACTTTTGAAGTTGTATGGTACGGGTATTGACCTTAATATTGTACTCGTAAAATAGGTAAGAGACCATATACCGATATATGGTCTCTGAACACGTAAACAAAATAACCTTTTAGTATATAGCCTGCCATACACTCACGTGGACTCTTCCGGCGATATAAGATCATCGACGCAGAAGAAAATATAAGTGCCCATCGACGCAGAAGCAAATACAAGATGGCCCACACAAAGGTTGGTATATTTGTGTATGGGAGACATGTTAATCCCCAAATGTTTTTAAACATAACTATAAGGCAAAGAATTTAGAGTTTATCATTAACAGCGTGATAAACAAATCACTCTAAACCCGTGTCTTGTCTACTCCCAGGCACCTGCTTGTGTGAGCAATATGGAAGACACGAGACTCGATGAGAAGCCCCGCAAGAGTCCGAAACATGCGGTGGACATCATTGATGTGGAGAAGGACATAGAAGCGGACGACCCCTGGGCCCTTCCTGACTCCATCGACACAGGCAAAAAATGGCACGGTAAGGACATGCCCTTTCTGACACCATCGATACAGTCAAACTAAGGCACGGTAAGGACAGAACCTTTCTGACACCATTGACATAGTCAAACAATGGCACGGTAAGGACAGACCCTTTCTGACACCATCGACACAGTCAACCAATGGCAGGGTAAGAACATACCTTTTCTGACACCATCGACACAGTCAAACTAAGGCACGGTAAGGACATGCCCTTTCTGACACCATCGATACAGTCAAACTAAGGCACGGCAAGGACATGCCCTTTCTGACATCATCGATACAGTCAAACTAAGGCACGGTAAGGACAGAACCTTTCTGACACCATCGACACAGTCAACCAATGGCAGGGTAAGAACATACCTTTTCTGACACCATCGACACAGTCAAACAATTGCACGGTAAGGACAGACCCTTTCTGACACCATTAGTTGAATATGTCCCTTTTTTGTGTCTACCAACATATCTATTTCCCGGTAGAAATAAAGGACCTGGAGAAGGTGAAGCGAGTTGTGTTCAACATCCTGAAGGTGGTGCTGCTACTCGGGTTCCTCTACATGTTTGTCTGCTCCCTGGACTTCCTCAGCTCAGCATTCCGACTTCTGGGAGGTGAGTACCGGCACTGCTCTGGAATGAGTTAAAGCACTGATAAGGGATGAGCGCAGCCGCTTATTTCAGGTTAAAAGCTGCACTGTATGGGTGTGTGTACCTGCACTGTATGGGGTGTGTACCTGCACTGTATGGGGTGTGTACCGGCACTGTTTGGGGTGTATACCTGCACTGTATGTGGTGTGTACCTGCACTGTAAAGGGTTTATACCTGCACTGCATGGGGCGAGTAGCTGCACTGTATGGGGTGTATACCTGCACTGTATGGGGCGAGTAGCTGCACTGTATTGGGTGTATACCTGCACTGTATGGGATGTGTACCTGCACTGTATGGGGTGAGTAGCTGCACTGTATTGGGTGTATACCTGCACTGTATGGGGTGTGTGTACCTGCACTGTATGTGGTGTGTACCTGCACTGTTTGGGGTGTATACCTGCACTGTAAGGGATGTGTTTACCTGCACTGTTTGGGGTGTATACCTGCACTGTATGGGATGTGTTTACCTGCACTGTTTGGGGTGTATACCTGCACTGTATGTGGTGTGTACCTGCAGTGTTTGGGGTGTATACCTGCACTGTATCTGGCGTGTACCTGCACAGTATGGGGTGTGTACCTGCACTGTATGGGATGTGTTTACCTGCACTGTATGGGGTGTGTACCTGCACTGTATGGGATGTGTATACCTGCACTGTTTGGGGTGTATGCCTGCACTGTATGTGGTGTGTACCTGCACTGTTTGGGGTGTGTGTACCTGCACTGCATGGGACGAGCAACTGCACTGTATGGGGTGTGTGTACCTGCACTGTATGGGGTGTATACCTGCACTGTATGGGATGTGTTTACCTGCACTGTTTGGGGTGTATACCTGCACTGTATGTGGTGTGTACCTGCACTGTTTGGGGTGAATACCTGCACTGTATTGGGTGTGTACCTGCACTGTATCTGGCGTGTACCTGCACTGTATCTGGCGTGTACCTGAACTGTATAGGGTGTGTACCTGCACTGTATGTGATGTGTACCTGCACTGTATGGGGTGTGTACCTGCACTGTATGGGGTGTGTACCTGCACTGTATGTGATGTGTATCTGCACTGTATGGGGGGTGTACCTGCACTGTATGTGGTGTGTACCTGCACTGTATGGGGTGTGTACCTGCACTGTATGTGGTGTGTACCTGCACTGTGTGGGATGTGTACCTGCACTGTATGTGGTGTGTACCTGCACTGTATGGGGTGTGTACCTGCACTGTATGTGGTGTGTACCTGCACTGTATGTGGTGTGTACCTGCACTGTATGTGGTGTGTACCTGCACTGTATGTGGTGTGTACCTGCACTGTATGGGGTGTGTACCTGCACTGTATATGATGTGTACCTGAACTGTATAGGGTGTGTACCTGCACTGCATGGGGTGTGTACCTGCACTGTATGGGGTGAGTAGCTGCACTGCATGTGGCGTGTACCTGCACTGTATGGGATGTGTACCTGAACTGTTTGGGGTGTGTACCTGCACTATTTGGGGTGTACCTGCACTGTATCTGGCGTGTACCTGCACTGTATCTGGCGTGTACCTGCACTGTTTGGGGTGTGTACCTGCACTGTATGTGGTGTGTACCTGCACTCTAAGTGGTGTGTACCTGCACTGTATGGGATGTGTACCTGAACTGTTTGGGGTGTGTACCTGCACTGTATCTTGCGTGTACCTGCACTGTATGGGGCGTGTACCTGCACTGTATCTGGCGTGTACCTGCACTGTTTGGGCTGTGTACCTGCACTGTATGTTGTGTGTGTCTGCACTGTATGGGGTGTGTACCTGCACTGTATGGGATGTGTACCTGAACTGTTTGGGGTGTGTACCTGCACTATTAGGGGTGTACTTGCACTGTATCTGGCGTGTACCTGCACTGTATCTGGCGTGTACCTGCACTGTATCTGGCGTGTACCTGCACTGTTTGGGCTGTGTACCTGCACTGTATGTGGTGTGTATCTGCACTGTATGGGTTGTGTACCTGCACTGTATGGGATGTGTACCTGAACTGTTTGGGGTGTGTACCTGCACTATTTGGGGTGTACCTGCACTGTATCTGGCGTGTACCTGCACTGTATCTGGCGTGTACCTGCACTGTTTTGGGTGTGTACCTGCACTGTATGTGGTGTGTATCTGCACTGTATGGGGTGTGTGTACCTTCACTGCATGGGATGAGCAACTGCACTGTATGGGGTGTGTGTACCTGCACTGTATGTGGTGTGTTCCTGCACTGTATGTGGCGTGTACCTGCACTGTATGTGGTGTGTATCTGCACTGTATGGGGTGTGTACCTGCACTGTATGGGGTGTGTGTACCTGCACTGTATGTGGTGTGTACCTGCACTGTTTTGGGTGTATACCTGCACTGGATGGGGTGTATACCTGCACTGTATGTGGTGTGTACCTGAACTCTAAGTGGTGTGTACCTGCACTGTATGTGGTGTGTACCTGCACTATATGGGGTGTGTACCTGCACTGTTTGGGGTGTGTACCTGCACTGTATGTGGTGTGTATCTGCACTGTATGTGGCGTGTACCTGCACTGTATCTGGCGTGTACCTGCACTGTATGGGGCATGTACCTGCGCTGTATCTGGTGTGTACCGGCACTGTATCTGGCGTGTACCTGCACTGTATGTGGTGTACACCTGCACTGTATGTGGTGTGTACCTGCACTGTATGTGGTGTGTATCTGCACAGTATGTGGTGTGTACCTGCACTGTATGTGGTGTGTACCTGCACTGTATGTGGTGTGTACCTGCACTGTATGTGGTGTGTACCTGCACTGTATGTGGCGTGTACCTGCACTGCATGGGGGGTGTACCTGCACTGTATTTGGTGTGTACCTGCACTGTATGTGGCGTGTACCTGCACTGTATGTGGTGTGTATCTGCACTGTATGGGGTGTGTACCTGCACTGTATGGGGTGTGTACCTGCACTCTAAGTGGTGTGTACCTGCACTGTATGGGATGTGTACCTGAACTGTTTGGGGTGTGTACCTGCACTGTATCTTGCGTGTACCTGCACTGTATGGGGCGTGTACCTGCACTGTATCTGGCGTGTACCTGCACTGTTTGGGCTGTGTACCTGCACTGTATGTTGTGTGTGTCTGCACTGTATGGGGTGTGTACCTGCACTGTATGGGATGTGTACCTGAACTGTTTGGGGTGTGTACCTGCACTATTAGGGGTGTACTTGCACTGTATCTGGCGTGTACCTGCACTGTATCTGGCGTGTACCTGCACTGTATCTGGCGTGTACCTGCACTGTTTGGGCTGTGTACCTGCACTGTATGTGGTGTGTATCTGCACTGTATGGGTTGTGTACCTGCACTGTATGGGATGTGTACCTGAACTGTTTGGGGTGTGTACCTGCACTATTTGGGGTGTACCTGCACTGTATCTGGCGTGTACCTGCACTGTATCTGGCGTGTACCTGCACTGTTTTGGGTGTGTACCTGCACTGTATGTGGTGTGTATCTGCACTGTATGGGGTGTGTGTACCTTCACTGCATGGGATGAGCAACTGCACTGTATGGGGTGTGTGTACCTGCACTGTATGTGGTGTGTTCCTGCACTGTATGTGGCGTGTACCTGCACTGTATGTGGTGTGTATCTGCACTGTATGGGGTGTGTACCTGCACTGTATGGGGTGTGTGTACCTGCACTGTATGTGGTGTGTACCTGCACTGTTTTGGGTGTATACCTGCACTGGATGGGGTGTATACCTGCACTGTATGTGGTGTGTACCTGAACTCTAAGTGGTGTGTACCTGCACTGTATGTGGTGTGTACCTGCACTATATGGGGTGTGTACCTGCACTGTTTGGGGTGTGTACCTGCACTGTATGTGGTGTGTATCTGCACTGTATGTGGCGTGTACCTGCACTGTATCTGGCGTGTACCTGCACTGTATGGGGCATGTACCTGCGCTGTATCTGGTGTGTACCGGCACTGTATCTGGCGTGTACCTGCACTGTATGTGGTGTACACCTGCACTGTATGTGGTGTGTACCTGCACTGTATGTGGTGTGTATCTGCACAGTATGTGGTGTGTACCTGCACTGTATGTGGTGTGTACCTGCACTGTATGTGGTGTGTACCTGCACTGTATGTGGTGTGTACCTGCACTGTATGTGGCGTGTACCTGCACTGCATGGGGGGTGTACCTGCACTGTATTTGGTGTGTTCCTGCACTGTATGTGGCGTGTACCTGCACTGTATGTGGTGTGTATCTGCACTGTATGGGGTGTGTACCTGCACTGTATGGGGTGTGTGTACCTGCACTGTATGTGGTGTGTACCTGCACTGTTTTGGGTGTATACCTGCACTGGATGGGGTGTATACCTGCACTGTATGGGGTGTGTACCTGCACTGTATGTGGTGTGTACCTGCACTGTTTGTGGTGTGTACCTGCACTGTATGGGATGTGTAGAAGCTCAACCACTTAGCTCAATCACTCGACACATAAATATATACTGTTAGCGGGCATGTTTGCGAACTATGTTGGATAATTTACACTCTCTAAACGAATAAATGGGTAGACATGGATATATGTTGACTTTTCGAACTTGACGATATCAATGAAAACAGACAATTTTGAATATGATGTTTTATAAAGAATTATGGTCATTTTGTCAGCCGATAAACGAGGACATATACAATGTTTCTGATTTCACTTGTGGGTGTCGTATGCGTAGCCAGTTGTGACTCATTGGATGGAATGACAGCTACTCAAGTAGGGTTGTAATTTCCCAACTAACACCAACTCTTCAGACCTCAACTGACTACCCGCCGTAAACATTGCACTGAGTTGAAACTAGGACTGTTTGAACACGTCTTCCGGAAATATTAAAATATTATCCAACTCAATTTGTATGTTTTGTAATTAAATATGGTATAGAACAACGTAGAACACGCTGTCCTATTTTACCGGAGACAAAAATTGTCTCTGTGACAGTATTTGTGATCCTTTGGATGATTACGTGGAATGTTAGTCTTGATGGTTTACTTCGCTTCAGTGATATTACGAGTCGGGGGGTCGGGGTGGGGGTGGGGTGTGTGTGTTTGTGTGTGTGTGTGTGTGTGTGTGTGGGGGGGGGGGGGGGGGGGGGGGGGGAAGGTGTTCACTCATCACTCATGTGGCCCTCGGCTCACCTTCCGTCAATACCACTTGACCACTCTATATCCCACATACAGTCAAGTGTCGCAGGTCACAACGGCTGTGACGTTTTTATTGCTCCTCTCGGGTGTGTTTGTGTATTTGTGTGTTTGTGTGTTTGGGAAGGGGTATGGAACAATACATGGCCATGGCGACTTATACACACACGCATACACATGGCTGTGACGACTTATACACACACGCATACACATGGCTGTGACGACTTATACACACACGCATACACATGGCTGTGACGACTTATACACACACGCATACACATGGCCGTGACGACTTATACACACACGCATACACATGGCTGTGACGACTTATACACACACGCATACACATGGCTGTGACGACTTATACACACACGCATACACATGGCTGTGACGACTTATACACACACGCATACACATGGCCGTGACGACTTATACACACACGCATACACATGGCTGTGACGACTTATACACACACGCATACACATGGCTGTGACGACTTATACACACACGCATACACATGGCTGTGACGACTTATACACACACGCATACACTTGGCTGTGACGACTTATACACACACGCATACACATGGCTGTGACGACTTATACACACACGCATACACATGGCTGTGACGACTTATACACACACGCATACACATGGCTGTAGCGGCTCGTAAAGACACACACACAGAGACAGACACACACACACACACACACACACACACACACACACACACACACACACACACAGAGACACACACACAGAGACACACAGACACACACAAAGACCGTGGCGACTTTTACATACGCAAAAACACACATCACATGCACATCTCATCTGGACTCTCCCCTGCTGAAAAATATTGTCGAGTGTCGCCATTGATGTGTTTCAGGTAAAGCTGCAGGAGAAGCGCTCAGCGATGTGGAGCTCCTTTCTAATCCCGTGGCCGGGCTGATGGTCGGCGTCCTGGCAACCGTGCTGGTACAGAGTTCCTCCACCTCCACCTCCATCATCGTCTCCATGGTGTCCGCCGGCAGTCAGTAGCATTCCAGTACACGCCTTGGGCAGGAACTAGTGTATCTCGAACTCTAGAGTTTGCCTTGTGTAAACACATCTAATAGTCCAAGTTTAATTTGAGGATACAACCCCCATATTTCCCGTTTGCATCTCTTAGAGAGGGGAGGTGTGACCAAGTGTCCCATGTCGATGTTTCATTAGCTTCTGTCTCTCTATGTTGCGTCCTACTTTACCCGTGAAAGGGTCTACTGGGCGTGTGTTCCAATCCCATATCGGCATTGATTATGATCCTTGATCTGTTAAATCCACGTCACGTCCATGCTTTTACCAAGTGGCGCACGTCTACAACCAGCGTCAATTTGGGATCCCTGACACGCTGTGACACAACCGAAATACTGTTCCATGTGATGCTAAACCCAATTCATTGCTTTTCTAGTGCTACCCACTCGGCTTGCTATCCCCATCATAATGGGCACGAACATCGGGACGACTATTACCAACGTGCTCGTCTCCCTGGGTCAGATCGGGGACAGAGACCGGTTTAGACGCGCCTTTGGGGGCGCCGTTCTACATGACATGTTCAACTGGCTGACGGTGTTGGTGCTGCTACCGGTAGAGGTCGCAAGTGGCTATTTGTATAGCCTGTCTGGACTGATGGTGCAGAACATCAACGCTGATCCTAATGTTGAAAACCCGGATCTGCTCAAGGCCATTACCAAACCTCTGACTGGGAAAATTGTAGAGGTGAGAGTACACTCCTGGCACAGAGGCCCACCCTGCCAACACCATGTAGCATCAGGATAAACCACACAATAATATTATCTATATGTGTGACCCAACCCATTTGTGGTTTATCCTGATGTTTCTTTGAATGGCCGGACTATATTTCTGTATACTATTCGTTTTCCGGCAGCAATACGGAATCAGGTTCTATGTTAAAGTTAGCTGATATTTGCTTGTAGGCTTCACGATGTTATGATAACAGCATTGTTATGGTGACTTATGATATATCGAAACCAGTTTGTAAGACAGGTTAAAGGAACTGGTGCCTTGTTTTCCTCAGCTGGACAACGATGTGATTCGAGCCATCGCAAGGGGAGATAACACAACAGACACCCTAATCAAGTTCTGCTGTGGTAAAGGTGAGCTCACGCGGGGTTCTAGAGACGTAATAATCCATCATCTCATGACATGGCCACAGGTCAGTACGGGTAGGATGTATGTATAGCGGGTTAAACTGCCTGCTCACTGTCCAGTACTTGTAATGTGTGTATTCCGGATGAATCTGCCTGCCCGCTGTTCAGCACTTGTAATGTGTGTATAGTTGGTTAAACTGCCTGCCCACTGTTCAGTACTTGTCATGTGTGTATAGAGGGTTAAACTGCCTGCCCGCTGTTCAGTACTTGTAATGTGTGTATAGTGGGTTAAACTGCCTGCCCACTGTCCAGTACTTGTCATGTGTGTATAGCGGGTTAAACTGCCTGCCCACTGTTCAGTACTTGTCATGTGTGTATAGAGGGTTAAACTGCCTGCCCACTGTTCAGTACTTGTAATGTGTGTATAGTGAGTTAAACTGCCTGCCCGCTGTTCAGTACTTGTAATGTGTGTATAGTGGGTTAAACTGCCTGCCAACTGTTCAGTACTTGTAATGTGTGTATAGTGGGTTAAACTGTCTGCCCACTGTCCAGTACTTGTCATGTGTGTATAGCGGGTTAAACTGCCTGCCCACTGTCCAGTACTTGTCATGTGTGTGTAGTGGGTTAAACTGCCTGCCCACTGTTCAGTACTTGTTATGTGTGTATAGTGGGTTTAACTGCCTGCCCACTGTTCAGTACTTGTCATGTGTGTAAAGTGGGTTAAACTGCCTGCCCACTGTTCAGTTCTTGTAATGTGTGTATAGTGGGTTAAACTGCCTGCCCGCCGTCCAGTACTTGTAATGTGTGTATAGTGGGTGAAACTGCCTGCCCACTGTTCAGTACTTGTCATGTGTGTGTAGTGGGTTAAACTGCCTGCCCACTGTTCAGTACTTGTAATGTGTGTATAGTGGGTTAAACTGCCTGCCCACTGTTCAGTACTTGTAATGTGTGTGTAGTGGGTTAAACTGCCTGCCCACTGTCCAGTACTTGTCATGTGTGTATGGCGGGTTAAACTGCCTGCCCACTGTCCAGTACTTGTCATGTGTGTGTAGTGGGTTAAACTGCCTGCCCACTGTCCAATACTTGTAATGTGTGTATAGTGGGTTAAACTGCCTGCCCACTGTTCAGTACTTGTCAAGTGTGTATAGTGGGTTAAACTGCCTGCCCACTGTCCAGTACTTGTAATGTGTGTATAGTGGGTTAAACTGCCTGCCCGCTGTTCAGTACTTGTCATGTGTGTATAGTGGGTTAAACTGCCTGCCCGCTGTTCAGTACTTGTAATGTGTGTATAGTGGGTGAAGCTGCCTGCCCGCTGTTCAGTACTTGTAATGTGTGTAGTTGGTTAAACTGCCTGCCCACTGTTCAGTACTTGTAATGTGTGTATAGTGGGTTAACCTGCCTGCCCACTGTTCAGTACTTGTAATGTGTGTATAGTGGGTGAAGCTGCCTGCCCGCTGTTCAGTACTTGTAATGTGTGTAGTTGGTTAAACTGCCTGCCCACTGTTCAGTACTTGTAATGTGTGTATAGTGGGTTAAACTGCCTGCCCACTGTTCAGTACTTGTCATGTGTGTATAGCGGGTTTAACTGCCTGCCCACTGTCCAGTACTTGTCATGTGTGTGTAGTGGGTTTAACTGCCTGCCCACTTTCCAGTACTTGTCATGTGTGTAAAGTGGGTTATACTGCCTGCCCACTGTTCAGTACTTGTCATGTGTGTATAGTGGGTGAAGCTGCCTGCCCACTGTTCAGTACTTGTAATGTGTGTATAGTGGGTTAAACTGCCTGCCCGCTGTTCAGAACTTGTAATGTGTGTATCGTGGGTTAAACTGCCTGCCCACTGTCAAGTACTTGTCATGTGTGTATATTGTGTTAAACTGCCTGCCCACTGTTCAGTACTTGTAATGTGTGTATAGTGGATTAAACTTCCTGCCCGCTGTTCAGTACTTGTCATGTGTGTAAAGTGGGTGAAACTGCCTGCCCGCTGTTAAGTACTTGTCATGTGTGTATAGAGGGTGAAGCTGCCTGCCCACTGTTCAGTACTTGTAATGTGTGTATAGTGGGTTAAACTGCCTGCCCACTGTTCAGTACTTGTAATGTGTGTATAGTGGGTTAAACTGCCTGCCCACTGCCCAATACTTGTAATGTGTGTATAATGGGTTAAACTGCCTGCCCACTGTTCAGTACTTGTAATGTGTGTATAGTGGGTGAAGCTGCCTGCCTGCTGTTCAGTACTTGTAATGTGTGCAGTTGGTTAAACTGCCTGCCCACTGTTCAGTACTTGTAATGTGCATATAGTGGGTGAAGCTGCCTGCCCGCTGTTCAGTACTTGTCATGTGTGTAGTTGGTTAAACTGCCTGCCCACTGTTCAGTACTTGTAATGTGTGTATAGTGGGTTAAACTGCCTGCCCACTGTTCAGTACTTGTAATGTGTGTATAGAGGGTTAAACTGCCTGCCCACTGTCCAATACTTGTAATGTGTGTATAGTGGGTTAAACTGCCTGCCCACTGTTCAGTACTTGTAATGTGTGTATAGTGGGTTAAACTGCCTGCCCACTGTCCAGTACTTGTCATGTGTGTATAGTGGGTTAAACTGCCTGCCCGCTGTTCAGTACTTGTAATGTGTGTATAGTGGGTGAAGCTGCCTGCCCGCTGTTCAGTACTTGTAATGTGTGTAGTTGGTTAAACTGCCTGCCCACTGTCCAGTACTTGTCATGTGTGTATAGTGGGTTAAACTGCCTGCCCACTGTTCAGTACTTGTCATGTGTGTATAGTGGGTTAAACTGCCTGCCCACTGTCCAGTACTTGTAATGTGTGTATAGTGGGTTAAACTGCCTGCCCACTGTCCAGTACTTGTAATGTGTGTATAGTGGGTTAAACTGCCTGCCCACTGTTCAGTACTTGTAATGTGTGTATAGTGGGTTAAACTGCCTGCCCACTGTTCAGTACTTGTAATGTGTGCAGTTGGTTAAACTGCCTGCCCACTGTTCAGTACTTGTAATGTGCATATAGTGGGTGAAGCTGCCTGCCCGCTGTTCAGTACTTGTCATGTGTGTAGTTGGTTAAACTGCCTGCCCACTGTTCAGTACTTGTAATGTGTGTATAGTGGGTTAAACTGCCTGCCCACTGTTCAGTACTTGTAATGTGTGTATAGAGGGTTAAACTGCCTGCCCACTGTCCAATACTTGTAATGTGTGTATAGTGGGTTAAACTGCCTGCCCACTGTTCAGTACTTGTAATGTGTGTATAGTGGGTTAAACTGCCTGCCCACTGTCCAGTACTTGTCATGTGTGTATAGTGGGTTAAACTGCCTGCCCGCTGTTCAGTACTTGTAATGTGTGTATAGTGGGTGAAGCTGCCTGCCCGCTGTTCAGTACTTGTAATGTGTGTAGTTGGTTAAACTGCCTGCCCACTGTCCAGTACTTGTCATGTGTGTATAGTGGGTTAAACTGCCTGCCCACTGTTCAGTACTTGTCATGTGTGTATAGTGGGTTAAACTGCCTGCCCACTGTCCAGTACTTGTCAAGTGTGTATAGTGGGTTAAACTGCCTGCCCACTGTCCAGTACTTGTAATGTGTGTATAGTGGGTTAAACTGCCTGCCCACTGTTCAGTACTTGTAATGTGTGTATAGTGGGTTAAACTGCCTGCCCACTGTTCAGTACTTGTAATGTGTGTATAGTGGGTGAAGCTGCCTGCCCGCTGTTCAGTACTTGTAATGTGTGCAGTTGGTTAAACTGCCTGCCCACTGTTCAGTACTTGTAATGTGTGTATAGTGGGTGAAGCTGCCTGCCCGCTGTTCAGTACTTGTCATGTGTGTAGTTGGTTAAACTGCCTGCCCACTGTTCAGTACTTGTAATGTGTGTATAGTGGGTTAAACTGCCTGCCCACTGTTCAGTACTTGTAATGTGTGTATAGTGGGTTAAACTGCCTGCCCACTGTCCAATACTTGTAATGTGTGTATAGTGGGTTAAACTGCCTGCCCACTGTTCAGTACTTGTAATGTGTGTATAGTGGGTTAAACTGCCTGCCCACTGTCCAGTACTTGTAATGTGTGTATAGTGGGTTAAACTGCCTGCCCGCTGTTCAGTACTTGTAATGTGTGTATTGTGGGTGAAGCTGCCTGCCCGCTGTTCAGTACTTGTAATGTGTGTAGTTGGTTAAACTGCCTGCCCACTGTCCAGTACTTGTCATGTGTGTATAGTGGGTTAAACTGCCTGCCCACTGTTCAGTACTTGTCATGTGTGTATAATGGGTTAAACTGTCTGCCCACTGTCCAGTACTTGTCATGTGTGTATAGTGGGTTAAACTGCCTGCCCACTGTCCAGTACTTGTAATGTGTGTATAGTGGGTTAAACTGCCTGCCCACTGTTCAGTACTTGTAATGTGTGTATAGTGGGTTAAACTGCCTGCCCACTGCTCAGTACTTGTCATGTGTGTATAGTTGGTTAAACTGCCTGCCCACTGTTCAGTACTTGTCATGTTTGTATAGTGGGTTAAACTGCCTGCCCACTGTCCAGCACTTGTCAAGTGTGTATAGTGGGTTAAACTGCCTGCCCACTGTTCAGTACTTGTCATGTGTGTATAGTTGGTTAAACTGCCTGCCCACTGTTCAGTACTTGTCATGTGTGTATAGTGGGTTAAACTGCCTGCCCACTGTCCAGTACTTGTCAAGTGTGTATAGTGGGTTAAACTGCCTGCCCACTGTCCAGTACTTGTAATGTGTGTATAGTGGGTTAAACTGCCTGCCCGCTTTTCAGTACTTGTCATGTGTGTATAGTTGGTTAAACTGCCTGCCCACTGTCCAGTACTTGTAATGTGTGTATAGCGGGTTAAACTGCCTGCCCACTGTTCAGTACTTGTCATGTGTGTATAGTGGGTTAAACTGCCTGCCCACTGTCCAGTACTTGTCATGTGTGTATAATGGGTTAAACTGTCTGCCCACTGTCCAGTACTTGTCATGTGTGTATAGTGGGTTAAACTGCCTGCCCACTGTCCAGTACTTGTAATGTGTGTATAGTGGGTTAAACTGCCTGCCCACTGTTCAGTACTTGTAATGTGTGTATAGTGGGTTAAACTGCCTGCCCACTGTTCAGTACTTGTCATGTGTGTATAGTTGGTTAAACTGCCTGCCCACTGTTCAGTACTTGTCATGTTTGTATAGTGGGTTAAACTGCCTGCCCACTGTCCAGCACTTGTCAAGTGTGTATAGTGGGTTAAACTGCCTGCCCACTGTTCAGTACTTGTCATGTGTGTATAGTTGGTTAAACTGCCTGCCCACTGTTCAGTACTTGTCATGTGTGTATAGTGGGTTAAACTGCCTGCCCACTGTCCAGTACTTGTCAAGTGTGTATAGTGGGTTAAACTGCCTGCCCACTGTCCAGTACTTGTAATGTGTGTATAGTGGGTTAAACTGCCTGCCCGCTTTTCAGTACTTGTCATGTGTGTATAGTTGGTTAAACTGCCTGCCCACTGTCCAGTACTTGTCATGTGTGTATAGCGGGTTAAACTGCCTGCCCACTGTTCAGTACTTGTCATGTGTGTATAGTGGGTTAAACTGCCTGCCCACTGTCCAGTACTTGTCATGTGTGTATAGTGGGTTAAACTGCCTGCCCGCTGTTCAGTACTTGTAATGTGTGTATAGTGGGTTAAACTGCCTGCCCACTGTTCAGTACTTGTAATGTGTGTATAGTGGGTTAAACTGCCTGCCCACTGTTCAGTACTTGTCATGTGTGTATAGCGGGTTAAACTGCCTGCCCACTGTTCAGTACTTGTCATGTGTGTATAGTTGGTTAAACTGCCTGCCTACTGTCCAGTACTTGTCAAGTGTGTATAGTGGGTTAAACTGCCTGCCCACTGTCCAGTACTTGTAATGTGTGTATAGTGGGTTAAACTGCCTGCCCACTGTCCAGTACTTGTCAATCAATCAATCAAATTTTTATTCCAACAAACCACCATAGGTGGTACAGGAACAGTACAAATAAAGTTATAACATAAACAATAAATTGTAGTGATCACTTGGTAAGTTGTAGATGATAGTGTTGTACTCATCTTCTGACAGCATTATTAATAATTCTTATAAATCTGGAGATATTTTTCACGATTAAGCAATTATTTGAGGTAAACAAAACCTTGAGCTTTGCGAGATTCGGCCATTTACAAAGATAAATTGGAATATAATGTGATCTCATGGTATCAAAAAAGGAGCATTTAAATAAATAATGAAACTCGTCGGCTATCGCCGGTGAGCTACATACGTTACAATTTCTATTGATTCTAGGTATATTTTTCCAGCGGCCTGTCTCTACAGGTAAATAATGATTCGATGTCCGAAATGACATAATAGGTCGAGAGAAATAATCAGGTAACAGGAGGTATTTTTCAAACGACGGTAAATCTTTGAACAATTTATAGTAATTACCTTTTGAACTTTTATCTATATCATCCCTCCATTGTTGTATAAAATGATCTTTAAGTACTGTTTCTACCATAGAGACAAGCCACTGTTTACAAACGCAACCAGGATTATCAAATACATATGTCAAGCCACAACTGTTTAAAATACCTTTTATGTGAGATACCCATACGTTACTATTACTAATATTGAGGGTGTGATCTAATTTGAACAGTTTAAGGATGCGTGATGACAACTTGAAAGGAGAAGATATGGTTTCTAAGTTATACCAAAATGAGATCATTCTTATAGCAATTGCAATGTTCACAGGAAAACGTCCAAGTTCACCGTAAACCATAAAGTTAGGAGTTGGTGATCGCAACCCAGGAGCAAACTTTAGAAATTTAAGGTGAAATTTTTCAATGTTTATAACATTTTCACAACCCCATATTTCACATCCATACAAGGCTATAGGTAGTATTAAGATATCAAACAATTGGATTACAGTATCAAGTGCTAGATTGAGGTTTCTTGATTTTTTTCAGGAGTGCAAACATGGCCTTTTTAGAGCTAGACAGTAAATCGTTTATTGCGGTATTAAATCTTCTATTGCGATGAAAGTTGATACCTAGATACGTATAATTATCTACAATTTCAATTGGTTAAGAATCAAATTGAAAAGATAATTTAGATTTTTTACCCACGCCTCCTCCAAATATAATAATCTTAGTTTTGGCAATGTTAACATTGAGTTTCCACACATCGCAGTATTGTTTGAACACATCAAGAGAATTTTGGAGATCTTTCTGGGATTCACCTAAAAGTATCGCATCATCTGCGTACAACAAAATAAAGAATTTAATACACATATACACATAATCATCATGAACACAAGTGATGTCAACGCCCCTACAAACTTTGCTCTCAAGATATACATCTAAATCATTGAGAAAAATCGAAAATAATAATGGAGAGAGATTTTCTCCTTGTCGAACCCCGGAATAAATATAAAAGAAGTTAGAAATTTGGTTATCAACCATAACGCAAGATTTTATATTACTGTAAATGTTTTTCACTAACTTGAAGAATCTCCCCTCTATATTGTATGATAACATCTTGTACCATAGGCCTACTCTCCAAATACTGTCGAACGCTTTTGTGAAATCGATAAAAGCACAAAAAAGTTTTCGTTTTGATTTTTTGAAATACTGATTTAGCATATTTAAGATGAATATATTATCAAGTGTTGACATATTTTCTCGAAAGCCAGCCTGCGATGAGCTAAGAATTTCATTTGATTCTAAGTAACTATTTAATCTGGAATTCAAAAGACAAGTAAATAACTTTCCTAAACAGCTCAGAATGGTAATGGGCCTGTAAGAGTTCGGGTCAAGAGAGTCACCTTTTTTCTTATATATTGGGCGAATCACTCCCGTCAACCAAGAGTCAGGGATAACACCAGTGGATAAAATCAAATTAAAAAAACGAAAAGTAAAAGTCACCCAGAATATCAATTGAATCAATCAAATAATCATTTTCAATTAAGTCAAGGCCTGAAGATTTATTACGCTTCAGTCGCGAGATAGCTGAGCGTATTTCTTCTAAAGTAATATCTCTGTTGAGAGTCGAGTTATCATATGAACAGGGGTTGAGATCTTCTTCTATAACATCATTGTCGCCGAGGTATGAGGCATTAATCGATTTGAAAAAATTATGAAATACTTCTATGTTCGGTGTTAGTGAATTATTATCATTCACCTGTGAATTAAGTGTTTTCCAGAACTCTTTGGGCGAGTGTTTAAATTTATTACGTAACATTATACTTGTTTCATATTTATGATCCCTTATATGCTTATTTAAGCATTTCTTTTACAACTTGCCATGATGGCGATACATTGAATAATTTACTTGATTACGAACTTTTTTGAAACGACGTTTCGATTTACGGTAAAGCCGTCTAATGTCCCGACATTCCTTACTGAACCAGGGCTTATTCGTCTTGACGCGCTTACGTGTTTTACAGGGAGATGTAGTTCGTTTGACTCCGAAGGTAGTCCGTGCGGCATCGACCAGCACGTGCGTTATGTCCTCAGCTAACCTATTGACCTCAGTATCAACATCAACATCAAAACTGTCATAACAAACAGCATCACTTCTATCTCGCAACTGCCTTATAACTTCTACATCAATGTTATTTCGGAATACACTAGCCCTATCAACATTGTAGCGTCTAGGCCTGTTTCCGGTATTAGTTTTTGAAGAATTTAAAGTCTCAGAGACAGATTCATCTCTCTTTTTAACCTTACTCGCCAGCGATAGGGTAACAGGGCAGTGTACATCTGATAGCACAGGTGAGAAATCAAGAACATCAACATCATTAATCAAAGGCATACAAGCAGCAGAGACAATGACGTAATCAATTAAACTCTTATCATTACAGGTGGTTCTTCCAATATTGAGATCATTACCTATTCGGCCATTGCATATGTATAAATTAAGGCTCCTACACAAGTCAATAAGCTGTTTACCATAATTGTTAATTTTACCCATGTCCATACTATGCCTATGTTTTGGCATACCAGCGTTTTCCAATACTACATCTTGTAATGTGTGTATAGTGGGTGAAGCTGCCTGCCCGCTGTTCAGTTCTTGTAATGTGTGTATAGCGGTGAATCTGCTTTCTCACTGTTCAGTACTTGTACTGTGTGTATAGCGGGTGAATCTGCTTTCCCTCTGTTCAGTTCTTGTAATGTTGTCTGCATGATCACTGATCACTTCCTGGGCCCACTTGCACAAAGCGATCTTAGCGCTAAGATTACTTTGAGCAAGTGAGCCCAGAAGCATATGGTTGGCCATATCTCAGTACAACTGCTCTGGAACAAGCTTTGTTGTTAAAAATGAAATAATAAAACACCAAAATATTTTTCCAGGTGAAAATTCAACGTGTGCCGAAGACTGTAAGTATATACATAGAACTACGTATGTTTTGTGTAAACTACTATAAGTGTGTGTGTGTGTGTGCGTGCGTGAGTGTGCGTGCGTGTGTGTGCGTGTGTGTGTATGTGTATGTGAGTGAGTCACAGAGAGAGTGGAAGGGTGGTGGTTGCGGGCATGGTTAAATGTTACATGTATTGGGAGCATAATTTTGTATACATAAAATGATGGGTCTGCACAGTATGATACAGTCTAAGGTCGTAAGGCCGATCTCTCTCCCCTTAAGTCCCCTAAGTTTTCGGTTCTCGGAAACAAGGAAATGAATTGCTTAAGCTGGCTGTAATTGTACATATATCTATCTATACATATACTAACATCACATGAACATGTTCAACTCATATCGTTGTCAGGTGAACACCTGTTCATGGAGACCAGTCTCTCAGATACTGAGGTCGGCCTGATCCTGTTGGTGGTTGCACTAATCACGTTATGCACGTGCCTCGTGCTGATCGTGAAGATCCTGCAGTCGCTGCTGAAAGGGGCGATTGCCAAGGTAATCCGGAAGATAGTGAATGCTGACTTACCTGGTATTCTACGTCCAGTAACCGGCTACGTGGTCATGCTGGTCGGCGCTGGACTCACCTTCCTGGTCCAGAGCAGCTCCATCTTCACCTCTACTCTCACCCCCCTCGTGGGAATGGGCGTTATCAAGGTGGACCGTGTGTTTCCCCTTGTTCTCGGAGCTAATATCGGTACTACCTTCACCAGTATCTTAGCTGCTTTGGCATCAGATAGCACAGGCTTCAAGAATGCCCTCCAGGTGTCCTTCTGTCACTTACTGTTCAACATTAGTGGTATTTTAATATGGTACGGGATCTGGCCTGCTAGACAAGTCCCAATCCGTCTGGCAAAGGCACTGGGTTCAGTAACTGCAGAATATCGCTGGTTCCCGATTTTCTACATATTTATTGTATTTCTTTTTTTCCCTATGCTTGTGTTTGGACTTTCATTGGCCGGATGGGAATACCTCGTTGGGTTTGGTGTCCCTGTCATTGTGCTGATCGTTTTCGTCATCACCATGAACCGTCTCCAGAACAGCGATCGCATTCGCCCGCGCCTGCCCTACCGTCTACAGAGCTTTGAGAACATGGGCATTCCCCTGTGGTTGCGCTCCTTACAGCCTTACGACAACAAGATCACTGAGTTGCAGGTGTTGTGTGGCTGCTGTAAATGCTGCAGAAAGAAGACCCAGGTCGATGTTACTGAAGACAAAGCAGAGAGGGTCAACTGTGATAACAAAGCTTTTGATGGTGAAAGATTATAAGCCAATGTGTCACTGAATGAGAATGATATTACAACACAAACATTGCACATAATTTAAACAATGTTTTTTTATTTTTAAAATGACCTGATCTCTGTTCTTTTCGTCGAATTATCTATGTGACCCAAATGTGTTGCAACAAGATGACACTGATGGAAGCTCATTCATTATTGCATTGCCGAAATAACGGTAACAATAGCCTTAATTGTGCAAAGGCGTTCTAAAATGAAAAAACACCATAATAATGTTGGTTGGTTGGTTGGTTGGTTGGTTGTTTAACGCCGCACTCAGCAATATTCCAGCTATATGACGGCGGTCTGTAAATAATCGAGTCTGGACCAGACAATCCAGTTATTGATATCATGAGCATCGATCCACGCAATTGGGATCGATGACATACATCAACCAAGTCAGCGAGACTGACCACCTGATCCCGTTAGCCGCCTATTACGGCAAGCATAGTCACCTTTAACGGCAAGCATGGGTTGCTGAAGACCTATTCTACCCCGGAATCTTCACGGGTTCATAATATATGTAACTGAACTGATCTGGCCTAACTGCAAGCTTTTGTGGCCACACACGAAACTACGTGTAAGTAAACGATGTGAATGATCTTTAATACGCATCAATGTCGTGAACAACACCAGAGGTTTAGCAAAAGACCAGGTTGGTGTAGAGCATCTAGGAATACTGTAGACAGGAAGGGGTTGGCGTTACTCGCGTGAGCCCTGTTATTGTTCACTTACCGGACTTCTCGAAATGTCGTCATTCGTGTCCTATTTGAACAAAATCGTGTATTTTTCACGCGTAAGCGAGTCCAAAACTGTAAATAAGACTATGTTTGTGCCTTGAGTCAGCTGGGGTTAAATGACGCAAACAGGTGGCATTGTCCTGTATTTACACACACTAACTTACTGAGGCCCCAACTTCTTTTCTATATATTTCCGTGACTACTTTTCAAGAGTAGCTGTGGAAATAGACACTCCTGTCAACTTCACACAGCCGTGATTACCATGGCTGTTCCAATATATGATACAAGCTCAAATACAGGGCTGTTACTGAACCTGCACTTCGCTGTCCGGGGCCCACGCGTGTCTCCCGTGTGTGTTAGCCCATGGCCCTGAGTACAACAATTCCATAGTGTCTGACGGTATCCTTTAGAGAACGACAATGATAGGTGTTACCAGGCAGGATCCTGATCCATACTTTAGCACAGTCTTACGGGGCGGTGGGGTAGCCTAGTGGTTAAAGCGCTCACTTGTCACGCCGAAGACCCAGATTCGATTCCCCACATGGGTACAATGTGTGAAACCCATTTCTGTTGTCCCCCGCCGTGATATTGCTGGAATATTGCTCAACGCGGCGTAAAACCATACTCTCTCACTCACAAACTTACGACAGTAATTATCACTTTGTGAAACGGTGCCCTGGTAGAAGGCCAGAAAGGCTTCATTCGACCTCGATGTGAAGAGGATGTAGCGTTGTTGATCTGATCTGTATTAAATGGTGTAATAAAAACCTTAAATAAATGTCTCATCTTAGTTATTTTGTTTGTTCTGTTTCCTTGAGGTACTGCGATCCCAGAGACAAGAACGCCTGCTTGCTTGCATTGCTTGACAGGTGATGATTCCCTTCACTTGTTGCATCTAGTGACGGATGATGCTTTCCATTACTTCCTGCATCTAGTGACGGAAGATGAGTTCCATTACTTGTTGCGTCTAGTGACGGAAGATGAGTTCCATTACTTGTTGCATCTAGTGACGGGAGGTTAGTTCCATTACTTCTTGCGTCTGGTGACGGAAGATGAGCTCCATTACTGGTTGTATCTAGTGACGGAAGATGAGCTTCAATTACTTGTTGCGTCTGGTGACGGAAGATGAGCTCCATTACATGTTGTATCTAGTGACGGGAGGTGAGTTCCATTACTTGTTCCATCTAGTGACGGGAGGTGAGTTCCATTACACGTTGTATCTAGTGACGGAAGATGAGCTCCATTACATGTTGTATCTAGGGACGGAAGATGACCTCCAATTACTTGTTGCGTCTGGTGACGGAAGATGAGCTCCATTACTGGTTGTATCTAGTGACGGGAGGTGAGTTCCATTACTTGTTCCATCTAGTGACGGGAGGTGAGTTCCATTACATGTTGTATCTAGTGACGGAAGATGAGCTCCATTACATGTTGTATCTAGTGACGGAAGATGAGCTCCATTACTTCTTGCGTCTAGTGACGGAAGATGAGTTCCATTACTTGTTGCGTCTTGTGACGGAAGATGAGCTCCATTACTTGTTGCGTCTTGTGACGGAAGATGAGCTCCATTATTTGTTGCGTCTAGTGACGGAAGATGAGATCCATTACTTGTTGCATCTAGTGACGGAAGATGAGCTCCATTACTTGTTGCATCTAGTGACGGAAGATGAGCTCCATTACTTGTTGCGTCTTGTGACGGAAGATGAACTCATTTACTTGTTGCATCTAGTGACGGAAGATGAGTTCCATTACTTGTTGCGTCTTGTGACGGAAGATGAGTTCCATTACTGGTTGTATCTAGTGACGGAAGATGAGCTCCATTACTTGTTGCGTCTTGTGACGGAAGATGAGCTCCATTACTTGTTGCATCTAGTGACGGAAGATGAGTTCCATTACTTGTTGCGTCTTGTGACGGAAGATGAGCTCCATTACTTGTTGCGTCTAGTGACGGAAGATGAGCTCCATTACTTGTTGCATCTAGTGACGGAAGATGAGTTCCATTACTTGCTGCATCTAGTGACGGAAGATGAGTTCCATTACATGTTGTATGTAGTGACGGAAGATGAGCTCCATTACATGTTGCGTCTAGTTACGGGAGGTGAAATCCATTACTTGTTGCCTCTTGTAACGGAAGATGAGCTCCATTACTTGTTGCGTCTAGTGACGGAAGATGAGCTCCATTACTGGTTGTATCTAGTGACGGAAGATGAGCTCCATTACTTTTTGCGTCTAGTGACGGGAGGTGAGTTCCATTACTTGTTGCCTCTTGTTACGGAAGATGAGCTCCATTACTTGTTGCGTCTTGTGACGGAAGATGAGCTCCATTACTTGTTGCGTCTAGTGACGGAAGATGAGCTCCATTACTTCCTGCATCTTGTGATGGGAGGTGAGTTCCATTACTTGTTGCGTCTAGTGACGGAAGATGAGCTCCATTACTTGTTGCGTCTAGTGACGGGTGGTGAGTTCCATTACTTGTTGCGTCTAGTGACGGGAGGTGAGTTCCATTACATGTTGTATGTAGTGACGGAAGATGAGTTCCATTACTTGTTGAGTCTAGTGACGGAAGATGAGCTCCATTACTCCATTGAAAAACATGTCCTGTACACTGGCAGTATGGATCGGGGTTACAGTGAGAGGCATACCCTGTACACTGGTAGTAGGGATCGGGGTTACACTGAGAGTCATGCCCTTTACACTGGGAGTAGGGATCGGGGTTACAGAGAGAGACATGCCCTATACACTGGCAGTAGGGATCGGGGTTACAGTGAGAGACATGCCTTGTACACTGGCAGTATGGATCGGTGTCAGAGTGAGAGGCATCCCCTTTACCCTGGCAGTGGGGATCGGGGTTACAGTGAGAGACATGCCCTGTCCACTCGGAGTATGGATCGGGGTTACAGCGAGGGACATGCCTTGTACACTGGCAGTAGCGATCGGTGTTACATTGAAAGACATGTCCTGTACACTGGCAGTAGGGATCGGGTTTACAGTGAGAGGCATACCCTTTACCCTGGCAGTGGGGATCGGGGTTACAGTGAGAGGCATGCCCTGTACACTGGTAGTAGGGATCGGGGTTACACTGAGAGGCATGCCCTTTACACTGGGAGTAGGGATCGGGGTTACAGAGAGAGACATGCCCTATACACTGGCAGTAGGGATCGGGGTTACAGTGAGAGACATGCCTTGTACACTGGCAGTATGGATTGGTGTCAGAGTGAGAGGCATCCCCTTTACCCTTGCAGTGGGAATCGGCGTTACAGTTAGAGACATGCCCTGTACACTGGCAGTAGGGATCGATGTTACAGTGAGTGACATGCCTTGTTCACTGGTAGTAGGGATCGGTGTTACAGTGAGAGATAATGACCTGTATCTGGCAGGAGGGATGGGGTTACAGTGAGAGACATGTCCTGTACATTGGCACTAGGGATCGGGGTTACACTGAGAAACATTCCCTGTACCCTGGTAGTAGGGATCGGTGTTACAGAGAGAGACATGCCCTATACACTGGCAGTATGGATCGGGGTTACAGTGAGAGACATGCCTTGTACACTAGCGGTGGGGATCAAGGGTTACACTGAGAAACATACCCTGTACCCTGGCAGTAGGGATCGGGGTTACAGAGAGAGACATGTCCTATACACTGGCAGTAGGGATCGGGGTTACACTGAGAGACATGCCTTGTACACTGGCAGTAGGGATCGGGGTTACAGTGAGAGACATGTCCTATACACTGGCAGTAGGGATCGGGGTTACAGTGAGAGACATGTCCTATACACTGGCAGTAGGAATCGGTGTTACAGAGAGAGACATGCCCTATACACTGGCAGTATGGATCGGGGTTACAGTGAGAGACATGTCCTATACATTGGCAGTAGGAATCGGTGTTACAGAGAGAGACATGTCCTATACACTGGCAGTATGGATCGGGGTTACAGTAAGTGACATGCCTTGTACACTGGCGGTGGGGATCAAGGGTTACACTGAGAAACATACCCTGTACCCTGGCAGTAGGGATCGGGGTTACAGAGAGAGACATGCCCTATACACTGGCAGTATGGATCGGGGTTACAGTGAGAGGTATCCCCTTTACCCTGGCGGTGGGGATCTGGGTTACAGTGAGAGACATGCCTTGTACACTGACAGTAGTGATTGTGGTTACAGTGAGAGATATGACCTGTATCCTGGCAGTAGGGATGGGGTTACAGTGAGAGGCATCCCCTTTACCCTGGCGGTTGGGATGGGGGTTACAGTGAGAGACATGCCTTGTACACTGACAGTAGTGATTGTGGTTACAGTGAGAGACATGCCCTGTACTGTGGAAGTAGGGATTGGGTTACAGTGAGAGACATGCCTTCTACACTGGCAGTGGGGATCGGTGTTACATTGTAAGACATGCCCTATAAACTGGCAGTATGGATCGGGGTTACAGTGAGAGACATGCCTTGTACACTGGCAGTAGGGATCGGGGTTACAGTGAGAGACATGTCCTATACACTGGCAGTAGGGATCGGGGTTACAGTGAGAGACATGCCTTGTACACTGGCAGTAGGGATCGGGGTTACAGTGAGAGACATGTCCTATACACTGGCAGTAGGAATCGGTGTTACAGAGAGAGACATGCCCTATACACTGGCAGTATGGATCGGGGTTACAGTGAGAGACATGCCTTGTACACTGGCAGTATGGATCGGGGTTACAGTAAGTGACATGCCTTGTACACTGGCGGTGGGGATTGTGGTTACAGTGAGAGATATGACCTGTATCCTGGCAGTAGGGATGGGGTTACAGTGAGAGGCATCCCCTTTACCCTGGCGGTTGGGATGGAGGTTACAGTGAGAGACATGCCTTCTACACTGGCAGTGGGGATCGGTGTTACATTGTAAGACATGCCCTATAAACTGGCAGTATGGATCGGGGTAACAGAGAGAGACATGCCCTATACGCTGGCAGTGGGGATCAGGGTTACAGTGAGAGGCATGCCCTGTACCCTGTCCGTGGGGTCGGGGTTACAGTGAAAGACATGTCATGTGCACTGGTAGTAAGGATCGGGGTTACAGTGAGAAACATGCCCTGTTCCTTGGTGGTAAGGATTGCTGTTACATTGAAAGACATGCTCTATACACTGGCAGTAGGGATCGGGGTTACAGTGGGGGACATGCCCTGTACACTGGCACTAGGGATCGGGGTTACATTGAAAGACATGCCTCGCACCCTGGCAGTAGTGATCGGGGTTACAGTGAGAGATATAACCTGTATCCTGGCAGTAGGGAAAGTGGTTACAGTGAGAGAGATGCCCTATACACTGGCACTAAGGATCGGAGTTCGAGTGAGAGACATGGCCTGTATCCTGGTATTATGGATGGGGTTACAGAGAGGGACATGCCCCATACAGTGAGAGACATGTCCTATACACTGGCAGTATGGATCGGGGTTACAGTAAGAGACATGCCTTGTACACTGGCGGTGGGGATCAAGGGTTACACTGAGAAACATACCCTTTACCCTGGCAGTAGGGATCGGTGTTATAGAGAGAGACATGCCCTATACACTGGCAGTATGGATCGGGGTTACAGTGAGAGGCATCCCCTTTACCCTGGCGGTGGGGATCTGGGTTACAGTGAGAGACATGCCTTGTACACTGACAGTAGTGATTGTGGTTACAGTGAGAGACATGCCCTGTACTGTGGAAGTAGGGATTGGGTTACAGTGAGAGACATGCCTTCTACACTGGCAGTGGGGATCGGTGTTACATTGTAAGACATGCCCTATAAACTGGCAGTATGGATCGGGGTAACAGAGAGAGACATGCCCTATACGCTGGCAGTGGGGATCAGGGTTACAGTGAGAGGCATGTCAGGTGCACTGGTAGTAAAGATCGGGGTTACAGTGAGAAACATGCCCTGTTCCCTGGCAGTAGTGATCGGTGTTACATTGAAAGACATGCCCCGTACACTGGCAGTAGGGATCAGGTTTTCAGTGAGAAACATGCCCTGTCCCCTTGCAGTAGCGATCAGTGTTACATTGAAAGACATGTCCTGTACACTGGCAGTAGGGATCGGGGTTACAGTTAGAGACATTCCCCGCACACTGGCAGTAGGGATCGGGGTTACAGTGAGAGATATGCCCCGTACACTGGCAGTAGGGATCGGGGTTACAGTGAGAGACATGCCTTGTACACTGGCAGTATGGATCGGGGTTACAGTGAGAGACATGCCTCGTACACTGGCAGTAGGGATCGGGGTTACAGTGAGAGACATGCCTTGTACATTGGCGGTGGGGATCAAGGGTTACAGTGAGAGATATGCCTTGTACACTGGCAGTATGGATCGGGGTTACAATGAGAGACATGCCTTGTACACTGGCGGTGGGGATCAAGGGTTACAGTGAGAGACATGCCTTGTACAGTGGCAGTAGGGATCGGGGTTACAGTGAGAGACATGCCCAATACACTTGCAGTAGGGATCGGGGTTACAGTGGGGGACATGCCCTTTACACTGGCAGTAGGGATCGGTGTTACATTAAAAGACATGCCCTATACACTGGCAGTATGGATCGGAGTTACAATGAGAGACATGCCCTGTCGGTGTTACAGTGAGAGACATGCCCTATACACTGGCAGTGGGGATCGGGGTTACAGTGAGAAAAATGCCCTATTCCCTGGCAGTAGGTATCAGTGTTACATTGGTTGGTTGGTTGGTTGGTTGGTTTGTTGTTTAACGCCGCGCTAAGCAATATTCCAGCTATATGACGGCGGTCTGTAAATAATCGAGTCTGGACCAGACAATCCAGTGATTAATATCTTGAGCATCGATCCACGCAATTGGGATCGATGACATGCATCAACCAAGTCAGCGAGCCTGACCACCCGATCCCGTTAGTTGCCTTTTACGACAAGCTTAGTCGCCTTTTATGGCAAGCATGGGTTGCTGAAGACCTATTGTACCCCGGAATCTTCACGGGTCCGGTGTTACATTGAAAGACATGCCCTGTACACTGGCAGTAGGGATCGGTGTTACAGTGATATGATTGGGTAGTATGAAACAACTGATTGTTCATACAAACAAGTAAAACATGGCAAATAATGCTGTGAATAAATCAAGTATCACTATCATCTATGTTTTTGTTCTGTTTTTTTGGATCCCCAGGTAACCCCTTAAGAATTCAGGAGCGGGCTCTTCTATACCCACATCACCTAACTTGATAAACCCAGTATATCACATCAAACCTTCATCACCTAACTTGATAAACCCAGTATATCACAGCAAACCTTCATCACCTAACTTGATAAACCCAGTATATCACAGCAAAGCTTCATCACCTAACTTGATAAACCCAGTATATCACAGCAAACCTTCATCACTTAACTTGATAAACCCAGTATATCACAGCAAACCTTCATCACCTAACTTGATAAACCCAGTATATCACAGCAAACCTTCATCACCTAACTTGATAAACCCAGTATATCACAGCAAACCTTCATCACCTAACTTGATAAACCCAGTACATCACAGCAAACCTTCATCACCTAACTTGATAAACCCAGTATATCACAGCAAACCTTCATCACCTAACTTGATAAACCCAGTACATCACAGCAAACCTTCATCACCTAACTTGATAAACCACGTACATCACAGCAAACCTTCATCACCTAACTTGATAAACCCAGTATATCACAGCAAACCTTCATCACCTAACTTGATAAACCCAGTATATCACAGCAAAGCTTCATCACCTAACTTGATAAACCCAGTATATCACAGCAAACCTTCATCACCTAACTTGATAAACCCAGTATATCACAGCAAACCTTCATCACCTAACTTGATAAACCCAGTATATCACAGCAAACCTTCATCACCTAACTTGATAAACCCAGTATATCACAGCAAATCTTCATCACCTAACTTGATAAACCCAGTATATCACAGCAATTCTTCATCACCTAACTTGATAAACCCATTATATCACAGCAAATCATCACCTAACTTGATAAACCCATTATATCACAGCAAACCTTCATCACCTAACTTGATAAACCCAGTATATCACAGCAAACCTTCATCACCTAACTTGATAAACCCAGTATATCACAGCAAACCTTCATCACCTAACTTGATAAACCCAGTATATTACAGCAAACCTTTATCACCTAACTTGATAAACCCAGTATATCACAGCAAACCTTCATCACCTAACTTGATAAACCCAGTATATCACAGCAAACCTTCATCACCTAACTTGATAAACCCAGTATATCACAGCAAACCTTCATCACCTAATTAATTGTGCCTCTCTTATGGGTAAAACGTAGGTGAAGTGGGTAGACATCGAAGGGCAAGGGACTTATTGTGTTAGATTACAATATGCCAAGTCATGGACTATCACATAATATGATCAGACAGTTTTGCCAATGTAGCACCAACTGTCAAGATTTCTTTTTGTAACATGCTGGACATTTCAAAACAATATGCGACATAAGGTGTTGAAGGTCTTCTTTATTTGACTACAAATATAGTTTGTGCGCATACCTTTTGTGAAACGGGGATCGGCAGACACTACAGACAGTACCAGGTAATGGGTAAACACGACAGAAGTGTGTGGATTTTACTCTTGCGGGTGTTATGTAAAGAACATAAAGTGTTTAATTATTATATCCTGTCTGCTCTTGTATTATGAAATCCAAATAAAATAATATATTCTCGAAAAGAGGTTCCAGGAGAAATATAACTTATATGTACTATTTGAATTGGGTATGCACAAGTGTATAGATGTAAGTTTGAAGTAAACCTGATGTGATTATTGTGACTAGAAAAGACTGCAGTGGAACCAAAGTGACTTTTAAGCTAACTACATGTATTTGAGAGATCGGACACATTGTAGGGTAAAATTAAAAACCTTTTCAGAAAAAACAAGCGATTGATGTCACAATGTTAATTCAAAGGATAATTTCATGCATAACTCCAGACTGTCTGCAAGTAATAACTTATGTCGACAATCACCTACTACCTTTTCAGGTAAGAAAAAGGTCACATGAACATCTGAAAGCTTTAGAACTGTACGATTAAACTTAACAAAAACACTGTAAAAATGTGGGGGATTGATTTGAACTAGAACACTGTTAATATGTGGGGGAATGATTTGAACTAGAACACTGTAAAAATGTAGGGGATTGATTTGAACTAGAACACTGTAAAAATGTAGGGGATTGATTTTAACAAGAACACTGTAAAAATGTAGGGGATTGATTTTAACAAGAACACTGTAAAAATGTAGGGGATTGATTTTAACAAGAACACTGTAAAAATGTAGGGGATTGGTTTTAATTAGAACACTGTAAAAATGTAGGGGATTGATTTTAACAAGAAAACTGTAAAAATGTAGGGGATTGATTTCAACAAGAACACTGTAGAAAATGTAGGGGATTGATTTGAACTAGAAAACTGAAAATGTGGATGACTGATTCGAACTAGAAAACTGTTAAAATGTAGGGGATTTATTTTAACTAGAACACTGTAGAAATGTAGGAGATTGATTTGAATTAGAATACAGTAAAAATGTGGGGGGATTGATTTGAATAAGAACACAGTAAAAATGTAGGGGACTGATTTGAACAAAAACACTGTAAAAATGTGGGGATTTGAGCCCAATAGGGAGTGATCTGAGCCTGGAGTGAGTGTTTTGGGCCTAGCAGGGGGTAGTGACCTGAGCCTAGGCTCAAATCACTCTCGAGTGAACTTTAAGGGGATTGATTTGTACAGGTATTCTGCTACACCAGTCCAATGCTTTGGAACAACATTCCGGTCAACATCAAAAGTGCCAAAGATATCAACAAGTTTAAGGGACTGTTAAAAACCTAAAATCGTGAGTCCCAATCTTTCCTGGGCCGTGGATTGGTTCTTGGTTACAAACTCTGGAAGGGATCTGATGGTTATGGAACTCCAATCTTCCACCTGAATGGGACTTGAGAAGTCGAGTCTATGGGGTCTTCCTGGTCTTTTGCATCAAGATAGCGCAAAATCTTTGCATCCATGTGTGGTAGTAAAAGTGACAAAACCCTTTCTATAGCCACTAGAATGCAACTCCTCTTGTTTCCGTACGATGCGATCAAACAAACCATGCATACGACCAACAGATGGGGATAGGAGCCTCTGGAGGTACTCCCTCATAAAAATCCTCCATTGGTACCAAGACACAGCGTACACCCGCTATGAACCAATTAACGTAGGCTCCAACATCCAAATCCATAAGCCTAGTTTATGGGACAGCATGGTTATGTTTGGGAATCTGGCAAGTGCATAAAACCATTCATTTAAAATTGGTCCATCCTGTATGGGAATATTATGCATGCTGTATGTATGCCAAGTTAGCGGAGGGAGCGGGAGCTTTTCGTCAATCTTAGGTTTCTCAAGCTAATCACTAGCTTGGCCTATGACATGATTTCTCAACACTGCCAAGACAGCGTGTAATGTTTACTTTCAGACTTATGGAAAGTATGCATTATGCACAGTGGTTTATGAGACTGTCTATCCAAGTGAAAGTACTTACTCAACTCAATAAACATGAAATAAAACAGACAGCCCAGATGGGAGATGTACTTTTCCTGTTTATTCATTCAACACTGACTGCAGCAACACCTGACACTGAACAGTGCTGTCTTTGTACAGGTATTCTGTTCACCAGTATAGATCTCTGATGGCCAGCATAACAAACATATACAAAAATATATATATATATATACACACCTCATGTTTAATTGTGTGAGCTAACAAGAAACGGCTGTAGGCTTAATCAATACTGCAATGGTGAGAGAGAGGATGGGTTGGTACAAGGTCAAAACTTTAATATCATTGTGTTCATCATATCAATAATAAAAGTCAAACCTCAGGATGATCCAAAATTTGAAATATTCTACTGAAATCATGCAAAAAACTATTCTACTATTCCAGATAATTCTGGAAATTATCCTTTTTGCATTATCACTTTCAACCTCTACCCCTTAAAGACATCTGGAAAATTGCTACATTATCATTGCATAGCTGTCAAGTGAAGTATCTCAGCCCCATCAATGGAAGAAATACATGTGACATGTAACATTACATGTTTAAATTTAATACAGAATTTTCAGACAATTTCCCCCTTACTCCCTAAAAGAAGTAAACTTTACTGATGTCTGGAAAATGATTCAGTATATCTATTGTGATAAATGTGAGGCTGGTGTAAACTGTGGAGTGTGCAAACACTACATATATATCATTCATGATGGGTGGCAGGCAGGCAGGCAGGCGGGCAGACAGACAGGCAGTCAGGCAGTCAGGCAGTCAGGCGGTCAGGCAGTTGCATACATAACCTTCTACAAGCGTGGGCCGATGGGTTTAAGGTCACTGTATAATATTATGTATTGTCATATAACCCTTATTTGCTACTGTGTCACAATTATTATGAAGATGTAATAAATTCATACAACAGTCTACATAGAAAAAGATGGAATCAACAATGTGGAGTTTGAGAAACACATGCACCATAATGGTCAACGAGGTCAAGCAAATATACACAGTATGGACAATATGGAAACACATCCTGCCATGAAATACATACTTTTTAATTCCTTTCCACCCACAGCTGTGTGAATTCCATTCAGAACACAATAAAACAGCCATTGCTAAAATCTAAAATCTAATGCCATCCTAAAACAGAACTGACAATTTTCATATTTGTTCTGTTGTACAACTTAACATTACATCCATCCCATTCCTGTTTTTCCAATGCATACAGTATACACCTAGAACTACCCACAATACAAAAGGATGGCCGAATAATCCCCTAAGTCTCATATCATGTTAGAGTTATCCTATGCAGACTGCAGGAATTTAGATGATAAATTGCCAACAGCATGTGTTGAGATATTTGACATGATACGTATACTCCTTATTAAAAGATGTCTTGATTCACTGTATTGTTTTGAACATCAATATTTGACATTACAAAACCCCATCATCAAATAGTAGACTCTTGAACAAAGTACAGTCCAGGGCTGATCAGGCACAAATATGCTAACACATGCAACCATACATTTCACTCATGTCAGTGACATATTTGCAATTAGTTACAAGAATTATACCCTAAATCATTTAAAAAGACTTTTTGCAGTTCACTGCAACATCATATAGCCTTTTCTGTCAGTTTCAGCAACATCAAAGCTAAAATATTGCTAAAGTGGACACAAGTTATGGATATCAACTGCCTTAATATATATTAAAAATTGTCCATGAATTGTGTCTACTTCATCATCTGTCAACTTCCAAGAAATGCCCATCAAACAATAAAATATAGCGGTGGAGAGTTTTTGTTCACATTTGGACTGGTCGTTAGCTATCAGCATTATTCTTGCCATGAACATGATGAATGATTAAGTCATCTATTCTCTCTACATTTTGCCGTACATAATATTTTAAGAGTTGCTGATAAAGATTTATTGAATGTACCATTTCCTTTTCTACTGCCAATAATCTATCCTCATGTCACGACAATGTGTCCCATTTCTCACTGCTTAAGTTTCACAATTAAATGATCAATGTTATTCTGAGGGACCTATACATATTAATACACTTGACTAACAAAATTCTTAAAATATCACATGAAACATATTTCCCACTTGCCAAACTTGCATTATACCCTTCGTTACATCACTTGCCAAGCCTCATCTCGAAAGCGTAAGAGGAGACAACACACAGTGCTGCGGACTGACTGTGACTGCTGCACACCTCTCACTATTTCACACTGGGAAACATGTACTGAGAACACACATGCACTTTTATTGTACATGTCTTCCAAGATACTAGTAATTAAATTCAATTTTGATTTGCTTGCTCCTACAGGTCATATCAAATGGCACTTGAAAAACTATAAATCAACTAGGCTCTGTAGCTCACCTGATTCACGAAGAAATAATTGCATGATGCTTCAATATTTTTATGTGACAAAGATCAATAGGAACTGAACATAGATGATGCAATATATTAGGTGAAAACAACATATTTTTGCAACATTGTATTCAGTACCGATGATAAGGACAATCATGATTCCTTGAACAACCTTATTCTTCTGATAGCACTTATCATTCACTTATCATTCTGTGGTATGTGCACAGCTTTCACCTACCTCAACTTGTTTCACTATTTTCTCCTTTACCACAAAGTGACGGTTGTTGAACTTGCTGGAGTGTCTGACCGAGAACCTTTACTAATAATGTTGCATAAACCAATTCTGTTTCAAGTCATCTTCTGTTTCCATGAAAACCATATGTGAAACCTAGTTTTTGCAATTGCTCTCCACCATATACAAATAATAAGATGAAATTTGGAGGCAGGCTAGCGTGTGTATGGATCTAAGATGTGCTTTTCCAAGTTTGCACCTACTTCAATTCATGAAATGATATGCATGATTTCACTATCGTGACACAGACTATAACATTGTAAATGTGGAAAGTTGAAATGACATGTTAGGCCCCATTTCCAACAACATATATGCCAAATTTCTATATAGTTTGAAAAATGATGGGTAATTGCTGTTAATGAGTTTTTAATAAAAGCTACTGTGTAGGCAATGTTTACATTCTTGCCAAGTTTGATCTTCTTAGGCCTTTGAGTTTCAGAGGAGATGTTGAAAATGTAAAAGTTCACTGCATACAGATATCAAGCCACAAACATAACCTGAATTATCCAAACACTTGTCAGGTATTGGGGAAGAAATGCTGAAGTTGGTTGAAGCACTCAGCCTGGACATTCTCTACCCCAGCTGACTCTTCATCATCCATCCCCTCTCAAATGTGCAGTATCTATTCTGCAAAATCCCATGCACAGTATAATAATGTCTACAACAGCATACACCTAAGAAAATCAACCAATGCCATATCTGCAGTATCAAACATGCCAAGTCATACAAATTATTATCAGGAAACAAAAAGTTGCAAAATATTTGTGGATGACAGACGTCCAGTGAAAAGCTACCTATTTGGCACTACCATAACATAACAACTCACACCATTCACGGATATGCATTTAAGATATGACAAACACATTAGATATGCACCACATGCATCATTAATTGTGACTGTACATCAATCACCAATCTCAACTGCTTTGATCAACATGTGCTACTGAGCAAAAATGTCAAGACTGAATCAACAACAAAGTTGGAAGATATCAGTCATATGTTTTCAAAATATTGGTATTCTACAGTCTACTGTTATCAGGTTTTTTTTAAATAAAAAAGCTTGCAACTATTTTTCTAGACACAAAATAAATAAACTGGATTGACAAACTGTGTATCACTATTCGTTACAAAATCCAGCTTTCCGATCGGCCACTAATTGTCTTGTATAGCTACCCTCTATGAAACCTTGGTTGAAATGAGATCACTTCAAGGACTGCTTATGCTATGAGTGGTGTGTTCATTGGTGGGCCACAACATACTTGAAATCCAAAACCATTTCACCACCTGGCTTTGTAAATTATGACCATAATGACAAATTTGTTAGATGTGTCTTAGAGTGTCTAAATAATTCTATCCAAACCTTCTGGCACGTTCTGAGTGAACAAGATAATTCAGCTTTAAACATCATATACATTCTGTAAAGAACAAAAGTCACACATAATCATTTTCCATAAACTGGGCATCCTTCCATACTGGAAGACACTGGTTCAATGTGATGGTATTTAGTGTCTATAGAAATAAGAAAGCTGTTAGCATTTACTGCCAATTAACATGATCAGAGAAAATCTCAGCTCAAACATATTTTTTGGAAAGTTCTCTTTCTGGTCATTCATGTATTTTCAGCTATGTCCAGCTTGTATCTGAAATCACAGTGACTGTTAGGAAATTGCATATGACATGCAATGATGCAAGGAGAGATAACATTGTGGAGAAGAACTGTAACAGAATACAACACATTCTATAATTCTCAATTTGTCGTGGATTACTGTAAACTGTTGCTAAGACAATAAGAAGGCCAACTGAACATAGAGCTCAAACAAACTGCCCTGAACATAAGGCATTGAGCTATGTAAATGCAATCCAATCACATTCAAGCACAGCTTGATATCAACATTATAAAATATATAATTCATAACAAAGAACAGTTTCCATTCTCCCAAATGCAAACAGTAACATACTGAGTTTGTTTGTTGATGCATGGAATCTGCACTTATTTACAATTGTTGGTATGTACATAGGAAGCAGATAGAGAAGTTACTTATTTCATAATGACAAGTGTTTCTAATACTTCAATTCACCTGTCATCACTAATCACTAAGTGTCAGATAACTCCTAACATCAAAGCTTTACACTTAGCAATAAATTCTCCACTGAATCACAGAAAAGTAACAGAAAATTCAATAATCGAAGTGTTTAACTAATATAACCAAACAGTTACAAATAGTCAGAACACAAGTGCTCTTCAGGATACTTAATGAGGTTCTTGTTATGGTCAAATTACCACAATTATACTGAATGAATACATGAGCTATGTTTTGGACATGTTGAACATGCCTCTTTTCCAGCCACAACAATCTCTACCTGGAGTGTTGAAGAGTATGTGGAGTAAGCATGGGAACAGAAGGAATGTGGCAAGTGTTTTATTTACCAGTACTGTGGCTAATAGTCTACAAAATGTTCTACCTTACATCTGTAGTGGTGTTATTTTCATAAATAAGTTGTTATTCTTCTCCTTTGACTAGTGTCAACATAATGAGTAATTATGGCGAAGGAAAGCTTGTTATATACTCTGCAAACTGTGAACATCTAAGAATATTGTTTCATTGTGTATCTACAGTAACAGAGTAAATTGGATATAGTTTACACTTAGTACCGTAAATGTACAATCAGCTGCCTTTAAATGACAATATTATGAGATATGAGGAGTAGAGTCCATGCTGACCAAGGCTTGGCAGAAACTGACTCATGGTCATCAAGGTGCCCAAAGTCCCCTATAGCTGGTACAGTGTCACCATCCAGCTGGCCTGCTTAACCACAAATGGGATTGAAGCTGTTGGAGATTGGGGTTGGTTGTAATAGCTTTATTCTGTGACGTGCCAGCTGTTTGACAGGTGAGCTGATTTCTGTGTTGTGTTCAGTTTACACTACCGAGCAGTTGATCTCTCTCAATTGCTTCACAAGTCTCTCCCACAGACCATGTTATGTACAGCAGGCATCCTAGTTGTGAGCTGGGAGAGTTCTTAACTCATTAGTATCTCCAGTAATACTTGTAAAGTAGGTAGCTCCCTAGCAGCAAGCCCAGACCTAAACATATTGGCTGTAGGTAGCTCTTGCGTTTCTTCCAAGCTTCACTATTTTTCTGTCGTTCTTTCATATCCTTGATCTTTTCTTGAGTATGCTTCTTTCTTTCTTCGCGTATTCTCTTCCTTACCTCATATGCACTGTAAACAAAACACAACTTCTTAAAATAGATGCTGTATAGAAGCATCAAAACAGCACTTCAACTAGAAATAGTGTGCAGAGCTGCGAAGAAAAAAAACTGTAACAGAGTAAAATGCAGTGTCTTCTGTCACAGGCACTGATGACAAAGAGGGAACATGCATACTATGGTAACTATCCTGGTCTAAATGTTTTGATAACTACAGCCTTTTCCTGAATGTCCCTTTTCTGGTAACAGTTTTACTCACTATCACAAATAAAGGGAAATCCCCAACATTTAAAGATTTTGATTTTATTTTGTGAAGGGACATACATAAATCAAACATGTTCAGTTTCAAGTTAAAGTTGTTGTTTTTCAAAAAACAAATTTGGATGAAATCCATCTTCATCAAATCGTTTGTTATTATTATGGTAATCAAGAAAGTCATTACACTTGCTGGACACTTTCAGTCACAAGCAAAGTGAAATTACTCCTTACATTTTTACCTTATCTCTCTTGCTGAGGGACATTTCAAATCTGATTTCAACTCTGATTGCTATGATCACCCATGTGTTGATAAAACACATTTGGTCAACATGTTTGAAAGTGGGTGACTAATATAGAATAAGTCATATAGTGATATGATACATAAAACTTGGTAAATAGCTTTCTTATATCAGATTTTAGCATGTGCCTTTTTTGAAAGATGAAAAAAAATCCAAATTTTTGTAATTTATGCATAAATCAAAACACTGAATGAGAAACAGGTTGAAGTATTGCATGTCCTGAAACTTGCTAGATATGTACTAGATATGTGAACATAGACTACAACTGAATGTCCTTAGAAAGGAATCAGTAACTTATTACTTGCCACTGACAAATTAAACTATACTGACTCAAGCCTTTCACCCGGGTCATCAACTGCATTTACATTTGGAGGCTGTGTGAATCTATGTTGGGAATTACTGGCAGCCATCTTGATGAATAAGGGGAGGTAATAAACAAAGGGGGACAATTATTCACCAAGCAGTGGAGCATTGCACTTCTGATTGGTAACGATGGTTAATTTGATTTCATTTGTACTTGAGCTTTAAACATAAACCCTTTCACATAATGTTAGAGAAGTTGTGAGAGATTTGGGTTCAATCCTGCTTCAAACAATATTTCTGTCATATAACACCATGCAAGTTTGATGTGGGAGGACAATGTCCATAGTGACTCGGGTCAGAGATGTTTACTACTTTGCTCAAACCAGGAACACTGGTACACTCATGTGCCACATTAAAGTTCACAAAATGGCCAGCATATTTAAGCTGGGGTATATTATATGACATCTGACTGCATATAGTTGGTCCAAGAATATGGTTGGATAAACTTTTAGGGGGTGCAAAATCCCAGCGCATGACACCTTTGTTACACTCTCAGCAACATCGCTGCCACCAGTGTGGGCGGGGCCACTAAAGGAATGTTGAAATCTGCGCTCTAACCCCATGTGTAGTAACGTTAATACTTTTGTTTTATGTCTTTGGGAATGCCATCTTAGCGAATTTTGAAATGGTTAACGACTGACCATATTTTTCAGATGAATTTAGCTTTTTGTTTATTTGATCAGATTGGTTCTAGATTGCAGACTAACGGAACATTGACTGACTTCTCCTTTACATTCTTACTATGCCAATTACATGATAGTTGTAAAGAAACAGAAATTCAAACTGACAAAGTTATTTAGCAAAGGTAAGCCATCACGTGTTTGTAAACTTAACGGCCAGTTGGTTGCGAGTTCAACTCCAAGAATGGTTGTAGCCAACTGTCACAGTGAGGAGCTATGACTGCTAGCAGCGATAGTATAGAGAGCTCCGCGAACGGGATATCGCTGTGTGGTACTTGAATTTTGTCAACACAGGGGAAATAACTCTCATTTACTAGTAATGACGTCTGCTTCATTGATATGGGAGCAAGAGGCAAAGATCTGACTCCTTACCAGAAACAACTTATCATAAATTTGAAATCTGAAGGCAAAAGTGTTGTGAAATTGGTACAATTACTGGGATAAACAGGTTTACTGTTTATAAATTAATTAATAGATGTTCAAAAATAGAAGTTACTAAAAACCATCCTAGAAGTGGGAGAAGAGGAAAATGAACACATAGAGACACATGGTCTTTGTTAAAACTTAAAACTTGTGTAGCAGAAGGAAGTCTTTACAGGATATTCCCTCACTATTTAACCAGTCATCAGAAAAAGAATAGGGCTGGGAAGATACACCAACTGTGAGATCCGATATGTATCACGATACCTTACTCACGATCTGATATGTGTCACGATACTTGCATGTGCTGTTATCTGTGGTGCGTAAGCCATCTATTTCATAGACAGGATGGCCAAATTCCTGACACACTGACGATTTACATTTGGCAGTGTCAAGAAAGGCACAACAAATGAAAATATTTATGTTTTCATTATAACTTGCACTACTGATTAGTATTTAGTGGAAGTTATTAAAGCAAACATTTAAGATCAGAATTGATATTTTTGACTTGCAAAGTGTGCGACTGTCATTGATACTTGTATCAAAGAGTAAAAAAATCACGATACACCGATGCATCGGTGTATCGTCTCACCGCTAGTAAAGATCAGAAAGTTTATGATTGGAGAACAAATAAAGAAAAAAGGAAGCCCAGCTTCCGCCTCAGATTTTTTATTCACATTATAGGGCTTTTCTGTATGCTTATTTTGATAATATGATGCCTTCAGATGTCTACGTTGGGGAATAACCCTGACAGAAATTCATTGTGTGGCATAGGACTGAGGGCTGAAGATGGTTTATGCTATCCAAACAGGACCTGTGTCATAAAAATAGATAGATAGATGCTACAACCAAGTTTATATATCAGACAATGAAAACGTTTTTTATGCACCGCTGCACCGCTACCTTTAGGCCACTTCCCAAATAGGTTTGTAATGGTAGCTGATTATGAAGCATGTGATTTCAGCACATTTACATGGACATTTAAATACTTTCTACTGGTACGAATATTATCACTTTTTCTATCTCTCGAAAATTGACCTAGATTCTAGAAAAATTGATATTCGCAACAAAATCATAATCAATCTTTTCACTATACTTGCACTTAAAGGTATCATGCTATGCACAATGGATACAATGACATTTCGTAATGCTTAAGTAATCAATATAAAAATCACTGTTTTCAATGAAAGCATCAGCAGATCAGTTAAAGGAAGGAAAGAAAAGAATTTAAAATTTTTTTTTTATAGAGACTTACAACTGACATTTTAATTTCTCTGGTAAACAATAATGTATTATATTCCAATTAAAGAACTTGGAAACACATAGCTTTATTATTTGTATCAATATCACCTAAGACACATAAATAAAATGTGAAGCATGAATATAATTTTTTTGGTACAAAAATGATACACAGGAATCATCATAACTGGACACAGGAGAATCAAAGCTAGCTGCAGTCAGGGCACTGAACAAGTTGAATAGGAACCAGATCACGATCTAGAGCCTAGTATCAGTACAAGCAGCATGGTACGTCGTGTGACCAACCTAGAGGTTACAACATCTGACCGAGGACCGCTTCAAGTGGCAAGGTCATTTGCTGCAAATGTTTACATAAGCATTCTTTACAACAGCAGCAATATCAGGATTGCAAGCGACAGTGTGGAACTGCTTTTGTTATGTGGACCTAAGCGCCAGACTGCATGTATAAACTGTTTGTTTCAAGAAGACAAGATTTATGCTCCATCGAGCTGACTGGACAGCTAACACATAAATGTTTTGCTGCTAACTGCATATGGGAGGTCGTGTCAGGGGGAAAAAAAAAAATGATTTGGGCAGAAAACACTGGTAGAACAATCCTAGTGCAAGTACAATGCAGCTGAACAGCTAAAGGCTGTTGTGCAGAAATCCTACAGCTGCACATTGTTCTCATTCACATCTTTCAACATGTCCTTTTTAGCAAAGATATGACTTAGTTGATGTCACACAATTGGAACATGGCTTATGCTGTAATCAGCTGCATTACCACCTTTCACATCAGATATAAATGTTCAAACTAAACATTTTCCCTTCTGTTACTTAGGTTACTTTCACTGATGAATAGTTGAAAATAATAAAAAAAACTTTTAAAAAAGCCTGTAATAGCAAAAAGCACCTGTCTTTGTGTATCCAAGTTTCATGAAAGAGTACAAAAAAAGTTTTAGAGATATGGTTTGGACAAACACAACACTATGAACAGAGTCAAAGTCAAACTTGTTGCTGTGGGAATGTAAAAAAAAAAAGAAATAGCAAAAGGCACCAGCTGACAACCTGTGTCCACTTTCAAAAAGTGATCTTAGCGCTATGACGATCATAACTCTCAAACTTTAACAAAAGCTGAGGATAGTCGTAGCGTAAGGATAGCTTTGTGCAAAGTGGATCTTGGTCTTTGCGTGTGCAAAATTTCATACGGATGGACGGACAAGCTGATTACAATATCTCTCTCCCCACCCCCCATATTACAAAGGATCATATCATTTATTTTCAAAAGTAGTTCTACATTGAAAAGAGGTTTGATTGTGTTTGTGAAAATGCCACATTAAGAAATGTATCTGTACAGAACTAGAGGACAATAACTAAACAGCAACAGTGCTGCTACATGAATTCTTTACCTCTGTTGTTCTTTGTCAGGTGCTGAGTTACACAAAAGTCTTGTAGTGCCCGTCATGTCCATAAAGTCATCTTCGTCTTCTAAGTCATCATCATCATCATCATCACCTTCATCATCATCATCTATTAGCTTATCCAGTTCAGCATCAATATCTTCATCATCATCATCATCATCGTTCAGTCTTCTCAGTTTGGGAGGTAATGGGGGTGGGGAATGACGGACACCCCTCTTAGGCGACAGACTGGTAGTGCGCTCTGGGGGTGGGGGTGGACTGTCCTCATGGTCATTATGATTCTGAAAACCCAGGTAGACCCAGAGTACTAAAACTAGAAAACAGTCTTCATATTTAACCAGTCGTTCCTTAGTCGAGTTAATGATAATTCAGCACATACTTGTTATATAAAAAGTAAAATCTGCCTAATTCAACAATATTTATCATTGTTCATAAATCAAAGAACACAACTTCTATTACATCATTGCCATAAATCTTGTATTTCTGCCAACATCACACTACAAAAATCTCAAGATTTCAACAGAAGTCCTCTCTTTATTGTCAACTATTCAAAATTTGTTGTGCAAGTAATCGTATCATGCCTTTCAAAGCACATGCACATGTGTAAGGTGCAAAACCTCAGTTCTTTCCAATATCAGGCATGCTATAAGCAGAATATTGGGGAGGTGGGTGGTATTACTCCTGATGCGATCTTGGTTGGTTGGTTGGTTTGTTGTTTTACGCCGCACTCAGCAATATTCCAGCTATATGACGGCTGCAATCATGGTAATAGAGGTAGTACTCTTTGAAGTATTAACAATAACTATTGCTTGATAATTCATTCGAATAACATTCCTCTATTACATCACTGAAAGAATATACATGACACAAAGTATCACCCTGGATGGTTAAAATAAGGAGGATTTTTAATCTCAATTCTCTGATTCCATCTCCATAAAATTGTACCTGCATTTAAGTATAATGGTGAACCTCCGATATTATCCGATACAACCCGTTCTAGATGTTTGACAAATATTAGGTGTACATAATGCCAAATCACCTCAAAATGATCGATCTCAGAATAATGCCAAGGATATACTGGTAAACAAAAATGGGGTTACCTTCCATTGAACTACCATTATATATATATCCAATTCCTCACTTGTGATGTCTTTCCAACTCTGTTGTCCATGACGTCATTACCTGTTCTGATGACGTCATTTCCTCCTCTGACGCAGGGTTCCTCATTGTGGTTAGAAAGGTCAACAACAAGGCACATTTTTATTCATAAATTGAAGTAAAATGTAATATTGCACTTAAAATGGCCACCTGTGAAGACGGGGGTTACAGTCGATCTTCAGCAACCCATGCTTGTAAAAGGCGACTAACAGGATTGGATGGTCAGATTTGGTTACTTGGTTGATGTAGGTCTTCGTATCCAATTTGCGTAGATGATCGATGATCATGACGTTAACCGCTGGACTGTCTGGGCCAGATGCAATTATTTAGAAACCACTGTCATATAACTGCAATATTGCTGAGTGCGGCGTTAAACACAAAGCAAACAATCATAAATGTGGCTTACATCACTTGGAAATGGAGAGACCTAATATTTCAAGGAAATTTATGAGAAGTAGTCTGACTATCAACTGACTACTACATACCCAAAAAACTCACTACCGCTATATTTGAATGAAATTAGGGGCGATTTTCTTGCGTCAGGATAAATACACTTGATATTTCGTTGGCATGCATGCCAAAAGAGTCTCAAATACCAAGAACCCTGTGATGACAACACTACCACATCTGCTTCTTAAGACGTCCCAATCTCATACAATATCGGCCATCTATTAGACCTTCCAGGTCTCTCTTTTGTTAACCTTTCAAATTTTGAATCAATATTTTGCAAAGCGTAGTCTGAAATGGAAGTTCCAAACTAGTGCCGTAAAGCTCGAGAATGCTGATTTCTGATTGGGTTATGTTGACTTCTTGTCAGTCATTTCATTTGTTGGTCAAAGTTTGCAATAGATATCATGCGTTGTGAAGGAACCAAAAATGGGAGTTGTTCCTTCAGCATGTTGATAACGGAGGATACTTGTCTCGGGCTCCCTGGCTGTCGCATTCCACATGACTGTAGGAGTCTTATAATTGACTGGCTCTTCGAGGTGAGAAAATCTTTCGCCGAAACCCAGTGACAGACGATCAAGTACTACTCTCTATGACTTGGTTTTCTGACTGCTCCCACAAACCAGTTCATGTTGGCTGCTCCCCGTACATGGCCGTCCAAGTGGGAAGACTTCCTCAGGTGGTAGACATGCACAGTGTCCAAATCCACCTAAGCAGAAATAGCAGCGAGTATAGTTTCTATCAACACTTGAATATTCTTCTGCGGTTGATCTAACAGTGGCTTCAGCAGGATCATGGAGATATGAGGCCTCTGTCTGGGATGGAACTTCAGACAGCAGGCGTGTCCCACAAAGGACAAGATTGCTAAGCACTGTCATCTTGGCAGCTTCCCTCCTCTTAGACTTCTTCCATAATACCTTGATTTCATGTAGAGGCCATAAAATTACTGAGGTCCTGTGATGGGATATGAACCACTGACCTTCTGATTCAAGGTCGGACACCTTGTCCACATGACCAAAGAGGTTAACCACATCAATAAGCTGACATGGTAAGGATGTCATCTCTGGGATGACTGCATGCCCTGCTACATACTCATCCCTGTTCAGAAGGCACAACCCAGACCATATAGTTGTGCACTGAGACTTATTTAACTCAAATTTAGCATGAACATGCTCAGCTCCACATTGGGCCCCAATGTAGCGGCCATTACATTTCTGAGTCCCGTGATGAGATTCGCACCACAGACCTTCTGATCCATGGTTGGATGTCTTGTCCACGTGACCAAAGAGGACAACCTGAGCAACCTGACAAGGTAAGGATGTCATCTGTGGGATGACTCCACGTCCTGCTACATTTGTTGAAGACATGACAGAAGAGCTGCACATAGCAGAAATCGGGTTCTAACATGCAAACCGTAGAACGGCATATCCAACAGGATATACGAATGTCCCCATGCGTCATGAAGAGACCAAAAACTTTACACGTAGGAGTAGGGGATGCTATCTTGTCTCACCAGACAAGTCCACTTCCAAACTACCCAGGGAAACTAACTGTTGTTTCATGTACCTATCTAAGATCACAAAAACACTAATGTTAATGACTAACGTAATATCGTCTTTGACAGGCATTCAGAAGTTGGAAGAACATAAATACATGACACTTTTTATGGATAGCACCTTCTCTTATTCTTCTGAAACGTCGTAACATAAAAAGTGTCATGTATTTACTAACGTAATGTTAAGAAACAATTTTGATTTACAGTGTGAATTAATCAAAAATCACTGTGCTGAGACGACTACTAAATTTTCTGTGTTAACACAGAAAAGTGGTAAGGTTTCCTGCGTTACAAATGCACAGTTTCTTGAGAAGGCAGGATATTATTACTTGCACAACTATTCATGGACAGTTGACAGTTAAGAGGATTTCTGTTGAAAATCTGAAGATTTTTTTATTGTGTGATGTTAGCCAAAATACAGGTTTCATGGCAATGATGTAATAGGAGTATGGTATTTGATCAAAATATCACATAGTTGCACTTAACATGCTTAAAACATCAATCGAGACAGTAAGAGAATAATATATAATTGCATCACTTTATGTTATTGCATTCGTTAATATTCATTTAGAGATAAAGAAATCAGATATGCTTTATGATGCTGATTTGCTTATTAGAAAGTTCATCTGATGTGACGTCATGAACATGTGTCCTCAGATCTTCATGCACAGAGGTATTGTATAGGAGTAAAACATCTGATTAAAATGAGATTGAATAATATCCTTATTGGGTAATATTTTTTTGATGGTAGTATTCTCAAGTTGTTTTATGTACACGGTCATATTTTCTTGGATTCTATAGCTTTGATTTAGTTTGTGATTGGTGACATTTGTGCTTGTAAGACAATTGAGATTTATAATTTTGATGTACCGAAAACTGTCCATGCATGGAGTCCCTGACATTGGAGTTGGCATCAGACATGTTGAGTAGCTGCTTCCCTCCTTCTATAATGGCCAGATAGGAGAAGCGAAGCTGATCTGGTGTCTGTATCAGTCCCATGCGATATGACCGCATTTCAATTAGCATCCCCCTAACATCTACACAATCCAGATCTTGATTCTTCTCAATCTGAAAGAAAGAAAATTTGCATGTGTTTGTGGGTATCTTCAAATTGAACAAAACCACTTCAAGGCCAAAGGTCATATAATGAAACCACAAAACAACAGGTACAAAAGCTTGCTTTGAAATGACATGAAACTTGTAGGGATGCATAAAATGTACTGTTTTGTCTTATATCTGTAGACTTCATAAACTTAGGATACAACTATTAAGGTGTTTCCTTTGCATGCAAAAACCAAAAGCATCCCAACCCCCCCCCCCTGAACCCCTCTCGACTACAACCTATGGATCATGTATGTCAAGTTTGGTCAAAGTCCCATGAATGGGACTCAAGTATTTTGGATGCAATGAGTTACCTTGACCTTCAGTCTTCAGCAATCACATTCAATAACATTCCCATAAGCAAATATATATGGTGTTACAAATAAGAAAATATCAACACCATACTGACAATACTCTCTGAATAAAAAAATATTGATATGGCAATTAATATGTCAAATTGGTCATTTGTTTGTCTTATTTGTTTTACACCAGTCAACAGCACATCAGTTATATACCAGCAGGTACATATTTGAGTCCAGGCCAGCCAAACCAGTGGTTGATATTATGTAATGACCTTCCAGTAACCTTAACATTCACTACAACCATGATAAATGACAGGTGGTGACTTTGCTATTTAAGGTTCACTGGTTAATTTACCATTAATGGAACTAAAATGTTCTGAGGTTTATGCCATAATTGAAAATATGATAATATGAAAAGTATGAGTAATCAAAGTCAAATCATCACGATCATATATTACACAAGACAATATGTACACAGGCTGTTATAAGACAGTTCACAGAGTGTCAGTGACCTTCAATGTCATCCAGTCACATGATAAATAACAGATTGATGGTATATGGAACCACATCATATTAGAACAGACAGACTGCCAGAATATTAATGGTCAAGATGATGGTCTCTAAAGTAATGTACAAAAGTGTACACAGTGTTTTTCATTTTGCAATGTCTTTTCTTTTACTTTAATACCATACCAATTTAGAACATAGATAATTCAGGCATTTTTATTTTGAAATCAATTTGAACTAAAGCGTTAATGTAGTTGTAATTAATGGTATCTTCATACATGTACAAATTGCAAGTGACCCTGACATTTTTATGAATGACAGAGAAAGTTGCTTTCTACATATAAAACCTTTTACATACATATATACAAGTAAGGAAACATGGACTTACTGAACTCAAATCCTGCACCCTAAATGCATTGAAATTGAAAATGAATACAGTCCATCTACTGGAATGCAGAAAATTTTTATTCATGTTAAAAAATGATTGCTGCTATTTCACAAATTGGTACCACTTAATATCAATATCTATATGTAATCAATTAAAAGTACAATACATAGTCAAATGCTTGACGCTCTTTGAGCCCTTTCATGTGATTAATTTTAGTTAAGAAACTCCATAACCTTACAGCCCCTGGGCATCTGCAATCTTCTGTCAATTTTAATAGAGCATTGTATTAAATTTCTAACATTTCTGTAGGATCCCGTATTTTTGTTGCTTTGTGCCACCATTTTGTATCAATGACAATGTTTTGTAATGATGTCACTCTGACAATGTCAAGGCAACCCTTATGATCTTCCTAACCAAAGATTAATCTTATGTTAATTCAGCACTCTTGTAACACTGAGGCTCACATTTTCTTCCTGAAATAAATGTCAGAAATCCTTACCAGTACAAGGCATGAATCAACAAGACAGAAGGTTCCTGATCGGCCTATTCCAGCACTACAGTGTATAACCGCAGGCCCCACTTCAGTGTCCAGGGCTCCAGCTTCTCTCACTGCAGACAGGAAGTTGAGGAAGGAGGTTGGGGATGCAGGGACACAGAAGTCTGGCCATGTTGTGTAGTGAAAGTGTAACACCTCTCGTCTTTCCCCTGACTGAAACATAAACAAAGTATATTTGCTGTATCATGTCGTATTCAGCCATATTCCAGCTACATTACGGTGGCCTGTACAAAACAGTGACTTATATCATGACAAACATCACATACTGTTGGGGTATCAATCAACATGACCACTTGATCAAAGTACGAGGGGACATCAAAAGGTTTTGAGCCTCACACAGTATTCATGGTCGAATGGTACAATGCGCTACACCTGATGTACATGAATGTCTTAGCTACTGATGCTATGTAGAAACATATTGCTGGCTGCAATTATTTTGTCACAACACTTCGTGGAAGAGACCTACCCCTAGTGAATTGGCAAAATGGACAAATCTGAGGACAGAGCGGTGATAAAGTTCCTTGTCCTAGAGGGTCAATCTGCCAAACAGGTGGAAGAGCGATTGACTGCAGTTTATGGAGAGTCTTCCCCATCATCTGCAACTATCAAACGGTGGGTGAAGGAATTTCAGCGTGGCAGAGAGAGCTTAGAAGATGATGCCTGGTCCGGACGGCCATCAACCAGTACCAGCCCTGAAAACATTGACACTGTACACAAACTAGTGATGGAAAACCGCCATATTACTCTCCATGAGCTAGAAGAAACAACAGGCCTATCTTATGGATCCATACATAATATAATTCATGGCAAACTCCACATGTCCAAAGTGTGTGCCTGATGGGTCCCGAGAATGCTTACAGATGACATGAAGCTATCAAGGGTCACCATCAGTGGAGCCTTGCTAACTCGGTACAATGCCAACCCAGATGATTTTCATTTTAGGATTGTAACCAGTGATGAAACCTGGGTTTATAATAATGATCCGGAGAGCAAACAGGAGTCGATGGAATTGAAACACGCCACTTCTCCAAAGACAAAGAAGTTCAAAGCCACCAGATCCACCAAGAAGGTTATGATGACCATCTTCTGGGACAGCAAAGGAGTGATTCACATCGACTACCTGCCCCATGGCACCACAATGAATGGGGAGTATTACGACAAGTTATTGAAGCAGGTACGCCAATCCATCAAGGTGAAACGCCGTGGAAAAATCCGTCGTGGGATTCTGCTTCACCAGGACAACGCACAAGTCCACACGAGCCGTGTTGCAATGACAGCTGTGCAAGAATGTGGCTACGAACTCCTCCCTCACCCACCCTATTCTCCAGACCTAGCCCCCAGTGACTTCCACCTCTTTTCCAGGCTGAAAAAACACCTCCGGGGCCGGAGATTGGAAGATGACGATGAGCTAACTGCTGCTGTGGACATGGGGGAGGGTTGGTTAGGGGACCAGAATGTTGACTTCTACCGATTGGGCATCAGTGACTGGCAAACTAGGTGGAACAAGTGTGTGGAGTTGGGAGAGGACTATGTTGAAAAATAAAGTAGTAACAATCCAATTCTTTTACTTTTTCTGTGTGAGGCTCAAAACTTTTTTATATCCCCTCGTATGTTGCTGTTTACGCCAAGAGATAGAGCACTTGCTAGGAACCTATTCTAACCCAGGTCAACACGGGGTCACAGTCCTCAGTCCTTGTGCAGTGCACATATATAGTCAAATCAACAATAATTTTGTAGCTAAAAAAAACACACATTAGCATGTTTAGTTCCAACTATGCCTTATAATTACACTTAAACATGTAAACAACAGTATTTCGTTTATTCAATATATCATATCAAGAAGTGTAAGATGTTTTTTTCAAAACACCAGGTAATTTAGTGAGCATGCAAATCATGCTAATTAGTAAAATATAAATATTTTTTACATTGTTATACTTATCCTGCATTACTTCATAATGCATTACTGCTGTTTTTTGACAGAAAGACGAACTGTGAGAAGCATAGCTGTAAAAGAAAGTTGTCTCAACCTGAAGTGTGGTAGTAGCCTTGCACAGCCGCCACGTGTCCTGGAAGTGGTGACGTCACATAAGAGCACATTAGTGCTTTGAAATGTAACATCTGAAACTTCATGAGGAGGTAGCACTGCCAAGATAGGGCAATTAGACGAAGTAATGCAGGATAATTATACAAATGTAAAAAATATATAGATTTTACTTAATTTTTTTAACTTATCCTGCATTACTCCTTAATGCATATTTATCAGACAGTATGGCGGTGGGCCTACCTTCAGATGTGAGCAGAATAAATCCATGTCAAAGTTCTAGAAAACAGTACAGCATCCTCAGTGATGACTGGAAAACAATGACCATTCCTATCGGAATGAAAATGAAAGTGAAAGGAATATAGGAAGACCAGGTTAGAGAACAGTTATAGAAAAAAGTGTGCGCTTAAAATCTAGAACTGACCTACCGAGCGAATGCTAACAGCATGTGAGCCCTCTAATCTGGGGTGATAAAAACTGGAGAGGTTGACAGTCCCGCTCATACTCGAATGCCACATAGATAATGACTGTCGAAAACAGTATTGGAACGCCAGAAACACCCTTCTATACCAGACTTGAGGGAGCAGTTGTTATGAGTGCCATGGTTGACGCCACCGCTCTAATTTCCTGCTGGTTGTTCACCTTGGGAGGGTCTGAACCGGCTGCCACATACGCCTGAAGAATAATTGCATGTAGCCATAAGGAGATGGAGAGGTACACGTAGGTGGCCATGGGCTTGGTGATCAGTGTGAAAAGCCACGTGGCCAAGGAAATTCCAAATGGTAGGACTGCCAACTGTGAAGAAGAACCTGAGGAACTGCCAGTTGCTGGGGTGGATGGGCACATGAAAATACTCATCTTGAGGCTGATCAGGGAATCGTTGGTGATGATTCTGGTCCTGAGCAGCCTCAATGTGGTCATCCTGAAGTACGGTGGACGTTCAAGATAGCTTTGATTGAAGATGGCGAGATTGTGGATCATGCGAAGCTCATCTGAAACACAGGGGAGTAAAATCCTGGATGTCTGACCAGATCGGGAACAATCTCGATGGTCTCCTTGAGTAACAGAATATGTATGTCATACAGGAGTTGGCACTGATTGGGGGCATAAGCATCTACCAGGGGTGGTGATGTCTGAGGAGGATCTCTTGTTAACAAGAGACCCCAGGCGGAGGACGTTGGTGTCATACAGGTCCTTTAGTATGGCCCAATTCTTCCAAAACCTGGCGAGTCTTCCACCTACCGAGTTGGTGACTGGAACGAGAGGGGATGGGAGTTCCCAGTCATTGTTGATCAAGAATTCATTACTTCCCCTTCTGATCGGCACCCTTGCCTGGGTATTGATCCTGACGGGGATGGTAGTTGCCCTAAAGCTTGCTGCAGCCACATCCTCTGCCTCGAAAGGATGGTCTTTTAGGGAGCTCGGACATGGCTGGTAATTCCCCTTGGAAGATCTGGCTAAAGCTTGCTGGGTCATGTGCTCTAGGGCTTTCAGAGCCATTTCATCTCTCTAATTTATAAGCCTGAGCATGTATATCAGTGATGGTGCCATTGAATAAGGAAGGACTGGTCGTAATAGTTTCTCCTTGAACTCGGAATCCCATCCCTTGAGAGCCGAGGCGCTTTGTAGTAGTGATCTTGACCAAGGCGGCAAGTGGTTGCGCAAGTGGTCTAGATGTCAAAACTGGTAGGCCATCACCCTCCACAATTGGTCAATGCAATTAGGGTCATCCTCCGAGAGATTCTGGTCAACCGCCCTCGAAACAGGCAAGAGAAGATAAGGGCTTTAGGGAGAGACAGATTACCGACTCAGTGAGGGTCAGGAGAGGGAGAACCTAGTTCAGGATAAAAGGCACCTCTGATGAGTCTGACCTGTAGCCATCATCCTTCCTTTGGGAAGGAGATCAGCCCTGAGATTTCCTATGTGACTGGGATGATTTAGACCTGCGCTGAGAGGAGCCGACCCACGTGATGATCTTGTAATGGTAGACGGAGGAGGATCCTTATCCACAATATGCACCAAGAGTGAAGATAAGGGAGGAGCCAGCGGAGCCGCAAGAGGCACAGTCAGTGGAAAAGTCGACAGTGGAGCAAAAGAACTGAGAGGAGGAACTGGTGGTGCCGCAAAGGGTATCTGAGCCACCAGTGGAGTAGTCTTCATGGGGGGCACCATTGGTATCACTGAGCAGTGCATCCAAGCAGGATCCATAATAGTGGGAGGCAGCAGGACATGCCGTGGCGCCGAATAGTAAGGTAGCTGTTGAACAGGGAAACCAGGAAAAGGTCCATAGCCGGGTGGCACCACAGTTGTCATGTAAGGGTTGAAGAGCACCGATGTAGACATCAAGAGAGTTCACCTCATCAAGAGTGCTGCAAGCAGACATCGCTGGCAGGATTGCCATGTTCTCCTGAAGAGTCGTCAGGACGTAACCATCAGCTGAGAAGACATCGTCTACAGGGATGTAGTAGAAGTCAACATAAAAGACGATGAGGTCGTCGACTGCAACACAGTCATAGAAACTGGCGCATCATCTGAAGCGAAAGGAGATGGTGTAGCTGCAACATCAGACATCCGGGGGTGTCTAACTGCACTTTCTAATGGCTTTCAAGTAAAGCGTGAAGTCTGCAGTAGACATGGGGAGTACAAAAACAACACTTCGTCCATCAAGGTTCTGTGCTGTCCGAGCATAGCGGATGAGCGTCCTTGCCAGACTTGTTCCCATAACATACAATATGAGGCATAAATCTGTAATTTAAGCAAAGTCATATTGACAACCGTGGAAACACACAATGGGCAACGAAAAACAAAATGTTAAGATTGCGGATTGGAACAACAATATGCCCGTAGTTACCATGACTGAAAGCCACAAACCAAAAGGCACAAACCATGGACAACAACACAATGGGAAGTAGAAAAATGATGTAGTATTAATAAACAAAGGATGCTGGAAACTGTACTGCCTTATTTCTCAAAATAGACATCTGTCTGTGGAGATTGACAAAGCAGTTATGTGCACCCGTGTGACATCACCACTTCCAAGTCACGTGGCAGCTGTGCGAGGGTATTATCGCACTTCAGGTTGGGACAACTTTCTTTTACAGCTGTCACAGCTCATCTTTCTGTAAAAAAACCCAGCAGTAAATGCATTAAGCAATAATGCAGAATAAGTTAAAAAATGACCATGACTTCTGTGACACTGCTTTATTGGTCCAAAAGTAAAACTCATTTATCCCTGGATAAACCAGTGAAAAGTGTTCAGCAGAACAGCTGGACTTGACCATGGTGACTTCAAGTGGTGTTTGCAGTGTGATTTCAATGACAGCCTGATAACTTTTATCACTGTTGACTTTTTGGCAAACTGACCTGCATATCTTCTAGGTAAAAGGACCTGACTGTGAAGTGGGCTCCTTCCTGTTCTCCATTCAGTGTCACCTTTAGGTCTACTTCATCAAACACCATCTCATCTTCATAGCCCAGGTGAGATCCAAGGGGCCAGTATTGGTGGCACTTGAGCTTAAAGGGAGATAAATCATTGTTGTTGACATCCTAAAGCTTGTACATTTGTATGACATTATCTACAAGAGCAAAAGTGAGCGTGGCTCACTAATACCCACGACCCGCCTAGTGATTCAGTAGTTTCAAATTGAATAGCTCGGATAGGGTTAGGGTTTGAAAAATTCATAAAAAAATGGAAAATTAATATATACAATTTTTTTCTTTTGACTGCACCCCTCCATATGACACAGATTATATGTACTAAGTTTGAGATGAATCCACTAAAGTGTTTAAGAGAAATCACGCGGACAAGGTTTTCGGATGGATGTTAAGGTTTGAAAAATTCATAAAAAAATGGAAAATTAATATAAACTATTTTTTTCTTTTGACTGCACCCCTCCATATGACACAGATTATATGTACTCAGTTTGAGATGAATCCACTGAAGAGTTTAAGAGAAATCGCGCGAACAAATTATTCGGACGGATGTTAGGGTTTGAAAAATTCATAAAAAAATGGAAAATTAATAAAAATAATTTTGTTCTTTTGACTGCACCCCTCCATATGACACAGATTATATGTACTAAGTTTGAGATGAATCCACTAAAGAGTTTAAGAGAAATCGCGAGGACAAAGTTTTCGGACGGACGGACGGAACCTTGGTATAACTATATAATAACCTACAACAGATGACATACTAAGATATTTTGTAGTTTTATATACCACATCGCAAGACCCTACTATCAATATCAGTATAGGACTATTTTCATGCCAATCATGTTAGAACACAAATACTCCAACTTTGATAACACGCAATTATGATAAAACTCTCTGCTTTGTATATGATGTGAGAGTATAGAACACGATGGATGCACATCAATACTCTGATAGATACATGATACTTACTGTTCCTTTTTCGATGATTCTGTTGAGCATGACAACAGCTTTAGTCTTCTGTTCCCATATCATCTGCCAGAACTGTGGAGTTGTGTGATCCAAGGGGCCCTGTTATTGACAGATCATTTACTAAGTGAAAGCCCTGTTGCGCATGTAATGAATTGTGGTAGATGAATAGAAAAAAAGCCAATTGCTGCTCAGACGTGTGGTGTGGTGTGGTGTGGTGTGGTGTGGTGTGGTGTGGTGTGGTGTGGTGTGGTGTGGTGTGGTGTGGTGTGGTGTGGTGTGGTGTGGTGTGGTGTGTGTGTGTGTGTGTGTGTGTGTGTGTGTGTGTGTGTGTGTTTGTGTGTGTGTGTGTGTTTTTTTAAAGAAAAAGACCCCATGTCAGAAAAAAAATTCCTTGAGTGAACCCTGGTATTTGTCCTCAAGATTTAAAGGTCACATATTTTGGTTCCTGTTGTTTGACACCTCATTTGTAATCTAACTATAAACATATATCCATTCAGGTCATACTAGTAACTAGACATAAGAGACATCAGTCTGTGAAGGATTTATTAAATTTGCCACAAACAAAATATATATGTACAGAATACAGCCGAAATACAAAAAGTCTTAAGCGGTAATGGTTACATTGTGTCACTGGGTGGCCTTCATCTTGACATCAAATTTAGAAAAACATGGCACAGTTACTGCAAGTCACCCGATATTGTTGAGATGGAAGTCTAATTTGATGTGACTTCCTGAAAAGTAGCTCATGAAGCCCTGAAACAGGAGCATAGCATCCCCTTGCAACTGCCAGCAACACTGAGTTACTACTACTTGAGACACGGAAGATTAGACTATAGCCGGAAGAAGTATGGCTGCTGTGTTCACCAGTCTATGTACCTCAGTAAGGTTATTTGAAAGGTACAGGCCTTAAAGAATGTTACCAAACTTTGACATCTTATGGTCATTATTTCAAATAGAGATGTGACAATACAGAAATTTCACTAGATGATATGAATCATGATATTATGTCAGGGGTCCTCTCATCAATGACAATGAAAACAAAGTCACCACATTGTTACCATGTTACAGGCGTTTTTGCGTTGAAGCCTTAAATTGAAGTGCAAGTGCTTTACATCCAACTAGCTCACAAACACACAATTAATGATATTATTAAACCTTCTTTCACTATCAAATCATTACCAAAAGGAAGTGTTCTCAGTTTGAAATGATTTTTTACTAATTTGTATCACCTAAAATTGAAAATAAAACCTTTCAAATATCGCTTCTCAACTTCTCACAGTTATTTGTTCAGCACAAAATAATACATATTTAGAGAGAATCTCAACCAGTGGTTTTTGACACTCAACTTCTCACAGTTATTTGTTCAGCACAAAATAATACATATTTAGAGAGAATCTCAACCAGTGTTTTTTACACTCAACTTCTCACAGTTATTTGTTCAGCACACAATAATACATATTTAGAGAGAATCTCAACCAGTGGTGTTTTACGCTCAACTTCTCACAGTTATTTGTTCAGCACACAATAATACATATTTAGAGAGAAACTCACCCAGTGGTTTTTTACACTCAACTTCTCACAGTTATTTGTTCAGCACAAAATAATACATATTTAGAGAGAATCTCAACCAGTGGTTTTTGACACTCAACTTCTCACAGTTATTTGTTCAGCACAAAATAATACATATTTAGAGAGAATCTCAACCAGTGTTTTTTTACGCTCAACTTCTCACAGTTATTTGTTCAGCACACAATAATACATATTTAGAGAGAAACTCACCCAGTGGTTTTTTACACCCAACTTCTCACAGTTATTTGTTCAGCACAAAATAATACACATTTAGAGAGAAACTCAACACGTGACTTTTGTCACTCAACTTCTCGCAGCTATTTGATTAGCACAAAATAATACATATATAGAGAGCATCTCACCCAGTGGTTTTTGTTAATATTTAAGAGAATCTCACCCAGTGGTTTTCTACAATCAACTTCTCACAGTTGTTTGTTCAGCACAAAATAATACATATTTAGAGAGAATCTCAACCAGTGGTTTTTTACACTCAACTTCTCACAGCTATTTGATTAGCACAAAATAATACATACGAGGGGTGTTCATTTAAACTTTTATAAAAGTTTCCCCTGACCCACTTCCGATGGACCTAGGGGAATGAAACTTGGCATAGGTATTAGTCTTTCTCCACATAGGAACCACCAAGAGTTACACACTTCTCCCATCGTTTTATGCAACTATGGAGACCTCGCTTGTAAAAGCCCTCATTTTGTGTCTCAAACCAGGACTTGACTTCAGAAATCAGTGTTTCATCATCTGTGAAACGTTTTCCCTTCAAAAATGACTTCATGGTTGGAAAGAGGTGGAAGTCAGATGGTGCAAGGTCAGGAGAGTAAGGAGGATGTGGAAGGATTTCATAGCCACAGGACCGCGCTTCTGTCTGGGCAACATGAGAGTTGTGTACTGGAGCATTGTCTTGCAGGAGACAGACACCTTTGGTCAGCATGCCACTCCTCTTAAGCTTGATAGCGTCCCACAATTTCCGCAGCAGTGAAGCATAATAAGCTTCTGTAATTATGGTACCCTTTGCCAAGAAATCCATCACCATTACTCTGTGCTGGTCCCAAAACACCGTGAGCATGACCTTGCCTGCAGAGGGTTGGACACGTGCCTTCTTTGGGGGGGGGGGGTGACTCCACATGCTTTCATTGCATCGACTGAACTTTAGTCTCAGGATCATAGTGATGGACCCATGTTTCATCCTGTGTGATAAGTCTGTCAAAAAAGTTTGCCTGTTTCTTTTGGCACATGTCCAAAAGATCCTTTGAGCAATTGACTCGTTCCTGCTTTTGGAAAGGTGTGAGCAACCTGGGAATCCATTGTGCAGACACCTTATGCATGTTCAAATTGTCATGGATGATTTTTTCCACAGACCCTACACTGATCTTGACATCTTGTGCTAACTGGCGAAAAGGTTATACGTCGGTCTGCCAAAATGGCGGTCTCCAATTGATGGATAGTGTCCTCATCAATGGCTGAATGGGGGCGACCAGGAATGGCAGCTGTTTCCACAGATGTCCGACCACACTTGAACTGGCGATGCCAGTGTTTAACAACGTCATATGATGGGGCATCTTCCCCATAAGTTGCTTTCATTTCATCGAAAGTTTCTTTTGGTGTGCAACCTTTCAAATATAAAAACCTAATCACTGCTCGGTATTCTACTGCTCCATTGTCACGCCCTACTCGATCATAACACCTGTAAAAGTGGTAAGATTAATAGTTGGGTGCTGAAAATTCAGACATAACCCATAGATACATGTATCATTACACATGTGACATTTCAACCAAATATGATAACCCTAAGTGGTTTAGGGGAAATCTTTAATGAACACGCCTCGTATGTAGAGAGTATCTCACCCAGTGGTTTTTGTTAATATTTAGAGAGAATCTCACCCAGTGTTTTTTTATACCCAACTTCTCACAGTTATTTGTTCAGCACAAAATAATACATATTTAGAGAGAAACTCAACACGTGACTTTTGACACTCAACTTCTCACAGCTATTTGATCAGCACAAATTAGTACATATGTAGAGAGCATCTCACCCAGTGGTTTTTGTTAATATTTAAAGAGAATCTCACCCAGTGGTTTTTGATACTCAACTTCTTACAGTTATTTGTTCAGCACAAAATAATACATACCGTATTTTCTTGAGTATAGTGCGCACCCATGTATAATGCGCACCCCCCTCTAGCGGATTCAATAATTTGGAAAAAAACAATTCGAATACCAAGCGCAGAAAAAATATGACACCGTACCCCTTCAGCGAAGTACGGCAAACGAACGGGTGATGAGAAACTTGGTCAGTACCAATTCGAAATTTGAGATAAAAAAAATCACCAGACATGTTGATTTACCGTTTAAATTGTATTTTTTGTTCTGCTAGGCATTGTTTTATATCCAGGGATTAAGATTACCTTGTGTATTTTCTCGTAAACTAAGCCGGACACAGCAATCAGCTGTACACACGTTTTCTTGGAATCTACCGGTGATTCGGTCAAGACACACCCAATGATATAACTTTACAGGATTTTAATGCAAGGATCGGCAAAAATTGTAACTGAAACTATTTTTTTATCAGGAATAATATATTTCAAAGTTCTTGTTAATTTAGATGCAGCTTTTACTAAACATATTTAAAATAATAATAACCCTAAACGAAGCAGCTGATCGCTATTGCCCGGTGTTATTTTTTACATGGAACCAGTCTGACCAGTCACCGTCAAGGCTCCCATGCACGTGATCGCGATAATTACGTGTTGACATAGAATCGTCCAACAAAAACAAATATGACTTTTAACGATCACGGTATGGCATTTATGATATATGTATCCATTCTCTGTCAACTAAAGTTCGTTTCAAGGCATCAATAGCGGTAATCTGACCGTGGTTGCTGTTAATAATGGTGAGTTGTGCAATCTTCTGATCGCTTCACACATGATTTCGCCGAAATTAATTAAAACAATATTAAAAGGAATTTTGAATAAGATTAATAAAATAAGTTACAAACATAAGTCCACATATACAAAGAACAATTTTTATAACCAGACAGTGTAATTACATGACTAATTTGCGTACTTCAGTATGGATTTGTTGACATGGTATTTCCGGTGTTCGTGCTCACGGCAATGTCTTTCCATGGGGGAAAAAACATCAAAACTCATTAATTCATGTATAATGCGCACCCCCTTCAACGCAGCTGTGTTTTTTGGAAAAAAAGTGTGCACTATACTCAAGAAAATACGGTATTTAGAGAGAATCTCACCAAGTGGTTTTTGACACTCAACTTCTCACAGTTATTTGTTCAGCACAAAATAATACATATTTAGAGAGAATCTCACCCAGTGTTTTCTGACGCTCAACTTCGCACAGTTATTTGTTCAGCACAAAATAATACATATTTAGAGAGAAACTCAACACGTGACTTTTGACACTCAACTTCTCACAGCTATTTGATTAGCACAAATTAATACATATGTAGAGAGCATCTCACCCAGTGGTTTTTGTTAATATTCAAAGAGAATCTCACCCAGTGGTTTTTGACACTCAACTTCTTACAGTTATTTGGCATAAAATAATACAAACATCAAAACTTGACAAAGTTCTAAAAGGAACAAAAGGTTACATAACACTTTCAAAGTTTAAAACTGTAACATTATATATAAGAAAGCTGTGACTTTGCAACTGTTATGAAAAACTGCAATGATTATAATATCCAATGGTCTAATCCAATTGTTTGAGTCATCATATCTGTCAATTTCCTCTTGTACCAGTGACTTCATTGACTTAACAGGCTGTTGGATAGATTCTACTATGACCACATACACACCCAAAATAGCTTTGAGAGACAATCACTTTGACTAACAGACATCTCTGACAAACAGGCTCTGCCTTCACCACATCAACAACTCGATCAATAACAGGATCAGAAACCACAGTAGGTTGTGTAGTGGTTTGTCATTTTCAGGCACTGACAGTTGTTCATCTTTAACCTTCACCGCAGAAAATGCAAATGAAAAATGTGCTGCCTTGTGATATATCCTTCAGTGGATCGTCTGGTCACCCATCTGTAGTAAAGGCAAGATCATGAAGCATCTGCTTTTCACAGACATTGGTATGATTGTGTTAGATCTTCTTCTGTTGGGATTTTCTTCATCTTGGCTCCATAATTCAAGAAAATGACAAAATCTCTCATTCTCAACAATTGCACATGGAGGCAAGTTCTGGATTTTGCCAACAGCCACGGTCTTTGTGATAGCTGTGTCCATGAACAGCTGGATGGAAACTTGAGAGAATATTGGAAAAATCTAGGTGAAGGTTCAGTCCAGGTAATGCATCAATATGGGAACGCAAGTCTGCTGTGTGACATTGATGTCACCTCAGGGATGATGTTCCTCCTTTATGTTGTCCTGTATCTGGCAGCATTTGAACCACAAACGTTTCATGTATTGCAAGAAACCTTTGTTTCAGCAGTGGCCAGGGCAGTGTTACACACATTTTGGTTAGTTTTGTGAAAATCTCTTTGCCATGAGACTTGTGTTGCATGGCAACGTCAAACATATCTATGCCCAGCTGGGTGATATTCCGTCCTTTCATAAATTTCACTCTGTAGAAGGAATAAAAATATGCTTCCTTAGATGCATTTGCTTAAATATTTAATAGGTACATATTGTAGATGTATCGATACAACAAGTATCTGTACAATCATCAGCTGCAGTAGTACCATGATTACCACGATAACTGTCACACAACTAATGTTGAAAGTATCGATATTGACCACACAGATCCAGGTGTGTCTGGTCCATTATAAGCACATGATAGGTTGTAGCAGGATCACGAAGGGAACATGGGATTTTATGCATCTCTCGTGCCGGAGGCAAGCAGTATAAAACCGAACAAGGGACCCATAAAACCCAATGTATCATTGTGATCCTGCTACAACAAATTTATTTTATAGATTATGACACTGTAAATGAATTAAAAAAAAAATCAAAATTGATAGAAAACAGCTGTTCGATTGAGTGGAGGTTAGCTTGTCCTACGTCATATGACTTTCATTGACTTGGAAAACTGTGCAGCTTTTTGCTTCGAAGCAGGGTATAAGGGATTTATTCTGCCTCTCAGAAATCCATGTGCACCCTGACTTGCTCATGGCGGGGTATAAGGGACTTTTTCTCCCGTCAGAAATGTATTTTCCTTCCAAGGTGGGATACATTGTATCTTGTTAAGATCATGTACACCAGTCAGATCTCATCAGTCTGACATGGAGGTATGATAAATTCAATAATCTACAGGCTGGATATTGCTGAAAATTGTTAACTGTGGCGTGAAACAACATTCACTTACCTTGACATGTTGTCTGATTTGGGTTCAAATCAATCCATGTTTGTTGTAGTAAACCAATTTAGCCTGGTGAATTCACTGTTGTCTGACTGGATATTCAATGACTGATGACAATAGACTATTCTTGAACTATTCATGTCTCTTTTAACTTGCATGAGACAACACGAAAAAAGTTTGGTTAAATCCATAACTTACTTCAATATTAATTTAACATCCAGAAACAGTAGCTGATTATGTTTTCCATACATCTCTGCTTCTGTTTCAGAAATAAACGATGAGTGGGAGTTGTTTATTGTGCGGAAAAACACTGCAGGGAGAATAAACATTGAGAGGCGTAGCCCTGAGTGGTTAATTCATCCTGCAGTGCTTTATTGTAGGATTAAAAAACAACAACAAGTCGTTCAAGTCTTATATGAGATATCAACATTATTTACAGCCTCTTTAGTCTAATAATAAAATATACAATTTTCAAAAATATTTACCCTTATATAAATAATGATTACCCGCTGAATACGATCCAACCTCAGCAATGTTGGACAAGTCTTTGGAAATATTTATGAACTGGTTTGGGAAGTTTGGTATTTCCTGTATATTCTCACATTAGTCACAATTTTCACATCGCTTATCTTAACTTTTCTCCCCAAACTGACTGTCATATCTCTCCCACCTTTGGATGCGATCGTTCAGGCATTGCGTTTATCTGCGTTGCTCAGCTATACCTCTGGGGAACAACTAACTAGATACTTACCTCTCAGAAATGATGTTGTCAAATTTACGACATCATCAAGATTCAAACGTTTGTTCGAATCTCCAAAAATTATGTCATGTTTTATCGTGAAATAAACCATGTTTTGTTCTTCCCTGTTCTTTGCGATTAATGGCATAGCAATCTAATATTTGATAATAAACACTGATATGTTGATAAGTCAAGCTGTCTTCCGCTCCATTTCCTATGCCCCATCTGAGCTTTTAGTCTAACCTGAGTAAGTATGTATTTCCTTCTGGCCTCTGTCACGTGAATGTAGCTAGCATTGATGTAGTCTGTGTCACCCTGGCTCAGCACAACTCGACTGTGGTCATCTGAATATAATCACAATTGATATCTAATACATGGTGAGAAATATACATCATACTGGACTACTGATAAAAGTCTAAAACATTTCTTCATCCATTCTATACATTTGTGCATACTGAACGCACATTTCTGTGCTGTGTAAAAACCCGAAATATTTCAATGAAATAAAACAAACAATGAGTGATACATTGTGTATTACCATGCTTACTATGAAAGAAGAATATGATCAACTCACATGGGCTGACATCTCTGTATCTGTTTTTATGTTTGTTTTCTGGCTTCCTTGCTTCTGCCACTCCGAACTTATTGTCCAGTGTCTTCAAAGATGCCTCATTTTTCACTCTCTGAGAAAAAAAACAACATAAACTTCCTGGTGACTCAACATGCTCAATGTCTGAGATAATATAGTTACAAAGCTCTGTAGCTCTCAAATTATTATTTCTGGACTTATTACTGGTACTGATTGCAGGCATGGTAAAGTCATGTTTAAAATATGAAATGTCCACTACATGACATGAGATGTTTCCAGTAATGACTTATAACAGAACAATACACAGATAATACAGTATTAAGGTAACTATTAACCAATCATACATGTTCCATATTCATCACACCTCCCAAGGAATGACAATAGATAGTGTCAGACTTAACCATGCTTACAAACATAATCTAATAAATATGTTTACATTTACACATCATCATGATCATAACAAGTACAAAGTGAATATCAGATATATCTGAATCATATTACTTTGCAACAATACCAAACAAAGTGCCCTTGGCCATGTTGGCAGTACAATTTGGGGAAAGAAACATAATTTTGTTCGAAATAGTGATCTTTTATAAAACCCTTATTTCCAAATTGAGAGGTATTTTAAAATTTCATTCAATGCAAAATGTAAAACTAAACATTAAAATCTCTTGTTTATTGGTCCTGTTATCTGTGAAATGCAAGGTATATCTGTAAAACAATAACATTCATAACATAATTCCAATTTGAGAACTTTAACTGACAATTGCTTCAGATTTGGGACCGAATTCAGACCTCTGAGAAGGTCTAACTAAATCCATAGTCACCATTATAGTTATGTCAAGTGAATCATGTTAATAAATGCACATGAAATGAAAGCAGCTAAAAATTCTAAAACTAAACATGCTAAATGAATTTTTAAACATTCTTTAACATTTGTAAAGATTTTCAGCCCATATAACATTTTGCATAACATGACATCACAATAATATTGTTAATGTAAGAAGTAAAAGTACAACACCAGATTCAGAAGAATAATTTGGAAAGGTGTAGGTTTGTAGATTCAAATGTGTTTCAAACATGGTGAAGTATCCTTCCAACAAAAAATAAGGGAACTCATGATTTAAATGTAGCTGTCGTTGAGGTGTTCATTTACAATACTATGGCGTTAGATCTGAACACAACCTCCAAATACAATATAAATTTACATCATGCAAGAACAGCATGTGATGCACGTGCTCACAAAATCCAAAGTGTGTGCACCAATAGTGGAAGACACAATCACTAATGCAATTGAGCTAATCCGTAAACCCAGCTAAAACATGTTAAAAGTGCCTCAAAGACTTTGTCAATGAACAGACAAAATGACGAATTGTGAATATGATCATGATGATAGAGGGGAACATCAATATCTCAAGATGCCCCAAAGTTTGGCAAATCAAAAAGTGTAAACTGTAATATCTCGAAGGTGGGACCAAGTACCATCAAACGGTTGGGGTTGCAACGAGACCTGGGAGTGGCAGGCCTAACAAAAAAAGATACGTAGACAAGATTGTTAATTACATTAATTGCACTACACAACAGATTCAAATCTCTTCCTGTTGTCAATGGAGAATTTCATACAGACTGATATCAAGTGATAACTGTTGAAATCCCTTTAGCATTAATTTAGATATAAACATAAATCTGTTTCATACATCTTCAGTAATTCAAGCACAATTAAGTCCATATTCGAAAGAAATATGCTTCATGTAGGTGATCCAGGACATTCAGTTTACACTATCCATGATCCAGGCCATATAACATCCTGTAGGTTTGCTTTGAATAAGCAAAAAGGGCAGTATTGGGTATAATATAGTATATTCATAACTGCAAGAGCATTTTTTGTAGTAGCATATGCTTTATTCATATATTTCTATCATAGTCACCACTTTTCACAAAATTTCAATCATTATCAACATGATCAAAGCACTAATAAAGTCTTATCTATGTGACCATATGACAAAGTCGTCTTGGAGGAAATCCTCATTTCAGTTTGACAATTCACTGAGTCAAAGTGACTAAAACCCAAAAGGTACCTGAAACTTCAAAGAATGTGATATGTTCACAAAAATGTTGAGTTGTTCCTCCCAGTCCGTGTTGGCGAGTAAATTGGAGTTAAGGCTAATTCCTAATGTAAACATGTTCTAAAGTGTTTATCTTTTAAAATTATTATTGTGTTTGCATTTAAATCTGTAGGTCTAATTTCATTTATTGCTTTCTTTTTAAAAACAAAGTAAAACAATTTTTTTTTTGTAGTTTTCATCTCACTATAGCAGCTGCTATGGCGAGGTTCTGTTTTTGCACATTGATGCCGTTTTAGCCATAAGCCTTTGGAAAGATGTCATGCATAATGTTTCTCCTACAATTCCCATGGAGAGCAACATTGTTGGTAGTTTTAGGTCAATACAGAATCCTCTTGAAATACTTAGTTTGGCCATTTTGTTTTTTATTTGTTGCATTTCATATATTATTTACAAAACAGTAAAACAGTGACTTCCATGTTACCAAAAAAGTTTATGGCATGATGAACAATATTTATATAATCGGTTTGGCGATTTCTGAAAACATCCTTTGAAACATAATGTGGAAGGGACCTATGTTCATTGATCACCTTGATTAAAATTTGTTGTCATGGAAACCGGATATTGTTCTAAATAACAAAAGGCAACAAATAGCCAGATTGATATCACTGCAAACTTCAAAAATTAAATATTTTAACAGTCTTTGAGTCATGCTCCGAAAAAAAAACATAATGGATGGACCGACGAACAGCACCCATTCCTATAAACAAAGCTTGATGAGGGTATGTCAGATTTCAATCATATTTTGATGTCCAAAACACTTCAACCTAAACTCACACTGAACGATGGTTCAACAATGACATGAAGACAGTTTGTCAGTGCTGCCCTTATTTGACAACAAAACATTTTTTTTGTAACGGTTCAAGCTGTGACTGGGGTGTACATGGTGTAAGGCTGGGATGGGTAAATTGGGTACTTGGGTCGGGTGGGTACTCAAAAGCACCTGGGTACCCACAGGACTACCCGGACCTGTGGTTAGTCATGTGATATATTGTTAAATGACAAAAAAATTCTAGAACTATATGGTTACTCTACAAGTCACTAATATTCGCATTTCTTTCTGACTATGCACCCATTCCTCCTGACTTTTATATGTCAAAAAAAAAAAAGATAAAATTTCAGTCAACTTCAGTGTATGCATGACCAGATCATTTCATACGAGTATCTAAATACATTTTGTCCAGGGCTATGGTCAAACTATTCCCAATCAGACATTTTGTACCTATCTCTTGAGACCTACAGCAGGTACCCAGGTAGGGTTGGATAATAGAGAGGTGGGTACCCAGATAGTATACTTGGGCCCTACTGGGGTGATAATTAATACAATTAAATGATAAAATCCAATGTTTGGCATTGATTACTGTTTACTACTGTCATATTTTTGATAATCATTAGAAATCTTCTACAACTAATAGCTCAAAGGTTCATTAAAGGTGAGACCCCCCTCCCCCCCCCCCCCCCCCCCCCCCCCCCCCCCTCAAACACATATCACGTGTATTTGGAAGATATATATAACTTTTGGAGGGGGGATACGGGCGTAAGTTTTTCCCATTTCTCGTCTTAGGTGTCAGATTACCAATAACTGTGTGCTGCATTAGCAATCCGAGTGAATTTATCAGTTGTCAAACCTGCCTAAGCTTATATTAACGTGCATGGACAACTTTTGACTACGGTCAACAATAACATTGTTAGCATAAGCCGCTACATTACACAATGTAAGTATTGTAAGGCTTCCTGGTTGACAGGTTGATCGAAAGTGGAGCTTACTGTTCGGTGAGCAATTCTATAACCACCGTCTACTAAATAGCAGGATATTCAAGTGAAAGGAAACTTGTCATTTCCTTCAAAGTTGTTATGCCCGAGGTATTTAACTTCTGAACATACCAACCGTATTCGGTATGTCAGGGGTGCTAACAAAAGCGACGTGATCAAACCTGGTACACTTCGTTCCATATCTTAGCAGAATCATAATCCAAGAATTCGTTTTCCAGTCTCGACATTATTGTTTGTTCCACGTGTCTATATCAAGAAGAGAGGAACCGTTCCCACTAAGAAGTTCACTGATACCGGACGCTAGCTACGCCATGTCTGTACCGAGTTGAATATTCCAATTGTTTTGATTGGTGTAGGTCTTTTTAACCTGTCACGTACCGTTATCCATTCACTGCTGCCTCACATCGTCAGAAGCACCGTCTGCTATGTTCTTGTGTTGTTAAAATAAATGACAATATGGCATACCAAGAGGAAATTTACGAAGCTATAAAAAACAACGATGATGCAAAGGTTTGGACTGTGTATACTGTATACCGTTTCAGCTTTGTCACAAAGGGAGGGTCACGCTGAGGTATTCTTATCCCAGAAACGCATAATCAGCTGCTGATACAGATGCTTGTCATTGTCAACAATCACTAGGCCTAGTTGAACACACAAGAATTGTCGTGTGGATTGGTCCATGTATGTGCAATAAAGTCACATAAATATTTACAAGGTCTAATATTTAGTTTGAAATGTGCAAAACAGATAAAGTATCGACTATCGTGGATGGTCATATGTCGTTGGAAGCTCCCTCCAAGCGCGGGACCCCCTCGTTGCGTTCGCGATGGAATTGTGCGAACGAGCAATCGCTGTGAGGAGTTTGCATGATTACTTACTTATTAAGGTAGCTTTGGAGGTATGGAGTTTAATGATTTTGCAAACCCAGGAGTAAATTTGAACCAGAAGTGCATGTAACTTATTAATGAAGGGTGAGGCACGGGGCTTTCTGTTTCAACGCCTCACTGCTTATTGCATGTCTTTTCTCCATCTGGAACTGATGTCATTCAACATGAAGTGCAAATATTTCTTATTGAGGGGTGCAGGATAAAACGGCACTTATTTCTCTGGCGAAAACGGTTACTTTGAGTCGGGCAAAAACGGCACCTCTATTTTTAATAACGATAACAACGATTTTTGTAGTAATATGTAGGGTTTATTTACTTGGTATTTCATTAGTGATGTATTTAAATTGTATTTCCTCTTTTCCTATATAAGTAAATATTGGGTTTCCTTTGGTCTTCTTCAGTCCGGCAAATTTCTCTATAACGGGCCACAGAGAGTCCTGTTTCACATACACGATGGGTCCACTGGTCACAGTTATCACATGATACAGCATGTTGATTTTTTCTGACATTCTTCTCGCATGCAACACATCGAAAGGCCATTGTGAATAATTGTGATCTCACAGCACCATGTAAGGCCTCTTAAATACAGTTTCAGCTTAAATTGAGTAAAGGTACTTAAAACTTCAAAGCATATAGTGTTTTCACTGCGCCTCCCAATCAGAGTCGGTGAGTATATTGGAGTAGGGGGCTAATTTCTTATTTGTTTTATTTCACAATTATTTGTGTTTGTAAGAGACGATGTGAGTTTAATTTCTATTATTTTTCTTCAAAGCATGTTATGTTTCAGTCTCATTAAAATCAGATCTTAGTTCTCGCTGCCGCTGAACAAAGATCTGAGGACATCCCATTACGGGTCACGTCAGACCGACCTTTCCCAAACTCTGACCGCCCAATGGAATTACTGACAAGAAGTCGACATTAGCCAATCAGAAGGCAGCTTTCTCGTGGTTTACAGCACTAATTTCAAACTGGCGACTACGCTTTGAAACATATTTTGACAAATTCTCGCTTAAAAATGTGAAAACTGAACAAAAGAACATTCTCGAATTGGCTAATATATGGTCTAGATTGTATGGATTCAGTCGTTCATTCCGTAACTATCGTTCGGAATACTCCGTTTTAAAGTTTTTGAGGCTGCATGATTAGAAATCACATCCCGACTGTCACTTTCATGATTTGGTAAACGACGCTCTGATTGGTCTGATGAAAGGTTGTTCTGACGTGACCCCTAATGGGATGTCCTCAGATCTTTGTTTAGCGGTAGCGAGAACTATGATCTGAATTTAATGAGATTGGTTATGTTTTCACAATAAGTTGAGTTGCGTATAAGCTAAGTTGGATTATAGTTGGAGTAGAGGATAATTTCTAATGTAAACTTGTTTTAACATCTCACAATTATTGGCGTTTGCAAGTTACAATGTAGGTTTAATATCATTTATTTTACCAAGGTAAAAAAAAACATAAGGTGCTGTTTTCGCTTGAGTCGAGGTGCCGTTTTCGCTTGAGTCGAGGTGCCGTTTTCGCTATAACCCCTTATTAAGTGGTGAGAGATATAGGACTTACTGTTTTAAAGTTGTCTTGCATGAGATATGTGTTTTCGGGGACTTTTCCCAAACCGGAAGTATTGTCACTGAAGCAGAAGTGATAACATGCCTTAGTGATTTATTGAGTCAAGAATTTCAGCTTAATGAGGTTTCACTGTATTTTGATGGAAGCCGAAGGAGATTTTTGTGAAGGAAAAAGGAGCATAGCTAGTTGAACAGAAGATCTACTGTAGAGGTGGTTGGGACTAATTGATCTTAATTCAAGAGTCTAGAAATTTTAGTTCTGTCTACATGGCGAAACCTTGAGAACTGAACCTGTTGTGGCTGTGAAAGGCAGCTTTGTTATATTTATGCATATCCATGCCATTGTATAAACAATTTTGCTTTGACTAACAGATGGAGGAGTTGTTAAATAGATGGTTGAGATCCTGCATCAACAAAAAGTTGAAGATACAAACAGAGCAGTATATGGGTGTGATGTCCGCACTCTGTCTGGCTGTCATTGAGGGAGACCCAGTTGACACAACCATCATACAACTGCTGCTTAAAAATGGTCAGCTGCATACTATATTCAGAATAAAGTGCATGAATTCTAAATTGCTAAATAATATACTAAAGCTCCACAGTCTTCATATTTTTCAATAGAATATACTCTGAACAGAAACCTTTATCTGCTTCCTAGCTAGTATGGTGACATGCAAACATTATATTGGATCTTTGATTCAGGCCAAAAAATCAGTAGCAACTTTAGGCTTGCCCAAACTGTCCCCAATAATGCCATTTCTCCCTCCCCTTTACAACATTCAACAGCTCTTTGGCTCCTATGCTTTGTATTAATTGAAGTTCAGGTGTTCAGGTGGTTTAGTTTTCCCATACATGCCATTCAGATAAGGATTATATCTGAAGTAAGCTTTAACAAGAAGCAAAGTGTGCCTGTTATCATTGTTATGTATATGTTTTCTGTTATTTAGCTGTATAATGACATGCTTGATCATGTTGATGTGGAGGAACTTTAAGGAACATGCTTTCACCAAATATTTAACAATTTCCAAGTGCCTATGATGATGGTAACATAAACATTAAACTTCTGATAGTCATTATCATCTAGAATCTGACCTTGTTCATCTGGTTTCCCCACTGTGGGATAAGCAATATACAATGTACAGAGAAGGTTCCCAGTAATGGTGGAAATTATGGGTAGGGTGAAAAAAGTATTAATTGTCCATTGTCAAGGTGCACCAAGGGAAAGACTGGTCGTGGAAATGTTTGGCCTTCTACACTGGAAGTTTGTATCCTAACCACTGAACGGCATCAGTTTAAAGATATTGAAATACAAGAGCTCAAATAAAACCTGAAACAAACTTGGAATTATAATCATGTGCCTGGCACATGTCGTAACCACTGTTCAAGGGTTGTTGATCATGTCGACTTAATGAGTTTTATAATTTCAAGTTTAGTTGTTGTTTTTCATTTTAAATCTGTATCTGAAGAAAACAATTGTTTCCAGGAGCTAATCCTCAGAAACGGAGAGACTGGCGTATTCCTAGTATCCTCCCCACTCTGACTGAGTTCTTATCTCCTATGTCCATGGCCATCAAGGAACAGAATATCTCTGTGCTCAAACTGCTTCTTGAGGCAGGTGTGTTTAGTTTCAGTACTTCATTCAGGAGAATGCATGTCATGTTCTCTTGGTACTTTCACAGTGAAAACTGTGTGTCAGCATGTAAAAGAAGGAGTGTACATAGATCATTTTCTAAGTAGTTCAAAGATTTTAACCGTGAATGAGACACTCATGACAATGTTTGTTACTTAAAAGTTGTGCTCCTACAATGGAAATTATGAGCTTATGTAGACATTTCACTCTAACATATCATGCCTTCATTTTCATTTGCTGAATAAGCAATAAGGTGTTACTATATTAACATGTACAAATCCCTTAAAATAAACACAATACCTATAACTGTGTTAAAATAGTCTTTATATTGCCTCTGTTCTAAGACAGCAAATTGTTCAACATGTGAAAGCAAAACGGACATATGGATTGTTGGTTTGTTTGCTTCAGACATGCTGTACATTGGCTGTGACCATGTTAACCAGAGACATGTTTTCCCCTGAACCTTTTTGAATTTGGTCTGAGGGGGTATCTAGTGACACAGACACAGAAGGATAACTATTCCTTTTGAATTAGTATGTGGATACAACCTTTTAACTATGATGCCAGAACCCCTAAGAAAGGTTGTCAGGGAGAAGGGCCACAAGTAGACAATCTGGAAAACAAATATCCACCTGAGTCTTCACATGTCTGAGAGACCCAAACAATGTAAAGAAGAACACTTCTAAGTAGTTCCCTGGTAACTGCAAGTGAACATCTTTTCCATAGAACATGTTAGCAGAAATACTACCAAAGCAAACAAAGAAATGATTTGTGCATCAACTTCATACAACAGAATAGGAAGGAATTTCCTAATTTGGTGGTCTTGCAGTTTGTGTAAATGTGTTTTGTAATTAGTTAGTAACCTAGGACTGAAGTATCCATGGATAATAATTGTGTCAATTTCATGATGATTAACAACTGTAGCTTTTCTGAAATGAACTAGGTTATATGATTGCTTATGCTTTGCTTTCTTTTTAAACATGGTAAATACTAGGACAACATTTTTGATAACTTTCCTTAATATATGTTATATATGTTACATCAAATATGTTCTCTGATCGTTTGGGTATGTATTGATTAGGTGCAAGTGCAAATGAAACTTCTCCAGGACTGAAAGTTCAAGAAGAGGAAGGGGGTTCAATGCTGTACCGTGACACACAAGAAACATGTCTACATCGGGCTGTGCTCATGAAGAATCCTGCAATGGTGGAACTGCTCATCACAAAGGGTGCAGATGTCAATGCCTTAAATAGGGATGACCAGACTCCTCTACATTGTTGTGGGCATCGGTACCACCCGCAGGTGTTTCGGTATCTCCTGTGTGGCGGTGCTATGGCCTCCAATGTGGACCAAGAGGGACAAAGTGTGCTGGGCCTCCTGCTCAAACCACAGCAGTGTGATGATGGTGTAGAGGTCTGGACCAGCAGTGAAATCCAAGACAGGATTGAGAGTGTTCACCTGCTTCTGTCAGCAGGCTATCACCTTCAAAGAGATGTTCATGTGAGAAATGTTGTGGGTGAAACAACCTTAAACCAAAACATCAATGGGATTTGTCAAGATAAACTGTTTATGGTATTTATAAACAACAGACTTGCCAATCCTCCATCTCTTGACTTTTTGTGTTGTATTGCAATCAGACAGTTTTTGAGGTACAATTGTCATTTATCTGTTGTTGATTCTCTGCCATTGCCACAAAAGTTGAAAGACTATATTTTGCTCAAGACATATTGGAAGTAATATGTTTGGTGGTAACAAATAGTATTGGAAATATTTGGTGGATGCAAATGGTATTGGAAATATTTGGTGGATGCAAATAGTCCTGGAAGAGATGTCTTTGGTGGTCATGTTGTTCCATGACCATGTTGCCGAGCTTCCTGTTCATGTTTGTCAAAAACCTTTGAACACATTAGATTTGCTCCTTAAAAATAAAGGCTGGCCAAGCTGTTTGTTTTGGATACCACGCACTGTTTAAACATCTCCGGGATATCACATCAAAGTATCATTTATAGCCCAGAGGATTTTTTTATAAAAAAATTGATTACTCATATCTTGGGTCAAGTCACCCAAAGGTCATAGCCCCCTTGGAAATCCATTTAATGAACAGGTTGCGAGGAATTTCAGCCACTCTTTGTTTTATTATCCGTCCGCCACATTTCGTTTCCGGAGCAGATCTTGAAAACCGTACCATATTTCTTCACCATACTTGGCACATAGATGGGTCTAGTGGTGAACTGGTGCCTTTTGATAGTTTGGGATTTTAAAAAAAGTTATTTTTTGCGTTTCCATGGCAACAACTTTGATTTAGACTGAAAATGGCAGTAGTCCTCGTTTCCGGAGCAGATCTTGAAAACCGTACTATATTTCTTCATTAAACTTGGCACATAGATAGATCTAGTGGTGAACTGGTGCCTTTTGATAGTTTGGGATTTTTTAAAAAGTTATTTTTTTAGTTTCCATGGCAACGACTTTGATTTAGACTGAAAATGGCAGTAGTCCTCGTTTCCGGAGCAGATCTTGAAAACCGTACCATATTTCTTCACCATACTTGGCACATAGATAGATCTAGTGGTTAACTGGTGCCTTTTGATAGTTTGGGATTTTTAAAAAAGTTATTTTTCGAGTTTCCATGGCAACGACTTTGATTTAGACTGAAAATGGCAGTAGTCCTCGTTTCCGGAGCAGATCTTGAAAACTGTACCATTTTTCTTCACCATATTTTGCACATTGATAGGTTAAGTGGTGAACTGGTGCCTTTGGATAGGTTTGGATTTTTTTTAAAGTTTTTTTTTGAGTTTCCATGGCAACGACTTTGATTTAGACTGAAAATGGAGGTAGTCTTCGTTTCCGGAGCAGATCTTGAAAAACGTACTATATTTCTTTACAAAAAGGCCCAGTGAACGTAGTTCACAGGAGCTAATGCATTGCACACACCCGACATGTCATATTGGCGGGGGATGTGAGTATTTCATGCTTTTTTCACAATGTCATACACTCACTTTCGATGAATTCAAGGTAGGTTCAAATGTCATTCTTAAGGTAGTTTGGTCTCTATAAGTACCTATGTTTTAAACTTTGTATGTTCTAGCATGTGATTGATGAAAATTGAGGGTCAAGGTCATAAGCTCTAAAGTGTATATAGTTTCCTGTTAAACATGTTAAGGGAGCAAGAGGCCTTTGTGTTTCTGTTTCATCAGACATGAACACACACACACACTAACACACTAACACACAAACACACTAACAAACACACACTAACCTATGGTCCATCTCATTAAAATCAGATCTTAGTCCTTGCTTCCGCTGAACAAAGGTTACGGGTCATGTCAGAAGGACCTTTCTTTCAACTAATCAGAGTTGCTTACCAGATCGGTAAAGTGACAGGCATCTTCCTGAGGCAAGGGTGTTAACTAACTGTAAAAGTCCGGTTTCCACCCTTGCCGAACTAGGCTGGAATTTCCAGGCTCGATCATAGCGCCACCAGTGGCTATTACGAGTTATGCAGCACCCATTCAAGACGATCTGATAGATAATCAAGATCTATATTGTAACAAAATGCGAAGTGCATCAGATCACTTGAGCACCTTGATTAAAAAGATGCTAAAATTTGCAAAATATCTGTCGACGTACAGTTGATGGTACAGATGCTTTGCAAATTCTACAGTTGTCCGAAACCCTGCACATTGAAATCCATGTTGTTTACGAACCGGATGTCGAATGTGTTAACCAGTGTTGATTTGACTATGCATAGACTCGTTAGTCCAGCCATAGTGTAACTCCTGAATTCCTGTCTAGTTGGCAAGCGTGAAAACTGGACTTTTATGGTAAGTTAACACTCTTGCCTTGGGAAGATGAGTGACAAACGCTTCAGATATTTTAAATGACACGAAATCATTTTATAAAACCCTATATTCAAAAAAAGATACATCTCAGATAGATTTAGAAACATTATTTCCAAATGATCAAGATAAAGTTAATGAAAGATTAGCGGAAGCAATGGAAGGTGAATTAACTTACGATGAAGTACTTAGTGCCTTAAAGCGTATGAAAAACGATAAAAGTCCGGGACCTGATGGTTTCACTGCAGAATTTTTAAAGTTTTTTTGGCGTGATTTAAATAAATATTTTATAAACTCTCTTAATTATGCTTATAGAAACGAAGCGATATCAGTCACGCAAGTTCAGGGCATTATTACGTGTATTCCAAAAGAAGGTAAGTCAAAAATGTTTTTGAAAAACTGGAGACCCATCTCGTTACTTAACACTACATACAAACTTGCTTCCTCAGCTATAACAGATCGGATCAAACCAATTTTATCTACTTTTATCAGTGAAGAACAGAAAGGCTATATTAAAGGAATATATATGGGAAAGATTAACAGGCAGGTGTATGACGTTATGGAATATGTCGATACTTATCAAATTACTGGCATGTTAATACTTATCGACTTCGAAAAAGCTTTTGATCCTTTGGATTGGGGATTTATTTGAGACGTGTTAGCATTTTTGAAGTTTGGTCCTTCAATATGTAAATGAATAAGATTATTGTATGAAAAGTCAGAGTCATGTGTATTGGTTAATGGTTTCGCAAGTTCATTTTTTAAGTTAAGTCGAGGCTGTCGCCAAGGCAACCCAATTTCCACGTATATTTTTATCATATGTACTGAGATATTAACCAGATTGATTAAGAATAACAAATTTATCAAAGGATTAAAGATTGGTTCTATTGATCATTTATTAGCTCAGTTTGCAGACAATACAACTTTAATATTACCGTATTCGACGTAATAAGCGCCCAGGGCGCTCTCAAAATTAGAAATAGGGGGCTCTGATTAGAATATTATTTTGGTGAAAAAAAACAGAGTTGAAAGATAATTTTCATGGTTATGCTGACAGCCTGAAATGTCTATGTACAACAGATATATTTTTCCAGAACTTTATTGCCCATATTTAAGGGTGCATATAGCACACGAGTGCGTATTATACGCGAATAAATTAGTCTTGTGTACATTGATCAATCGGAAGGGGTGCTAATTGGGATTGTTCACCAGCCAATATATCAGCAAATGTCACCGAGGGCGCTTATTAGAGCGGGGCGCTTATTACGTCGAATACGGTAGATGGTACAGAAAGATGTTTACAAGCTGTTTTTAATACATTGACTCTTTTTTAACGTTTTTCGGGCTTACGTGTAAATATAGACAAAACAAAGTTGATATGGATTGGTTCAAAAAAACGTAGTCGGATAAAACTACTCCCCTAAATGAAAATGGATTGGACCGATAACTTTAAGTTATTGGGCATTAAATTTGATACTGATCTTGAAAATATGGTAGACATTAATTATAACGATATATTCAAAGAAATAATAAATTTGATGCAATTATGGAAAAGTAGAATACTTACACCCTTTGGACGAAATACAATATTCAAATCATTATTGTTACCAAAACTTAATCATTTGTTTTCTACTGTTCCTGCTTCATCCGAAGATATTATAAATAAATTTCAAGCAAATTGCTTCAGATTGATTTGGAATGAAAACCGGATAAAACAAGCGTATAGTTGACTAAGTCATCTATATCCCCTGCCCATTTTAACACGTTATGGTCCCAAACCAGGTAACTGACCCAACATTTCTCTTAGCCCATGTCAAAATAGCTGCAATGGAAATTCTAAAATAAACATTTCTAAAACTCCTTAATATCAAATGGCACTAGTTCAGTATGCGCTTTATATATAGACATGCAAGGAAATATTTAACAGTTTATTTGTTATACTCCTTAAGTAAACCAATCCTTTATTAAAACTTAAATCCAACTTGTTGTCATGGAAACATAAACAATAAAAATTTCTAAAAGTGCTATATATCAAAAGGCACCAGTTCAGTGTGTGCCTTGTAGACATGCAAAGTTTTGTAAGAAAGTATTTAATGGTTTTTGAGTTACGCTCTGGAAACGAACACCACCCCTGTAGAACCTAAGTCAAACTTATTGTCATGGAAACATAAAAAATAAAATTTTCTAAAATTCCTAAATAGCAAGAGGCACCAGTCCAGTATGTGTCTGGTAAACATGCAAAGTTTTTGTTGGAAAGTATTGAATGGGTTTTGTCACCGTTTTGAGTTATGCTCCGGAAACAAACTCTACCCTATAGAACCTAAGTCCATCTTGTTGCAATGGAAACGTAAAAAATAAAAATTTATAAAATTCCTAAATAGCAAAAGGCACCAGTTCAGTATGTGTCTGGTAGACATGCAAAGTGTTTGAGTTATGCTCCGGAAATGAACAGCACCCTTAAAGAACCTAAGTCCAACTTGTTGCCATGGAAACGTAAAACATAAACATTTCTAAAATTCCTAAATAGCAAAAGGCACCAGTTCAGTATGTGCCTAGTAGACATGCAAAGTTTTGTAAGAAATTATTTAACGTTTTTTGAGTTACGCTCCGGAAACGAAGAGTACTTCGTTTGGGCGGGGGATAATTAAAAGGGAAAGGGTAATGAACAATATTCCTAACGGTGGTTTTAAAGTACCCCTAGTAGAAGATATTATTACATCTCAAAATATTTCTTGGCTTCGTCACATACATCTATCAAATACTACCCTTAAATTGTTTATATTTGAAGCTAATATTATCCCATCTGATATTTTTCAAATGGATGCAAAATACATAAGAGACCACATCGTCAAAACTATCAGAAATCCTTTTTGGCGAGATGTAGTGTTGTCTTGGGGCCGATATATTGAAAATCATAAGAAAACACGAAAGGATGCTTATTCCCAGTATATGGTACAATGACAATGTGCAGATTGATGGGAAATATATATTTATTAACAAGTGGGATGATGCGGGAGTAAAATATATCAATGATTTGGTAGATCATGAGGGCCGACTTCTTTCATACTTAGAATTTGAGAATAGATACAATGTTTCGTGTAATCGTTTAACCTTTTATGGGGTGAGAAATGCTATAAATGTTTATTTAAAATCTTTAGAAACTTATGATGTTACACCATTGGTAGCCCCAATTTTACCATTTAACATTCATGTACTTACGAAGAGTCCAAAGGGTTCAAAATATTACTATGATGTATTATTGAGTTCAAAATTTCAGAGGACATCAGCCAATAAGAAATGGGAAAAGGATATTAGATATTATACAGATTATGAATGGAACAATTTAAATGAAATACCCTTTCGATGTACTGATAGTGTGCAATTGCGTTGGCTTCAGTACAGAATCATTAATCAAATACTTCCAGTTGGTAAATACCTATTTAAAGTGGGATATAAAGATTCTCCCTTGTGTACAAGTTGTGATAAAGTTATTGCTGACATTTATCATGTACTATGGAATTGTGAAAACGCTAACTCTCTCTGGGCCGAACTTGAAAGATGGATAAATAATAAGGCGGAAATTCATATCAATTTCACCGAAGAAAACGTTTTACTGGGCTTTCCATTTAAAGGAAATGATCCATTAAATGCCTTGTCATTAAGGATACTATATTCAAATTTTATCTTAAAAAGAAAAAATTGTCTTTCGAGTTGATCCAGAGAGAGTTGGCAAACTACTACTTTATAACTAAAGCGATAACTTACACTAACTGTAACTACAAGTTTGGGAAGTTTTGGTCCAGTTGCCACAAACTATTTTTGTAACCATATCAACTCAAATACTGAATTATCTGAGTTCATATGCCGCCATGATGTATGATGTATGATTCTGTTGTTGCTTTAAGATTCGCTGTATGAACATTAATATGTATGAAATAAAAAAAAATAAAAAAAAGATGAGTGAAAAAGACGAAATGTGTTGTTTAACCATGCAACAGCGAAAAGGTTATAAACACATGGTGCCATAAAGCTTTCTGATTGGCTGATACTAACATCTTGTTAGCTGTCATTGAAACTTTTTTCCTTTTCCAGACAATAGGTCTGATTAAACACTTTTTCTGTTTTGCTATTATGGGAGGTAACTCCATTAGTTCCTGTTCTAATTATAGTGTATCGCAATCTCACACTGACTGTGCAAATATTGTGTGTACGAAAGTATTGATGAATCCATACAGCCCTTATGCACACATCATTTTTCCCTCGCTGTAAACCAGCCACTTGCCGTTGACTTCCCAGTGCGTTTTGAACGTTTGAGTTCTGCTCTTTTTTTTTATCATTTCCAGTGTTTTGGGAGGTTACCCTGGTTTTGCATAATCAAAATACTTTCGGGACAAATGTGTTTTCAGTGGTCAGATTTCTTGTTCATTTATATGTAAAACTATAGAACTTACTATTGAAATTCATTTTGTATTTGTAATTTTGTATCTCCATATCTGTTTTAACTGAAGGTGAAGGTGCATCATTGAACCGTTTAAGCTTGGCTCTGTCTTTTTGTCACAAGTTGTAGTGCAAATTGAGCAGGGAACCAGCAGTTTTCATGATATGCACTACAACACAAAAGTTTGTGACTGTGTTCTGCAGTAAAATGGTGGATATCAGCTATTTTGTGTGACTTCATGCCACCAACGTGTGGTGAGCCATGGTTATCTCTAATTACATCAGGCTATACTCTAAATACATGATGTTACAGTGTGAATGGACTGCAGGTCATGATAAATAAACACTAGTTTGTGAAACATTCAAGCCATAATAATGTTGTCCGGAAATTGTCTTTTTGACATAAATATTTATTATCAACTTGCATTGTGTCTTTTGACATGTACACATATGTACATGCAAATAGTAGCTTTATAAATACTGCTGGGTCAAAGGTGTTGTCACAGTTGATGTGTGTACTTGGGTAAACCAGTCAACAGTAACTCAGAGAATCAGCATGCAGACAATTGAGGGCCAGTGCATGAATAAATATCAAGACTCATAGGTTATAGGACTAAGGGCAGATAATTCAAAATGATTAATTTTAAATGACACAGTTTACCCAAAAGCTCCTCAGCAGTTCCTTGAATAACTATCTAACATGGTACATATCAGCAGCATCAGACGCCAATCACTTTTTGTTCTTTGCCTTAGGTCATAAGTTATCTATTTGGAAGCCATAATGGATTGAATGCATTTCAAGTTCATTTTGAGCTCTTTTAGGGTACATGTCTTCCAAAATCTCCTTTTTAAAGTCAAGATACTTCCTAACTCTCTCCAAGTGGTCGTGAAAAATGTCTCTGAGGTGGCCATATTGGATTTTACTTCTTATCTCTTTCTTCTTCTTGTTCAATATGCAGAGGCAAAGACATGATCAAATAAAAACTTTTATTACTTGAATATTGCTTCATCATTCAAAGCACTGCAGAGAATACTGATACATAATGTATCTGACATTGTCACCTGGTAAATAGATCAATGAGCAGAACACGAAGGATGTTGGAAACCAGACCTAACTTGCTTTGGCTGACTGCTGCTAAGAATTACAATGTACTTAGTTTTGAAGCAGAAAATAATTACATGTGATAATTGTTTACTAACAGTGTTATGGTTATCATTAAAATATGCCCCAAAAATTAAAGCAAGTGTTATCCCAAATATGACATTTGTTAAATTTAATAATGATGCATTAATAATTGACATGGCAAACAAGAACTGAATTCTTTTGGCATGTTTCTAAGACACCATTATTGGGATCATGCCTTATTACCATGTAAAAATTGCAGTAATCCATACAAATTATGGTGTATGGAGGTCAAGTTTCAATTCTGTTGGACAATGGATGTGGACAAAGGATGGCATAATCCCAAAACAAAAGTTTTGCAGCAACAAATAAATATACCAGTATAATAGATAAGAAGGGAAAAGTGGATAAAAGTAAAAGTCCCAACCATGATGCTTCATTCACAAGTGCAGTTGTAAATCTAAGTCAGGTGGGTGTTATCTATGCTGTTGTCGGTTGTGTTGAAATGTCTCTAGACCTTCTTTGATCAATGCCTCTGTAACACCATCATTGACCATGATGCTGGTCACACCTGAAACAGTCACAGCATTTGTCACACCTGAAATACCGGTGTATAACATACAGATACCGGTAAAAGATTAAGTCACAACACTGGTCACAGGCTAATATGTCATATTGGTCACAAGGTAATATGTAACACTGGTCACAAGGTAATATATAACAGTGGCCACAGGGTAAGGTGTAATATTGGTCACATGGTAATATGTAACACTGGTCACAGGGTAATATGTAACAGTGGTCACAGGCTAATATGTAATATTGGTCACAAGGTAATATGTAACACTGGTCACAAGGTAATATGTAACACTGGTCACAGGCTAATATGTAATATTGGTCACAAGGTAATATGTAATATTGGTCACAGGGTAATATGTAACACTGGTCACATGTTATCTAATCATGCAAACTCTAAAGCTTAACACACAACTACGGTTACAGACTGTATGACTGATTCCAAATTCATAGTCTGGTATGGAAGACGCCACTTTGAACCTAGTGCCGCAAAGCTCAAGAAAGCTGCTTACAGATTGGCTAATGTCGACTTCCTGTTAGTTATTTCATTGTTCGGTCAAAGTTCGCGAAAGGTCGTTCTGACGTGACCTGTAATGGGATGTCCACAGCGGTAGCGAGAACTTGTACACTACGTCACAAAGAGATGGCATATCCTATGACCTTCCATCAGCCCTCGTTGACCATGTGTGCTGTCGAATGTCAAATTAAAATCTTTCTAATCCACCTACCTATATTCCTCAATTCAATAATATTTCTCTGCTCGTCATCAAAGAACAGCATGTCTTCATAAGGGATGCCACTTTCCTCCACAAACCTTAAATGTATAGCCACACGATTCATCTTCATTTGTCTGAACATTTGCAACACTGGTCAATAAGGTCATAATACAAGAATAGACAAGAAAACAAATAAAAATGTGAAAGACATTTCTACACAATAAATTACCCATGTATACATACTGATACTATGGGAATAGGATGTTTGTCCAAACTAATCAGTCATTGTAAAACAGGTTTGTGTACTTTTGAATGAACTGAAGTAATCACTGATTAAGAGAATTCTAATGAAGAACAATCCCAAGAACTGTTTGTTTTCAACCAATAACTGTAGTCTCAATATTGTCTGAGCTATGTGTAAACCACATGTACATCTTGATGCTAGAAGTTGTCTCATGTTTACCTTCCAAAGTGTGTGACTTTAGATCCAGGGTAGATTTCTTTATATGTGAAGTATCTGTCCCAGTCAAACAGATGACACAATTCATGTGCATCAGGAGGGGTAGATGATCTGCAAATACAACCATTTCCATCAACTTCAATATGTTACCCTCATGCAATGAACTCAGTGTGAAATAGAAGCATACTTGTTTTCATTTATCATCCAAAACTGGCTTACACTGGAGATGTCGCTACAAGAAATAGCATCACAATCCTTTGCAGGCCATTGTGACATCCATTACAAATCAAAAGCAAATGACATCACTAATCTCTGCCATTTAAGTTGTTAATCTGTACTATTTACACTCAAAACACTGGTTATTAACACTGTCAAGCACCGCTATGTCAAACTTCAATCTGTCCAACTTGCAGTTGTCTCAAAGTAAAAGCATCGTCCCTGCATATTCCTTCTCTATTTATCATATTCGGTTACGTTGGACCCTAGATACTCGTAGTATTTACGTTGATCCCTTGAACTTCGACACAATAGTGTTTGACTATTACAAAATAAAAAGGTAAGAAGAATGATCATGGATGTATGATATATTTCATATCAAACTCAAGTGAGATTCTCTATTCATTACCGTTCCCTCAGAAAGAACACAAACCCCTACTGATCAGTTCATAACCAAGACTACACATCTCTTGTATAAAACAGGTATACATCTCCTGTGTGGCTGGATTGGCACTTGAATTATTATTGTATATTTTGGTTTGAGGAACTATACACATACAAACACTTGAAGTGTATGACATAGAAGCCAGCCTCAGTGATACCTTGAAGCAACGGCCAGTGTGTAGCCCTCTGAGTGGAGCCGATGGAGCACCTGGGGTACGTCAGGGTAGCAGATGACCATCTTCCCATGCCGATCATACACCTGCCCATCACTGCAACACAATCGCACATACAGCAACAATGAAGGACTAGATCTTTTGGAATTTATCAAATCAGCAGCTTTGAAAGTAAACTGAACTATAGGAGAATTCCTACATAAACAAGCGTATAGTCGACAAAGTCATCTATATCCCCCGCCCATTTTAACACTTTATGGTCCCAAACCAGGTAACTGACCCAACATTTCTCTTAGCCCATGTCAAAATAGCTGCAATGAAAATATTCTAAAATAAACATTTCTAAAACTCCTTAATATCAATTGGCACCACTTCAGTATGTGCTTTATATATAGACATGCAATGTTTGGCAAGGAAATATTTAACAGTTTATTTGTTTTACTCAATAAGTGAACCCACCCTATATCAAAACTTAAATCCAACTTGTTGCCATGGAAACGTTAAAAATAGAAATGTCTAAAAATGCTAAATATCAAAAGGCACCAGTTCAGTATGTGCCTGGTAGACATGCAAAGTTTTGTAAGAAAGTATTTAACGTTTTTTTGAGTTACGCTCCGGAAACGAACACCACCCTTATAGAACCTAAGTCCAACTTGTTGCCATGGAAACATAAAAAGTAAAAATTTCTAAAATTCCTAAATAGCAAAAGGCACCAGTTCAGCATGGGTCTGATAGACCTGCAAAGTTTTGTAGACAAATATTTAACGGTTTCTGAGTTATGCTCAGGAAACAATTTTGGGACGCACTCACACACACACGCACGGATGGACGGAACCAATTGCAAATGCAACCACATTCTAATCAACACAAGATCCACCCTTTCAGCATTGTTGAGGAATAGACATTATCATCATAATGTTTTCAGGGATGTGCCAATCTCATCAAAATCAGATCTTAGTTTTTGCTATCGCTAAACAAAGATCTGAGGACATCCCATTACGGGTCACTTCAGACCGACCTTTCGCAAACTTTGACCAATAAACAGAATGACTAACAAGAAATCATCAATAGCCAATCAGAAGGCAGCTTAATCGAGGTTTACGGCATGAGTTTCAAACTGGCGCTTCGAAACTTATTTTGACATACACGATTAAAAAATTAAACAATGAACAAAAGAACATTCTGGCATGCCTAATAGATGGTCTAGAGTGTATGAATACACATAACTGTTGTTCGGAATACCCTGTGTGGTTTTTTTTCGAGGTTGCCCGATCAAAATCACATTCCAACTGTCACTTTCATGATCTGATAAGCAATACTCTGACTGGTCAGATAAACGGTCGTTCTGTCATGACCCGGAATGGGATGTCCTCAGTCTTCGTTTAGCGTTAGCGAGAACTAAGATCTGATTTGAATGAGATTTGAGATGTGCAAGGTCTGGTTTTCAACGACCCGCATTATTACACCACAGATATTGAACCCTTAAACAAGTATAAGATTCATTGTGGTTAGTATTCTTATAAAATGAAATAAGAAGTGAAAATTGTATCCACATCATATCATGCTTGGAAAAATAAGTCAAATACACAAAACAGCTTTGATTTACCGGTGTAGATGACACAATCACACAACATTGAACATATAAGCCTGTCAGTAACAAGGAGACTCCAGACAGGTGAACGCACTGCAATATCATGTAGCGTACATGCCCATAACTTAACTACAGTCAGTATTGTTAATGAGGTTTTAATATACCTGAGCTCTACCATGGGGACAATTTAACAGCTTCACACACCTGCACTATACCATGGAAAAGGCCGGATCCAGCAGTTTTAAAAGTGAGGGGTCCAAAATATCAAAATCTCTGTCAATTTTACTGCCTACAACACACTGCATTTGGATCTGCCTATGATGGGGACAATTCAACAGCTTCACACACCTGCACTGTACCATGAGGACATTTTGAAAGCTTCACACACCTGCACTGTACCATGAGGACATTTTGAAAGCTTCACACACCTGCACTGTACCATGGGGACAATTCAACAGCTTCACACACCTGCACTGTACCATGGGGACAATTCAACAGCTTCACACACCTGCACTGTACCATGGGGACAATTCAACAGCTTCACACACCTGCACTGTATCATGGGGACATTCAAAAGATTCACACACCTGCACTGTACCACAATAATTCATCAACTGGCAGGTACTATGTGGCAGTAGTTTTGTTCCAGGCAGTAGGGCTCATTGCAAGTGATTGAGGTGCTTGTACAGTTTTGAGTTTTGTTAGTGACTCAACAGTAATATAAAGTGACTTCCCTTCATTGTTTATGGTCCAAACTCTGTCCAAGTGCTTGACACCTTCCTTACCTTCCTGTTACAGATAGCTCCACTGTGAGGAGCTTGTTAACAGGATTGTTTGGATTTTTCAACTTCCAAGAGAGACTACCTGGTTCGAAATGCTTCTTGGTCATAGTCTCTCGAAGGCTGGCTGTACCTATCTAAGAGCAAGACGAGGGGGATTTGAGGCCACCTTCAACGACTTGACTTAGGACTTGCCCAGTGTGGACAGGATACCTGAATACATGACACTTTTTTATGGACAGCAACTTCTTTTATTCTTTGTACAAGGAATAAAGGAGTTGCTATTCATAAAAAAGTGTCATGCATTCATGTTCTCCCAACTTCTTAATGCCTCTACGTATGACAGGATACCTATTTGAGCACCTTTGTGTTTCAACTTTGGAATCAAACATGTAACATCAGGCATGTTATTTTAAACTTCTATCTCCTTCAGTGACATTAGAATTAGAATTCACTTGAATTATTTTTTTGTTGGTAAATTGGCAACAAACATATGACATAAATTGTGAACATCGATTCTAACCTTCTTTTCAAGAAAGGGGGATCATGATGTGTGTCCACCCAAAATGGCCACAGGGTGTAATCTGAAAAAGTGGGTTTGTGAGAATAAACATAATGCAATAAAAATAAATAAACTTTTCCTTTATTCCAATTTCATTATCCATCATGAAATATTTGCCCTGATGACATTTCTTTTGGGTTGTGGTCTTATCATGTTGTGCAGGTAAGCTGAAGAACATCCTTCCTTGCCCAAACTAGGCTCCCTAGATACAACATACTGACTGGGCAGAGTGAGTGAGTGAGTATGGTTTTACGCAGATTTTAGCAATATTCCAGGAATATCACAGCAGGCAACACTAGAAATGGGCTTCACACATTGTACCCATGTCGGGAATCGAACCCAGGTCTTCAGCGTGACGAGCGAACACTTTAATTACTGGGCTACCCGACCGCCCCGACTGGGCAGAGAATGTTTGAGAAACGATGCATGCTAGCATTGACATCTTAGTGTTTGGATGACACAATACAGAACTTCTGAACACAATAATGAGTATAACATATTCTGGTTTTGAAACTAAGTACAAGTATCTTGAAAATTGGAAAAAGCCTTGAAAATATAGACATATATATGGCATGGAAGCCTGTTCATTTGTATCAAGCTGATGTCTTTTATGGATTAAGGAAAGTTACCAAAATCCTATATGTTTCCATACAACTTGGAAATTGATGACCACAAAGTGGGACAGTAAACTGCAGAAATATACTCAACAACAAAAGTTCCTGTGACACCAATATTTTTACTTTACTTTTATAAGTAAAGTTTGGTTTTCAATATTGTAGTACATGTATGGAATCAAGTCACAAAAACGCGACTGCTACAGAAAAGCATGCATTCCATGCAAAAGTTGACTTTTATGCAAGCCCCATGCATTTCACTACCCAAGAATGAGTATAAAAACATGTGCGTTAACAGGATTCCATAAGCATTGTTTAGCATCATGCTGACAACAACCACTCAGAAAAACAACAAAATTACACAATCTCATTAAAATCAGACCTCAGTTCTCGCTACCGCTAAACAAAGATCTGAGGACATCCCATTAGGGGTCACGTCAGAACGACCTTTCATCCGACCAATCAGAGCATCGCTTACCAGATTATGAAAATGACAGTCGGAATGTGATTTCTAATCATCCAACCTCGAAAACTTTAACACAGGGTATTCCGAACGATAGTTATGGGTTTAATGAATGAATCCATACAATCTAGACCATATATTAGCCATTCCAGAATGTTCTTTTGTTCCGGTTTCAAATTTGTAATCAAGAATTTGTCGAAATATGTTTCGAAGCGTAGCCGCCAATTTGAAATTAGTGCCGTAAAGCACGAGAAAGCTGCCTTCTGATTGGTCATTTCATTGGTCGTCAAAGTTAGCGCAAGGTCATTCTGACGTGACCCATAATGGGATGTCCTCAGATCTTTGTTTAGCAGTAGCAAGAACTAAGATCTGATTTTAATGAGATTGCAAAATTACGCAATTATTCAACATTACGAAATGCCACGCCTGTCCGAAAATGAGCGTCTGCGAGCCATTGGTACGCTTGAAGCAGGATCGAGTCAACATGATGTTGCAAGACAATCTAACGTCCACAGAAACACCATTTGGTGTTTATGGCAACGTTGGCAACAGACGAATGCAGTCAGAGACCATCCTCGGAGTGGCAGGCCACGTGTAACCAATAATCGACAAGACAACTGGATTCGAATAACACACCTACAAAATCGATTCCCACCAACAACAGTGACTGCAAGAAGCATCCCTGGCCTTCAACGAATATCTTCACATACCGTACTTTGTCGCCTCAGATGTGCAGGGATTGTCGCCAGAAAACCCACCAGACATCCCATTTTGACAGCAAACCACCGTCAAGCACGTCTACAGTGGTGCAGACAGCGTCTACGCTGGACGGCCATGCAGTGGGGACAAGTTCTATTCACTGATGAGTCTCGTTTTCCCCTCAGCCACAGTGATGGAAGGATTCGAGTGTACTGACGTCGAAGTGAACGTTACGTCAATCATTGTGTCATGGACGAAGATCGGTTCGGGGATGGCAGCATTATGGTATGTGGTGGGATAACAACAAGACAGAGGACCTGTTTGATAGTGGTTCAGGGAAATCTCAATGGACACCGCGACGAGATCATCCGCCATGATGTTCTACCGTTTTGGCGTCGTCATGGCCAAGGCATTACCTTTCAACATGACGACGCCCGGCCTCATATTGCTCAACTTGTTCAGGATTCTCTTCAACAATTCAATGTGAATGTCATCCCCTGGCCGGCTCGCTCCCCTGATCTCTCACCAATCGAGCACATGTTGGATGAAATGGATCGGCGCCTTTGACGTCAACCACGTGTTCCACAGACACTCCAGGAACTTCGAAACATGCTTCAGCAGATATGGACAGATATCTCACAGGACTTTGTGCGACGCCTGGTCCATTCCATGAGACGAAGATGTGTTGCTTGCATTGCAACCAAAAGTGGACACACGCTTTTGATTTGTAAATTGACATTTTGGCATGTTCATGTTTTTTATGAAATCACACATTTTCTGAAGTCAGTATGGCAAATTAAACCATTTGAACACTTACAGGAGTCTTTTATCTGTTGCAAACCAAAATTGTTTCAGATTTGGTAAAAAACATTACTTTGCATTAAATCTTATTCAATGTCACAGGAACTTTTGTTGTTCAGTATAACTAAGAATAAGGTACCTCCAAAATCAGTTTCTTATGTATATCCCATCTTTGCTGTTCGCAGGAACTGTTCATTACTTGTTAGATGGACCAACAAATTCTTTCCTCTTGGAGTGAGTGAGTGAATATGGTTTTACGCCACTTTTAGCAATGTTCCAGCAACATCACGGCGGGGGACACCAGAAATGGGCATCACACATTGTACTCATGTCGGGAATCAAACCTGGGTCTTCGGCGAACGCTTTAACCACTAGGCTACCCGACCTTCCCCCTTCATCTTGGAAAGTGTGTACATGTTGTTTCATCCACATGCATCATCATCATACATCAGCCAAAAATGCTTATAAAAGAAATTATTAAAATAACAATATTCTATTGAAACAATGAAACTTACCTAAATCAAAAACAATCAACTTTGGTCTGGCCATTTTGTTACTGATGTTTGCTCTGGTTTGCTGAAAATGAATACATGTATTGCCAAAAGGAATGTGTCTAAAGTTTCACACTTAAGATGATGCAAATGCATTAGTTGAGTAAATGTTCATGATGACCTTCTGATACCATTGATCTGACCTGTGACAGATAGTGAAGATATCAGTACTAGTAGATAGACATGAACACAAGGCCACTTACATCATTAATACACTTGTACAAGATGATAAGGTCTTCAAGTCTTATCTATTGGGCGGAACCAGTTTCGCTGCTGAAGTATTCCCCGTAGAATATTCCTACTTCCCCAGATACAACATAATAAAAATAATTTTTGCTTATATTTGAAATACAGAAATTATCTCAATAACCCCTTTTTGGCTGCAGGAGAAAATGACCCCTTACAAAAATGGTCCCGGACAATTTGGAGTAAATGGCCCCAAATTCTAGTGAAAATGGCCAAAAAGTTTTGAGAATGGACCCAATACAAACCTAACACAAATCTTTAGTGATTTGGTTAATAAATGGTTGAGCTATTCTGCACAGATGTGGGCCATTTTCTCTAGAACCCCACTTCCTGTAGTGCTTTCATCATGTTCACATCATGTTCTGCTGGTAATAATAGATACAACAGAGGCATAATAAATACATTGCAATGCCTTGAACACACTGGAATCTACCAATCATGTTTTCAGTGATTTACACAAAGTTTCAGTTTTCCAGGACATTTGTTCTTGAAACGAAGAAGTTTACTTTTTTGGTGATTTTGTTTTTATGTTTCACAAGGTAATGATGAAATCGATTGCTATATACAAGTACCATGTTGTCTAGACTGACAAGAAACATACATGCCAAATGTCAATTTCAGGAGAGAAGATTTGGAGCTCCGAAGGGATTGGTCAAAGTGCAAGTACTGTCTGGAATTAAGAAAAAAAAAGACTATCTTGTCAACATATATGTTCAGAAGAAACAGGAATGTTTCTTTCAAATACTTTCAAAAAAGCACAACATAGCGGCATTAAAGGCTCATTACTTGGTGTATGACCAATTAACATAAACAAACAGCATAAACCATAAGGCCTGCTGTCAAAATATAGACAAAATTTAAAAAATGTGATGACTTGAAAGTAGTGTCAATCTGAGAAAATAAGAAGAAAACAAATGCAAACAAAAATGTTTTGGGTTTTCAAGGGTTTTCCCTTGTGACCTTATTTGAAGCTTTTTTTCGCAACTATTTTCGCACTAATAAGGCCCTGTGTATGTTCAGAAATTGATGAAGGGGGCACTTATTAAAACCATACACGACAATCTGGTGCATACCAACAAACAACAGGCTAAAACACTAGGTGAATGACAATCTTTATACCGGGGAGTATGTCACGTTTTGATCATTTGATTGGTGATTGTTTCATGCAAAAATATAAAGAAATTAATCTGCAACCATTATTGCACCATGAATAAACTCTCCAACTTATTCTCATTGCTTTTTATGTGAAGTGTATCAAAGACAGAAAACATTTTGGGTCAGTAAATTCACATTTGGCATCACCGGGTAGTTTTTTTAATGTATAGAACAGTTTGACAGGTTACCATTTGATTAATGTAAGCATGTACAATGTACGCCCCTTTCTACTTAGCCATATTTTCTGTAAAAAATGTGTATCATCAGGACTATCATGTAAACTTTATAGGCGCTTATCAAGATTAGGTACTTGCTGACAAGTCTAACAGATGGTCAGTGGGTGCTTATGGGAGCATGGCACTTAATACAAACACAATTACTTAACAAACTCAGCAGCAGACAAGACAAATCTTCTCAAACTTTTATTCCTATTCCATACATAATCAAATGTCCGATAGACCATATTGCACAGCCAGGCTGGTATGAACAGGAAATCCTGCCACACGTTCCTTAATGATGTTTGTACAAGATTTCACTACAGATTTCACAGTTGGAATTTCCCTTATGACCAGCAGGATATGTTTGTGCTACTTTTTTTATGTTTTTATTGTCTCCCTATAATTTGTAATAAATATCTTAATAATAAGTAATTAGATCTAGTGTATGTTTAGAATCTATTTAATCAAAGGAAAATATATTTTACTAAATATTAGACATAGATCTAGTAATCAATGCATAAAATAAACCTTAAATAGAAAAGAGTGAGTGAGTATGGTTTACGCCACTTTTAGCAATATTCCAGCAATATCGTGACAGGGGACACCAGAAATGGGTTCCATACATTGTACCCATGTCGGGAATCGAACCCGGGTGATGAGCTAACGCTTTAACCACGAGGCTACCCGACCACCCGCTAAATAGAAAAGAAATAAGCAAGCTTGTTAATGTTTTGTTGAAATGACGTGGTACATTTAGGTGATAAACTGAATTTGGAAGACTGGGAAATTGATTTTGGAACCGTATATGCACAGTGTGAGGTTTCAAATGTTAAATTTAGCAGGGTTAAATCTACAGGTAACCTAGCTCTACACTGAAAACCCTGTATGTTTATCTCCATTCCACCATGACTAAATATAACGTGAACTTTTTGGTGTAAGCAAATATATTGAGTGGAGCGCATGGGTTGAGTCAAGTGTTGTGAGTGGGTTGTCAATCTGAATTATGGAATCACCCACACTGAACAGCCTTTAAACAAAATATGGCGCCTTATTGCTCAAGCAGTTTGTTTAACTCGAACATATGACAGGCATAGAAGCATATAAGCATGGCAACTTGGTAAGCCAACATGAGGTGGACACTCTATTTGAAAACTAAGCAAGCTTTGCAAAGCTTTCGTTCTACACCGCACGTCACTGTCATATATATAAAGCTATCTATTGTACTCAAAACTTAAAATACTTTTCTTTAATATTTCTAACGTGTTTTTCTGCACGAAATGTATTGACACAAATTCTTTGAATAGTGTTGTAGCATTTTGTAACCTGTAATGTTTGATTTTACTGACCACAGGACTTCCGGTGACTCTGACTCCCTAAACCCGGAACTGAACGTTGTCATGCCACGTACTTCGATTAATAAACTATCGTCAATATGCCGTACTGGTATGGATCATAACATAATAAAGCATGTAAATAAAGCATATATACTACTATATTAATCATTTTTATTGTTATTAAAAATAAAAGTGCCGTTTTCAACCGACAATTAGTAGCCGTTTTTGCCAAATGAGGCGCCGTTTTAGCCCCAGAAATCAGTGACGTTTTGCTGAGGGGCCGTTTTAGCCTACACCCGTATGGATCCCCTCCCCGGTGTTTGATGGGTTATAGCGAAAACGGCACCTCAAAAATAGTTCTTATCAATATTAAAAATAGAGGTGCCGTTTTCGCCCGACACATAGTAGCCGTTTTCGCCAAATGCGGTGCCGTTTTCGCCCAAGAAATCGGTGACGTTTTGCTGAGGTGCCGTTTTAGCCTGCACCCTGTTTGATGATTGTATGCAATGTTTTGATCCTGCATGTATCCATAAGACATACATCAACATATCAATAATAATAAAAGTAGACCTATATATGACACAGGCATGACATGTGTACTCGGAAGAGTCGGTCGTCGGACGCACTTGCAAGCTGGAACAAGTCGGGTATTGGGTTTAGAGTAACTTCCCCCTGCAGTGAAAGAAGTGAAAGCATTTTCGGATTTCGGATTGCGTGGATAGATCTAATACGATTCCTACTCCCTTGTTGTCATCCATGTTTTCTGGTATAACCTTACACTTGTGTATTTGTCGTCATTCACTTGATGCTCAGTTAATGAATTTATTAAAGGTATAATTAGTGGTAGCACCACTCAGATTCAGATTACCTGATAAAGAATCCCATTCGGCATTTCTTTTGTCTGGGGTGATATTCAATCTAAATCCAGGTTTGAAGTAAGGTGAAATGATCTGAAATGTGTTATGTAATATGCACGTGGCAGCCCAGCAAGAGATGAATGATCAGTTGATTTACTTTTTTATAAATCAACGGATCATTCCTAGCCATCAAAGGATCAATAGAAAATACGTTGATTGAATAATCACTGTCATCTTGCACAGTGGATATATGTCAAAAGTAAGTGTTTAGATGTGTAGGTTTACTAAAGCAAAGGGAATACACTCATATCATGTCGTGAAGTGCCGATGTTCAAAGGGTAACCCGACAATACGTTGATTGATTGCGCATTGTTATCTAACTAAATGGATTTTTGTAAAGAACCGTGGACATTATGAAAATAGTTGTCAGGTGGGCTTTCTCAGCTGACCTTTGAGACTTGACACCTATGTGAAACAACTGAAACAAACTAAACGATCAGTTGAGAAACGAACACGGGTTATAATATCCCGAAACGATATTTTAAAATATTTGATTGTTACAGAGACACGTGACATCAAATAATTTAAGTTTCTTTGTACAGCTGCAGACGTGTGGGGTATTGTTCCTTCATGTGGATATTCATGGATACATTCCTCTAACAAGGAAGCTGCCTAAAATTATACATATAACTTAGGTAGGTTGTAATTATGATATGTGCATTTTGTTTTCCTTCATTTGTTGTAGCATTGAACAGAATAATTCTTGTTCCTCAACTTCTTGGTTGGGAAGTTCTTCGTTGCACGATAAACGTTGTTTTCACAAGTCTTGTCCGTTGTAAGCGCGTATGTATTACAGTCAATGTGTAAAATGTGATGCACTCAGGCAATTTATAACATGTCTAAATATTTCAGTCATTTTATAAATTGACTGAAAAATCTGTCCCTTTATTTAACAGATTGACTAAAACTAAAATTATAGAAAAAATACACCTCAAATTCCTCAGACTTATCACAGGATTAAGAAATTCAACTCCTCTTTAAATGATATATGGCGAATTAGGTAGGCTGCCATTAAGAATAATAATAAGTAAACGAATGATATCTTTCCGGCACAAATTAACATATCAAACTGGTGTGTATAAACTTTCACTGCTGTTATATGCTTCACTGAATCTCACCTGGACGCCAACATTCAGTCAGCCGACCTGCTCCTTGATCTCTTCCATGAACCTCACAGGAGGGACAGGGATTGTTTCGGAGGTGGTATAATTGTATATTTTTCTGATTCACTTAGTGTTAAGCACAGAACAGACTTGGAAGTAATTAATTCTGAATCAATGTGGTTTCAAGTTTATTCAGCACAGCACAGTTTTCTGCTTTGTGTCACCTATCGCGCACCCAACACCCCTACCGCATATTGGACTGTTCTTCAGCACATGAAAGAAACTGCACTTGATGTATCCCGTGACATCGTCCTTGTTGGTGACCTAAAGGAAGATCTTTTCAATACGAATATCCACCACTTACGTGACATAATAACACGCAAGAACTTGCGCAGTATTATAAATGAAGCAACACGAATTACAACACATTCGGCTAAACTTATTGACCCTATTTTAGTAAGTAATGATTGTAATTGTTCCTTATCCGGTGTACTAGATCTTAGTTCCGATGTATCGGATCACAGGGGAGTTTTCGTGTCTATTAATGTATATCTTAATATAAAAAAAGTCATATAAAAGAAACGTATGGCTCGAATCAAGCTAACTTTGCTAAAATGAATATACAAATTAAGAATAAAATTTGGAACGAGTTTTTTAAAGAATGTACGGACGTTAATGAAATGTGTGACAAATTTCACTCCACACTAAAGAAAGTAGTATAGGTAATGGGGGTTCTGGACCACTTCCACTGGAGCTGGATTTATATACCTATACTGCTACTACAGATGGAATTTTTTATGCCAAAATGATTATGCGATTCAACGATAGTCATGAGATTCAGCTAAATTGACTCCAGCTCACCACCACCTGGGGCCAATCATTGCTTTAGATGAGTCTAAATGGTAATAAAAATATTCTTTATTATTTTTATCGATAAAGCGATATTCAACATTTTTATTAAGTTCTTCGTTCATTTTACTAGGAGACCAGACTATATAACTACACTCTTTTTGTAAATTGATAAGAAACAATTGATAACCGTATTTGGTTGGTTTGACATCACTGATATAATAAAAACCTTGTGGTAATTCTTTCCATTGAATAGCTTTCTCCATTATTATATATTTATGTTAGCATTTGTCTAAATGTAATCACACGATAGTAAACAATCTATTTTTAATCTCCAACCAGTTCTTTGGTTTTGGCACGGAATAATTGACGCGCTTGTTGCCTCCCCTGTTCTATGAACTTTTTTTTCTCGTCTTCGCTAATACCACTGGTCTTACGAGATTTTGATCGGATCTCCTGCTTCATTTTATTGTATTTGGTGAGTTCCGACAGCACTAAACGAAACTCATCCTCGGATATCTTACAATCGGCCATTGCTGTCGAAATATGATCCTCAATGCTGTTCAACTTTGCTTCGGCCAGTATCCGAATACTATCGTGTTTTAATGCTTTCTTTTGTAACCTACGAGAAATGAATTTTATCGCTATTCCTGCCAGTCCCGAGACTCCAGCGGTTATTTCCATGCCGAGCACGATAGGCGCGGCGATTATAGTTGATAGTAAACCGATACCCGCTACACCGAGTCCCATGCCAGATACTAAAAGCACGGTGTCAACTCCGTCCAGAGCATTCACGGCTCTGCGATACTTTTTATACAATCCAAGTCTCAACTCCCTCTCCTTCCCTATTCGATGTTTTATGTCGCTTATTTGTTGTAATCGAAATCCATCAACAGTATCCATCTTTTCAAATGCTTCACTGAGCGTCGGATATAAACTCATAGTGTATATTACGTTCATATAATAGTCTTTAATTGGTCTTGCTTAAATGTTTTGAGACTATACATCAATCTTATCAAATGTATATTATACGGCAAGAATATCTTAGAAAGAGAAATACTGTCACTTTTAATAATTTGGACCCCCTCGAGGGTTGCAACGGGCGATGCTCCGATATGAATAATACTGCAACGTTGACGCTCGTGTTTCTTGAGCGATTTAATCGATAGACCTGGTAATATATCGAAGGCATCTTCCGGTGCATCTCCGAACAAGACTTCAATAATAAGCGTAGAAAGATTAGGTATTGCACTCAGGTTAACTTTAATATCTTCGAATTCAGTAACCAAATTTAAAGTAACATTTTTTAAGGCCGGACGACTATATAACATATGACCTGGGTTTTCTGGCAGGGGGGTAACTAACACACTTTTTCGTTTTGACGGGATATAAGCCGCGAGTACGATGCCACTATTTATTATCTTAGTTAAATTATGTCCCTTACCCATCATCACATAAGGTGGGGTAATGACGATATTCAGTAGCCACTCGATGTTTGCTTCGATCATAGTCCATTTATTATCGTTGTTGCGAGTAATATTGTACGAAGTGTTTTTAAGGAGTCTACTAACATCAACGTCGCTTAAATCTCCTAGATTACCTGTGAATGTAACTTCTTTCCGATTGTATACATTATCGTGTAAGTGTAAAGCGTATAACTTACCATTGGTACCGGGTTTACCGAATCCTTCTGTGTCTCCGAGATCGGAAAGCGCAATTGTATTACATTGTCTTACTGTTCCAGGGCCTGATGCATCAACCATTATTTTTAATATGGAGTGTTATTATACTGATTTGATCAAGATGGATGCACAACTCTTTATAGGGATCTAAATCAGGTAAATCGAGTCCCTGATCTGATGTCTGGAGTACTGTTATTTCTCCTCTCCATCCAAGTGTGTATGCTAAGTTCTTGTAAAGCTTTACATCCTTTGTTCCAGCGTTTAAAATCAGTAACCCATTTGACTCATTTTGTGTTAGACTAATTCCATTAGGCTTAAAAAATTCATCATTGAGTGAGCATACGCTGTAATACCCATCAGGTATAATGTATTTTTTACCATTTATTTCTGTCTCATTATTATAACCCCTCGTAGCACTTAT